CATGCGAGTGATTATATAATGCACGCGTTTCTCTTCCTGCCTCGTGCTGCAATTCAAAATATTCACCTTTTCTTGAATATGTGGTTACTTTTCATCTTTTGTTTCATTTTCTTTGTCAGTGATCATGTTTCCTATGTATATAACAGCGGGTAATACACATCGGTGAAACATGTTATAAGTTACTCTGTCAATCAATGTCATTTTTAAGTTCAGTTTTTTAAGACATCTTCCAACATGCTCTCGCCCGGCTCTGTATTTCAACATTTTAATCCCGATCCACCTTCAATAGCTGCCAAAGGTTACATGTTCCGATGTGGTTTTTCCAGTTGTATTCCTCCAAACAGATGTCTACGTTCGTCAACAAACTTATAGTACACTCGCCTTTTTATATATATTGAGTCCATCTTTGGAGCTTTAATAAACAAATGGAAAAAAACTTTATTATAAAAACACTTACAAAAATGGAACAACCAAACATACAAATCAAAAGATGAGTCGGGGAAAGAGACCGCGTTCTCCAAAGTTGTGCAACAATTATTATTTTTTTCTCTCCAAAAATTGTATTTGGGAAATAAACACAAACATAAAGAGACAAAGTGGGTACAAGTGTAGATGTGCTGATGACATTTATGCAACAACAAATTAAAATAAGCTAATTATAGACTTTTCTTTTAATCACAGTTGCTAAGCACTGGCCCAAACAGCACTATTAAAGTTGTAATAGATACAGAGTTCATACATTTCCTGATTTGAGCAAGGTTATGAGAACTTAGTTAAGAAGAAGATGAAGGGACGGAAAATCAAAAGTGGAGTCGTGCCAAGGAAGAAGCAGGAAGATAAAAGTGTGGTGACCTGCAGCACGGTGGTTAAATAGTAATCGTTAACCATCGCGGTGGTTAGCATTAAACCCTGGTGAGTGAATGAGGGAGTGCTGGATCATCAACCTGATTGATTTAATGATTGAATAACCAAAGAAAGGTGGCTGTAATTCTTGCTTCTGCGCAATATGTTCAATGACTAAATGCCGGTGTCCACCCGAATAATCTGGTTAATGTGTAAATCATCCTCTGTCGGAGGGGGCCTTTCGTGGTCTGATCGGCTCATGCTGTGGTCTCGACATCCCACAGAACACATCAACAAATGCTTGAAAACTACAGATCGCTACCAAAGCCTAATATTTAAAACATGTGTTTCTTTTCATGGCCGTGAGTGTGATTGACGATAAATAATTATAAGAATTTTGGCATAAAACCACAGTACTCCGTGACCTCACCCCAGAACAAATATGGATCTGTGTATTGTCTATGAAAAGCCATGTCTGACGTTAACGACCCGGAAGTAACCCACTGAATTGGGAGTCCACTGAAAAACATTGAAAATGGATTTCTTTGAGGATGTTTGAAAGAATGAATGTATCAAAGGTGGCCCAGGGCCAAATTACAAAGACATGGAGGTGACCCCTGCTTTGTCGTTTGGTGATGTCACGGCGGGTACTTAAGAGCACAGAGCCAGCGGAGGCAGCCTCACTCAGCGCCCAAGTTCACCACCTGGTGAAGGTCAAAGTAGTTTGAGCGAAACATCATGGTGTAACGTGAAATGTTGTCATGAAAGGTCCTAAGCCACCGGTGAGCTTCGAGCTCTATTTGTCAGAATTTTATGAAGACATATCCAGTAGACGTGACAATCGTGTCGGGCGGTGGAGGGTTAACGACAATAACTTTCGCCTAAAACTACCACGTGGAACCCAAAAATAAATATGGGCCAACCTCAATTAACTTCCATATTTAATATTGCCTGTACCATGAAATGTTATATGCAATTGCATAGAACATACAGAATATTTATTAAAATCTCAGTTTTAACAATTTCAGCAGAAATCCAATGATCCACATTGATATGGGGGGCAGAGATGTGTGGGGGGGGGGGGGGCGACCATATCACGGATCGTGTAATCCGCGGTGCACCGCAGAGGTTATCCCAATGAATCCGCATTTTTTTTTTCGTGCCGACACGGTGTGCCGCGGATTACGGGAGAAAGGTCAGCGCGCTTTGTGACTCCCTGTCAAATTATTCCACGACGAATTCGCGGATTAGGTTATGACTTGTTCTTAAATCCAAATCGTGCAAATCCGCCACTTAGGTCTATGTTAAAGGATACAATTACACTATCTACTAAACGTATCACGTCAGCGCCGCGAGTACGCGCAGACGCAAAGCAAAAACACATGGCTAAATAAATATATCAATATCTTATCGCCGCGTTTCCCTGCGGCTTCGGCTCTGATATCGCTCAAGCAAATAGAGGCAGCAGCTTCCATTGTGATAATGGGGAGGGTTCAGTGCTAATTGCCGAAGCTGAGCTGCATGTTTTAATTCACATCTGGTGACGTTCCTCTTGAGCTTCAGCGGCATTACTTTAAGTGACAAAGCAAGGGGAAGTTTCTGCTTAAGGTGTCTTATGTAACACGTTAGCCTCATTAGGATTAAGTGTTCATGGCACAACGCAGTCGCATCGAGCCAGCCTTAGGGAACTGCGCATCACGTGTCTCACTGCATAAAACAACTCAAGCGACATGTGTAATTCGGTGTAAATTCGCGAAAATTGTTATTTTTAAGGTGATTTATGGAACGGATGTTAATTTGTGTCTCAGTTGTTACTGCTGGAGACTCGAAGAGAGGATGAGTCTTGGTCTCGGTCAGTCCATCTATCCATGCTCTTCAACCTTTGTTCCGTTCCTTTCTAAGTGTGAACGGTTATGAGCCAGGTTATGGCAGCGAATATCTGCAGTTGTTGAGACCGCTTTTCTCTAGGCCCGTTGGTGCTGTGCATTGCTTTTCATGATCACATTCATTTTTTCCCAAAAGCTCCCCCAACTCATGAGAGCCCTGCTATTGTTCGCCAGACCCCCCCTGGGAGCTGGTAGGAACGTTGGGTTGCTCGGTCAATGGCCAGGGTCAACGGCGGCGTGGTGTATTCCGCAAATATGCCCGACTGTGAGGGCGGGCACAAGCAGGCATGAGTAGGTTAAACGTTGAGTTTTATAAGGGCACCACGGGGTGACCAGCCCCTCCCCACCCAGCCCCACCCCTCCAACCCCCCACCCAGCACCACCCTCCCCACCCAGCCCCTCCCCACCCTCCCCACCCAGCCCCTCCCCACCCTCCCCACCCAGCCCCTCCCCACTCTCCCCACCCAGCCCCTCCCCACTCTCCCCACTCAGCCCCTCCCCACCCAGCCCCACCCTCCCCACCCAGCCCCACCCCCACCCTCCCCACCCAGCCCCTCCCCACCCTCCCCTCTCCACCCAGCCCCACCCCTCCCATTTTTGGATGCACGACGGACGGACGGACACAATAATCCCCTGTGGGCTGGTGTAACCAGGAGGTTCCTACCAGTATAACTTATTCTGTATCTGCAATACCTTTGTATAGTCCAGCAGTGTGGTTCAGACAGGTATCAATATCATTTTTCTGTGCCAATCATCGAGCGTATGTGGCTGCTATAAATGTCCACACAATAAGCCACTTTGTTGAGCGATCGTTTGTGGCCAGGTCACTTCTGAAAAATAAGTTAATAAAAGTAGCTCAGTGGGCTTTGCCTGGTAAGATAAAATATCATTTAGTTTTATTTGAATATTGCGAAATTATTTGATTTACCTTTCCTATACTTTGCACTCCTATTGTGTTTTTAATATTGTTTGTTGTAACGTACATACCCGCCCCGACTGGACATCTGTGAAAAAGAGCTTTAAGTCTCGACTTAAAGCTTTCTTGACTGCAGGAATTCATATTCTTTGGGTCCTTCGGTAAAGTCACGTAGTAGATAGGTTCAAAGAAAATAACAAAAAAACTACGACGTTTCGGTCGCAACACAAGCGGTCGTCATCAGGAAAGGACGATGACGACCGCTTGTGTTGCGATCGAAACGTCGTAGTTTTTGTAATTTTCTTTGAACACATCTACGTGACTTTACCGAAAGACCCAAAGAAAAAGAGCTTTATAGCTCATCGGATTCATCCAGTACAAATCAATATTCCGATTCTGTCTCGTGCGGACACACCAAGAAGCAATTTATGCTCTTTAAGAGTTGGGTATTATTAATATCGTAGCCAGGGTGGGGGGGGGGGCAGTGCCAGACTGAGCCACTTCGGACCTTGAAGATTCACGTCCATCCCCAAAGGCCTCGTGTCCAGCATCCATACCTGTCAACCCATACGGTCTACCCCGTATTCTTGTACAGGGAAATTCAGTTTTCAGGTCCATTCGGCGTACAGCCGTTTCAATACGGCCAAATAAATTGTCCTATTTGTTTGTGTTCCTCCCTTGTGATGGGATTTTGTCGGAAGAACGTTGGGATTTATAAAGGGCACGGGGTGACCAGTAATGTCTGAATTGATCTGTAATCAGGTAGTCACTGATAAGGGGTTGACAGGTATGAGTATCAGTGTCTGATGGTCGCGTGCTGTTGTTGTTCTCTAGTCTAAACCTCAGAGAACCTCCTCCCTCTGGTGAGATTGTCCACCAAGCGCGTGTTGTTGTTGTTGTTTACAGGCATGATGATGGTGCATACCTGTCAACCCCTTATCAGTGCCTACTTTATCACGGATCAATTGAGACCTTACTGGTCACCCCGTGCCCCTTATGAATCTCAACGTTCATCCGACAAAGTCCCATCACGAGGGTGAAACACAAAACAAAAAAAAGAGACATTCCTTTTGCCCGTATTGAAACAGCTGAACGCCGTATGGACCTGAAAACTCAATTTCCCTGCACAATAATACGGGATGAAACCGTGTGGGTCGACGGTTACGTAATACTATGAACGTGTGCACCGAGCGGCTTGTTGTTGTTGACTACGATGATGATGATCACGATGATGATGATGATGCCAGACGAACAAACTCCAACACCCCCCTCCTCTCTGAGCAATGCCAGGTCTTCGATTCGATTCCCGCGTGCCGGCAAAGACCGCGCGCAGAATCGGAATCGATCCACCACACGCGGGCATAGTGCGCCGAGTACAGTGCGCGGCCCTGCACGATTACATAAGCGGAGAAGGGGCCCAGCTCGCATTGTCCCTGTCACCGTCACCAGCAGCAGCAGCAAGCCACCACCAGCAGCAAGCCACCAGCAACAAGCCACCAGCAACAAGCCACCAGCAACAAGCCACCAGCAGCAAGCCACTCAACCACCGTAACTCACCAACGCCGCGGTCACTGTCACCACCATCACTCGCCCACCACCACCACCACCACCGCCGCCGTAGCCTCTCAATCCTCTCGGTTACTTGACCCTGCCCCGCTGTCTCTCAACCACCACGGGACGTCGCCCGTCAGCCGGGATCGTTCGTCCTGCCGAGTTGACGGTAGCGGCAGCGATTCGCAGCGGGGGTCGGTGTTGGTGGCGAGAGAGGGCTTGTGGTGGTGGTGGTGGTGGTGGTCTCGCTTTGGGGTGGTGGTGGTGGTGGTGTGGGTGGTGTCGCTTTGGCGTGGCCCTTCGGTGGAGGCTCCTGGTGGAAGAAGAGGACAACTCGAGCGAGCGGGTGGTGCGTGGAGGATTGTACACCGTGCCACGACGTGGAGTTGTTGTTGTTGTGGGTGGTGGTGGTGGTGAGAGAGAAGACGACACGAGAGAGGCTCTCACCCACCCCGCCAGGTGAGCAAGACGCGCCGCGGGAGACGTCGTACAGACGAAAGTCGCTGTTCCAGAAAGAGTTTCGAGTATTTTGAAGGAGTGGTGGAGATTTGTTTTTTACCGTCGAATTTAGAGGAGATACAGAGTGGAACTCGAGACGATTTGAAAAGGAGGAGGAGGAGGTAGAGACGAAAAGGAATACGGATGAGAGAGAGGGTGAGATTTGTGGTACGGCTGGGACATAGGATCGGTGTTGAGTAGAGAGGATTGATGAGGGGTCTCTGGACAAGGCTGGTGATAGTCGTAGCTTGACTCTCAACAGGAGCCCCCAAGACACCTGGCCAAGCCAACAGGGGGGTGAGGTGTTGTGGGGGTCTGCATAGAGGGGGGTTCCAAAGTGTATTGGTTCATACGCTTGTGTTTATTCGGTAAAGTCACGTAGGAAAAAAATAATAATAAAAACAATAGAAATAAAATATTGTATTTATATTATTTTATTTCTACTATTATTTCTATTGATTTTTTTTACCTACGTGACTTTACCGACAAAACCTAAGAGTATGAATCCTTGCAAGTCACGAAAGCTTCAAATCTAGAAGTGTCTCGGTTCCTTTATTCCGCGTGGTTGTTTTGGGAGGGGGCCCCCTCTGAACGTTGTGAGAACGTGCGCGTCTCGTTGAGGTCCGATCATGATTTGTGTTTTCTTTGCGCGTCTGCGTTATTTCGGCGTTTATATAAACGCAGCGAGCGATGTGCTGCATGCACGGTGGGGCATTACATAACCAAATAGGTCGTCCCATTGGCTTCGCACTGCACGGGAGGAGGATGGCTCCATTATTAATAATAATAGGACACTTTTTCATGAAAAACACGCCTCCTGGGCTGTACAATACCGCTCCACCTCGTGATTCCATATTCAGGAACAGAGATGGGTGTAATACGTGCAGGCAAACGCTGGTCTCTTACATAACAGTTTGGCTAAAAGGTTATTGACGTTTTTGCTGCAACTGTCTAGTAAATTACCGGTACATCTCTGCTGTTTTTCTTTGGTACCCACTAGGAATGGACTTTGATAGCCTGTTTTGCCACGATTTTTTTGTATTTATTTTAGTTTGCTATTTAAATGTACGGTAAAAATGTAAGTGATTCTCAGTAATGCTGACAAATTCCATCCATCCACAGCTTTAGCTTTGAAACCCATCCAAACAACACTTTGTCCTTTTTAATACACCTTTGCAAAAAGCAAGATGTCATTGAATGTTATTGTATTGTTTTGCAAAAAAAAAAATGTGCGAGCAAAATACACTGCATGCATTCACCGGTACGAACACACCCGTTGTTCCTCTGATTGTGTGAGATCGTTTTTAAGGTGGGCCAGCTTTAGGCTGCTGAGCCCGCAATGATGGCCACTCAGAACATGACGGTGAGCACTTCCAACGCTCTGGAAGACGACGAGGAGGGCGGCGTGCTCAAGGTGTGCGGCGTGTGTGGAGACAAGGCCACGGGGTACCACTTCAATGCCATGACCTGTGAAGGATGCAAGGGCTTCTTCAGGTATTCGAGATGAAACGTGACCGGCTCTGTCCACCTGGAAAAAACCTTGGACCTGTTTTAATTTAATGCCACCCTTGTGGAGTGAATGAGTCCAAACCCCGTGCACCACAGGGGTAAAGTGCCACAAATTTAAATGGGTGACAAAATTAGGCTATACTCTTTGGTTCTTTCGGTAAAGTCACGTAGGTAAAAAATAAAATAGATCACGACGTTTCGGGCGCAACACAAGCGACCGTCATCAGGTTCTCAATGTTTGATGATTGTTGACGACTACCAGTTTTTAACCCAGTATTTTATTACAATTAAAGAGACAATCGTTAAACTCTTTTTGACATTGGAATCATGGGTCATCATTTTCAGGTGTAATCCATGATATGCTCGGTAGAGAGGTAATTGTGGACAGTTGTTTGTAATTAACTCAATTGTTTTTGATATACTAGGCACAGTTACCCTTGCTCTGTTGCAAAGGTCTATGGAGGACCCTTATATATGCAAATAAACGCAAGTTAGTGCAGGTCTTTGCTTTGATATGAATCCCTGTTAAGCACTTAATTATGTACAGTGTATTGCGGTGATAACCCAATGATTCAATTTAAGACAGTGAGAACTCGAGCAGAGAAAAAAAAATGTTGCTTGTGTAACCAATTTGCATGGCATGTTCCACCTTTGCCCTTAGATCGTGTATTTAATGTTATGGATAAACACCACGTTTAGTAATAAATAGTCTTTAAGAGTTAACGTGGGGGAAGATAAAACTACAAATTTAAGTGTCTAACCAAATACATTTGACTTGTTTTCACAAACGGATTCCATTCCATGCAATCGCAAATGTTATTTTGCACGTATGGTGATTGAAAATTAGCTGGTATCAGTACCCAGGGTACAAGTTGCCTAACGTGCATCGTTTCATGCCATCATGGTGACTGATGTATTTCATTTTGATGAACACACTGAAATATCTGTCTGTATGGGCAGTTGTAGCAGAGATGTGTTTAATACAAGCTGCACTAATGCCCCTTCTGATGGTTGTCAAAGGCTGCCCTGTCTATTATGTTCAACGTTACGTTACATAACTTGTGCAAGATTGTGTGGAGTCACACAAGACAATAGTGCATTCCCTTTAGTGCAGTTCCCTCGTTATTCACGACCTTGCTATCTGCGATTTTGGCTATTCGCGAATTGTATCTGCAACTCTACACGGCTACATCGAGAGAGAGAGAAAAGTGATGAGATAAAGCGATGAAAGAGATAACTTCTTGAAGCTTTAGAAGCGTCTGCAGACGTTGCGCATACGATATTTGTGGGCCAATATTATCCGCGAAATTTGCTCTCCATGAGCATCTCTGGAACGCATCCCTCGTGAGAAGCGAGGGAACGCTGTACTGTATACATTTGTTTTCATTAGCGCCGATATGAGCTTCAATTCAAGTCTTGTAAGAGTTATCCTTTTCATTTATTCATTGAAATAACATTTAACAATAGACATTTGGTTGGTTTTACAAGATGTGCAATATTGTAGGTAAATGGTACGATAGTTGTAAACTGCAATGGATAATAATGTTCATCCCTTATGAATATACTGCTGGATGAATACTTCATCATGATTTTTCAGCCATATTTAAGCACGTTTGGAGACATTTAATCAAACTGATTTGCACAAGTTCGTGATGCGGAGCTCAGAACTGATGAAGAAATTATTCAACTAATGTGAGCCAAAGCAAGGAATCAAACTCTGATTGCAGTATTCATATGTCCATATATCTGTATATTAGAAATAAAGACAAACAGATATAAATTGTCTTTGGAGCAGTTTTTTTGTGAGAATTCATCGATCCGTTTTTTTAAGGAAAGATCTGGGACATTTTAGGTATTTTTTCACAATTTAGATGCAGATAATTGTCTGTTTTAGCATATTGGACTTAGATATTCGCATATAATAGCCTATTGCCGCAAATTGTGCCGTGCATTCTTACATATAGCAGGTGAATTCCCAGTAGATATACTCCCTATGTGGCGTGCATAAATATTACTGATTGCAAAACGTGTCCTATGTAATTGTTGTAATTAGGGTTCTCTTTCGAAGGTGAAAATGGGAAAATAAACGCGGAGGCATTTGTGTTTGTGCAGGAGGAGCATGAAGAGGAGTGCTTCCTTCACTTGTCCATTTGAAGGGAAGTGCAACATCACCAAGGACAACCGCCGGCACTGCCAAGCATGCCGCCTAAAGCGCTGCCGAGATATTGGCATGATGAAAGAGTGTAAGGACGTCCGCCCGCTTACCCACCCCTCCACTGTTCATGAAGGGCAGGTGCACAGATGCATTATGCACAGATGCATTATGTAATATGCATCTGTGCATAAGAGGCAATTAAAATCAGTAAAACCACACCGAGACAATGATCCCCAGTGGAAATTTGCCTCCTACCTCTTCCTTATTTATGCATGCACACCCATCCCCTCCACACAGACACTCGGAAGTAGTTTTGCTCATCCCATCGGCCACACGGCCTTCCCAGCGTGCATGGCATCAAATTAAAACTACTAGCTATTTTTATTGTATCAGGTAGGGCCCACTGAGCGACCTGGCCACAAATGATAGCTCAACCAAGTGGCTTATCATGTGGAAATGTATAGCAGCCAAATACTCGCACGTTTCTAAATGTGGAGGGATAAACCGGAGGACCCGGAGAAAAAAATTACATCACCACGGGGAGAACATCCAAACTTAAAATATAAACGTGTTAAGGTCGGGATCGAACTAATGATCTCTAGCATACGAGGCATGGGAGTTCACATCTCTCACCACCGCGGTGTGACCTTGTCAGAAGTGTCCTGACCAAAAATATGTGACCGGTGCTACTGCCCAATGGTTAATCTGCTTATAGTTAATGCAGGGTCCACAGTTCAGCGGAGGACAAGTCTCACCGTACCGTGGATAACACAAATAACTGTCGAGTTGGGCATATTTATTGGAGGTGTCTCAAGTTAAATTACGAAGCAGCTTTAGCGAGGACAGGTGCAGACAGAGACACACTTGTTGTGGGAAAGTAGACCTTTAGTCCTGCAAGATTAAAGACCTCTGGCCTAAGCTATAAACTTGTCTACAGTGCTGTAAAGCTTTTGTTATTAGCAATTGTTTGCGATTGCTCAACTAACACTTTGTATGTCTGCGTATGAAAGGCAAACGCAATTACTTAATTTCCATCGTGCTTTTCACTCATGAGGTTAGTTGAATATTTGTGGTTCTTCCTACCAAATTTTTTCTCCGAATGTGTAAATTATAACTTGTTTGTAAATATTATTTTGTGAATGTGAAATTTGTGATTGCCAAGAAAGCAAACTTTCGTTCTAAGAGTACTTGTCCCTGGCATATCAACATTGTTTTCCTCTCCAGAGAGGTGTGAGGGTGGTGAGGGCATGGCTGATGGGTGGGTAGACAAGTCACGATATGGTGTCGTAGTGTGGCGTGCATGGGTATAACTGCCCACAGTATACACAGTGACACACCCACGGTTGTAATTGACTACGGAATATTGTGTTCCTTTCTCTTCATGCAATCAGGAATGCATAACCCTCTTTGGTTCCCAGATTGTTTGTAAACGTGTGTCCGTGAATGCAGTGATCATGACAGAGGAGGAAGTGCAGAGGAAAAAAGAGATAATAATGAAGAGGAAGCTTGAAGACACTGCGCGTGAAGTCCATACGCCCCAGCTGTTGGAGGAGCAGGAGCAGCTGATAGCAACGCTCATCGAAGCTCACAGGAAGACCTACGATGCTTCTTATTCCGATTTCTCACAATTCCGGGTAGGCATCGCATTCAGGTCTCTACGCATTGGAAGGTGGTGCATGCTCGAAGGCAGGCAAACTTTGGTTGCTGTATGCAGTCTTAAAAAACATCGGTGCGTGATCATGACAAGCCTTAAACATTTCACATTATTCACGTGAGAAATTTTACAACAAAATTATTTTAATATGATGATTAAAATTATCTACAACTTATACAGCATTATTTACACACTGATAAGAAATTACATCCATATTATAATAATTGGTTCTTTACCCTTCTATCTGGCAACAAAACTGACACCTTTTTGCAAGGAGTCATGTTTGCATAGACCGCAATACCTGCAGTCATAATACAAACAAACAAAAGAACATAACTCTGATAATGTGCACAGAGTTATGTTCTTTTGTTTGTATTATGACTGCAGGTATTGCGGTCTATGCAAACATGACTCCTTGCAAAAAGGTGTCAGTTTTGTTGCCAGATAGAAGGGTAAAGAACCAATTATCATATTTTTACTGGCAAATGAGGTCCCCATAGTACATCCATATTCTTTGGGTCTTTCGGTAAAGTCACGTAGATAGGTTCAAAGAAAATAACAAAAAACTACGACGTTTCGATCGCAACAAAAGCTTCTAAAGGCAAACTCTTTATAAAGGATTGAATTGAGCGTAGCCCAAGTGTCAGCAGCCAATGTTAATGTAAGTGGTGGGCAGCAACCACGAAGGTGGTTGGTTCTCCACCAATAAAATGGCTGCCAGGTGAAAATTAGCACGTTAATACAAGATTGGTGAGAGGCCTCCACGGCGCGCGCACTGAGGTGGCTGTGTTAATGTGACAGATTAACATGTTAATGGCAGATCGCAGAGCAGCAACCTCTAGGTCGGCACGCAAAGTGGCTGTGTTAGTGTGAGAAAAAATCAGAGAGCAGAAAATAACAAACATCGGAAGGGAGTAGGATGGGAACATCACAGCCAGTTATGACTTAAACTGGTTAATAACGTCCTTCCAATGATTGCTCAGTTTGTACCCATCTTTTTCGGTTGAAATTGTATGTCTGTATATACGGGTGGCTTCATGAACGAATCTTTGTTGATAGCCAGTGGATTTGCAAAGTACCTTCGTCTTAGAGAAATCAATTGCGCGTGAGCCCACCACATTAAAACAATGATCAGCCACGGCCGAGGTATTTGTTCCTACCGTGTTTCAAATCTGCCTTATGTTCTCGAACACGGTCCGAGACATGTCGCTTAGTTTCCCCATTGTAACTACTGCTGCAAACACAGCTTAGTTTGTAGACGCCGGGGTATTGCATGTCAGGGATCACATCCTTCACAGATGGGATCAGATCACGAATTTTATGTACTGTGTTAAATCGAACCTGGATCTTGTGTTTGCTCATGATTTCGGAAATATTTTTTGTGACCCCTGCTATGTATGGCAAGGTGATGGCTTTGATTGGGTCCTCAGATGGTTCTTTTCCAACGATTGGGGTGATAGCTTTACGGATTGTGTAGTCTGAATATCCATTCATCTTGAGAGCTTGGTGTACGTGTTCCAGTTCACTGGCTCGGTGATGATGGTTGGAAATACATCGAGCTCTATGGTGTAGAGTTTTGATGAGGGAATTTTTATGGGACTGATGGTGGTGGTAGTCAGGTTTTAAATATGCATCCGTATGGGTGGCTTTCCGGTAGACAGTGTCCCATTGAGCCATCTGGTCTCTTTTCGATTAAAACATCCAAGAATGGTATCTTGCTATCCTTTTCCACCTCCATGGTGAATTTGATGGCTGGGTGTATGGAATTGGTGTGGTTGAGGAATTGGTTCAGAGCTGGTCGGCCATGTGGCCAGATGACGAACGTGTCATCTACGTACCTCTTCCACAAGGACGGACGTAGTGTGGATGCCTGGATGGCATCTGTCTCAAATTTGTCCATGAAAACATTGGCTACAACTGGAGATAAGGGAGAACCCATTGGGGTACCTTCAACTTGTTTGTAGAATGTTCCATTCCAGGTGAAGTAAGTGCTGGTGAGGCAGTCTCGCCAGGGCCGGTACATCAGCATTCAATCCTTGTTGGACCAAATCTTCAATGATTGCAATGGTGTCAGGCACAGGAACTTTGATAAACAAAGAGACTACATCGAAACAAAATCATGAGCAACATTAACATGCTAATCTCTCACATTAACATAGCCACCTCACCGCGCGTCATGGAGGCCGCTCACCGATCTTGCATTAACATGCAAATTTTCACCTGGCAGCCCTTTCATTGGTGGAAAACCAACCACCATCGTGGTTGCAGCCCACCACTTACATTAACATTAGCTGCTGACATTTGGGCTACGCCCATTTCAAACCTTTATAAAGAGTTTGCCTTTAGAAACCCCCTTTTCCTGATGACGACCGTTTGTGTTGTGATAGAAACGTCGTAGTCTTTTGTTATTTTCTTTGAACCTATCTACGTGACTTTACCGAAATACCCAAAGAATATGAATTCCTGCAGTCACGAAAGTTTTAAGTCAAGATTTAAATGACATCCACTTTAAATGTGTCCTCTGAATATTTATGCTCTGTATAATTTGAGAAAAGCCAACAATTGTTTTTTGGTTTTGGTGTGTGCTTGTGTGTCCTCATGATAGTACAAATAGTGCTTGATAAACGATGTTTTTTTTTGCAACAAATTGGTATTCACTGGAGCTTGGAGTAATTTAAATTTGGGCCAGGTGGCAAGTTTTTTTTTATTACATTTTCCATTTAGAAAAAATTGGCTTCATACCACTTTAATGTTAGCTATCACTTTCGTAACGTGCATGTACTCCCTATTGGTGGTGTGCTAATCATGTAAAATAACTTGGAAATATTTCCAAACATACGTTATTAGAAATTGTGGTGACACTGTGCCGTAACTTGCCACATTAAACATTACATTCGCCATGAACAACCTGAGCATATAGCTAATGCCTGGGCACACTCATTTGTTCATTATTGCACGCTGGACACTTGGTATGGCAAACGCAAAAATAGTGCTCAAAAAACATGTACCTCGTGTTTTGCAAGGTGCATCTCAACTTGGGCTCAAATTTCTTGATAGCAACAATGTCAGGATTTCTCCACAAATCTGGCTATCGCCTGATGAAGCTAGTTGTAATTACTGGCGTAACATCGTTCTCAGATGATAAATGTTGTGGATTTGCTCTCCAACACATCGGTGTGCTGTACTTGTAAGGAATTGGCATGTTCTGTTTACGTGACAAACCTTATTAATTGGCTGTGTCGGGTGGTGGCGGGTTTAACGACACATCTAGAAACTTTTCAATCTAAAGTATACGGTGATTTCCTTGAAGTGCCCTTTGAGTCTGTCATTCATTTTAAAATAAGGGGTAAATAGTAAAATGCACTGTTGCGAAGGGCTTACAAGTGTTTACTCGTGTGCATGTTTGTGCCAGGAAGAGTGTCAGTAATGCGAGTAAATTGTGCAATGTGTGTATTGTGCACTGTGATGTGAGAGCTGAATTTTAAGCATGCATTCGTAAGTGTGCCCTGTGTGTAGTTATAGGGCTAATGGAGTGATGCATGTTTGGACTGTTGTAATTTTCCACCCGTGAAGCCTTATTTTAAACGGCTGAGTGCACAACAATGGAAGGTTTGCGCACATTATAGCCCTACGTATCAACGGCATTGATTGGTTAATTATGTTTACCGCTTGCCAATGTGTTTTGTACACATTGAAGCTCACAATTTTGCATATGTATAATTAAGAAGGAAAATTTAGGTCACGTGCTTTTCACCAACAAAGGCAATTATTAACACTTGCCCACAGGAATGTGCATTTCCCTGTTTTATGATGACAGATATCTTGTTGCATATTTGTCAATGTATTATCTGTACGCATAAAAAAAACATTAGGTCTTGTGCTTTAATATAACTATGTTTGCAGCCACCCAAGAGAGGTGATGGCAGCCCTGATTGTAGAAATGCTACCAACCCCTTCCTGATGTCCCTGCTCAACTCAGATATGGACGAGCTTCCCAAAGCTTCTGCAAGTACGTGTGGGCCACCAGTGGTGCCGTTGCTTTGGCTGTCAAAGGCTTTGGGCAGCCGATTGTTAGATTTTATAGTCGTGTGAGGGCATGCTTCAGTACGATGCCCTCTATCGCGTCCAGAGAATGTGCAGCTGTAAGGCATTTTGCCTCGGGTTTAAAGCTCATTTTGAGATGGCGAACACGGATAATGTAGGCTGCGCTAACACACAAATGTTTCTATAGTTTTAGAATGGCCTTTTTTTCAAGATGTTATATTCTTTCATACATTGTAATCCTGATTTTAAAAAAAAAGTGGGATAAAAAAATCCATAGTTGCATGAATTTAATGTAATTGTGTTTATATCAAAACGTACAGCCCCCTGTCTTCTGTAAACATCGTACTGAATAATGGCAAGTAGTTTTGTCGAAGTTTTTGTTTCCACTTTTGACACAAGTGTTTATACATCGTTAAATTAGCAGTCCTGCTGAAAGTGCTTGGCGCGAAAAGTTTGTTATGCAGTTGATGTTTCATGTGATAATGTTCTTCTAGAATTTAAGGATTATTATTTTTAAAATTATAGCCACATTGATTTGTAGGGAAAATCAGATGCTTCGTTAATCTGTTAATTTTTGATTGTTAAAAGTGAAAGACATTTATTTACATGATTCTAAACATATTTATTGTGTAGTATCAGATGTCAGTCATGTAAGGGGCCAGTGTTTACGGTGATCCTGTGATGTTCATTTCATTTTGTGTTTTATAACCGTGTCCACTGTATTCATACAATTGCCGTCTAAGGTGGCCCCAAAGATACGGGTCTCATTCAAATGTGAAATATGCCAAATTATTGTAAGAACTGAAGACAAGTATGTAAAAACCAAAATAAAAATGTTAATATTCTTATTGTGAAGTAAGGTCAGAGCAATTCCATTCGTTTGCAATTTGATACATCGCATCGCAAGGCGTGGCAATTGAATTTTCATTTATTCGACTATAGTCAGCGAGTCCGTTTTTTTGTTGTTGATATGATACCATTAATAATAGCAGTGGAAAATACAAAATAAGCCCATTCCCCTTAAATTTGGTTATATAAAAGATAACGTTTGCCAAAAATGTGCTCCGAGTATTCACTACTGTTACCTTGCCGCCATATCGATTGGTGAAAAAATAAGAATCGGCTTTACCCTTCTTGGCAGTAAAACAGCTGCTAAGATGTTCAAACATCAAATAGATATCTATTTCAAGGCATCAGGTCTGCAGTAACCACACAAACTTGTGGCAAAACATGCAAACAAACATGTTCTAAATGTCATTCTATTATTAATTGATTTAATTTTTTACGCGACTTTACTGAAAGAACCAAAGAGTAATGTTCTAATAATAGATGCATCGATGACTTTTCGGTCATCTACCCTACGTTTGTCTCGTTTTTCTTATCTTCACCACATTTCCCCCTTCTCCCTGTGCCCTGTTGTTCTGTATATTAACATGAAACGAGCATGTTCGCTTACATTTTGCACAATCAAATCTTGGGCAAGCGGTTCCATACGTTGTATCGTGTAGGTAAATAATCTATTTTGATTGTTGCACCGTTGTGGGTAGTAGATGTAAAACATGTTTGTGGAGAATGAGAGTTCCTTTTTTTATTAAACAAGCAGGGGGTTGGGGGGCCATGTGGGTGTTCCGGCAGGTGGTGAAGAGGCCGCAGCGGGTGACGAGCTCTCCATGCTGCCCCATCTGGCCGATCTTGTCAGTTACAGCATTCAGAAAGTCATCGGCTTTGCCAAGATGATCCCTGGTTTCAAGTGAGCATGTCAAGCATCAACTAAACACCAGATTTAGAAGCCTGGCTGTCCGATTTAAGTGATCAAGCACTCTACCGATTTGTAGATTGGATTCCTCGGCGAATCGGATAACATGAAAATAGTTGAGGGAAAAAAGGAATCTCGTCTCTGTTTCCCACGTGTGCCACTGGATGGGAGGTGTTTTTTTGGTGGAGCTTGATATCATTCTCGACCGTGTCATGTTGAGTGTGGCTTGTAGCAGGTATCCTGCTATGTGTGGCCATTTTTAAAGGGGCCCTATAGAAAAAAGTCAGTGACAATTGAGTCCATTACATAACTCGGTCGATGAATTGTGCCAGAGCTTCATCAAGTGAGTTAACGAAAGTGGAAGCGACATTTAGAATTAATTGGGACAGCCTAATTATTGTGGAGAGTTTGGATTCGTGATTGTCCTTTCTAATTATTTGCCAAATTACAGAGAGCGTCTGTGGTAAATAATCTCAGTTTGCACATTCACATGGTGTAACATTGAGGATATAATTTGTATTATTTATCAAAACTAAATTTTTACTTTCCATTTACATTGCTAAAATTTAATGACTGATTGTATAGATTGGGTTGAGATCTCATTTACGTGTAGCCTTGGTAGGCCAGCTTGTGTTAGTTATTTATTGCGTCGGTTATCTGGTTTTTATCATGGTGTGTCTTAAGGTTTACCCACTGATAATCACACGGGGTGCTGTATGCCATGTGTAAAATACAATATCTCGACACCAGTAGGCCAGCTTTCCATTCAATAAAACTTTAATGATGGGTTTGTCGTTGCACTTTTTTTTATATGATGCATTAAGTTGATGTACAAATAGGGCATTTTGTAGTGCCGCCAATGCCTAAATGGAACATGTTCAAGATTTACAGTTTCTATTTGTCTGTTCAGGGTTGGCCCAAACGTTCCAAAGTCTGTAAATAATTTAATTTAACAAGTCATTTTCTGTTTGTGACAGAGAGCTGTGCACGGAGGATCAGATTTCCCTGCTCAAGGCCAGTGCCATTGAAATCATCATCCTCCGCTCCAACGAGTCCTTCACGATGGAGGACAATTCTTGGACCTGTGGCAGCAACGAGTTCAAATATCAGATCGGCGACGTTATGCAGGGCAAGTGTAATTATGATATATATATAAAATGTTGATACTTGCATTTATATTGTGCCCGTAATGTAACGAAACATCACGGCACAGTTTTTTTAGTCCATTCAGAACACAACAAGTTGACGAGTTGCAACAAAAATGAGTCATATTTAACTTTAGAACCGAAATGGCAGCATATTGACATCGTGTTAAACTCAAACTACTTTTGAAACTTAGAATTTTCCAATCTCTGATTATTCTTTTATTCACCAAATGCCACCTGATTTTTTTTGTAGCTGTATTGTACATCTTTAAACGCTGTATTCAAAATGTAAATTTTTGTGTTTCTGTCACTTCCCCAATGTTCGTCTTCTGAGCAATCCTTGTGGCCAGTAATACGCTGTCATTTGCTATTTTCCTTTCATATTGGCATTATACGCCCCTCAATAGCGTATTAAGTATTGAAAATGTCTTCTTTTGGTGATTGAATTTACGGTCTATGTGGTTTAAGCCCATGTACCTCCCCCGCACAGCCTTATATGGTAATTTGCCTGCACAGGTGTTGCCAACATAATGGTTTTCAGAAAAAATCTGTGCAAACATTAATTTCCTTCACCATTATTCACCTAATTTCTGTTTCTCGGTTATTTTTTTGTGAAAATAATTAACAGATTTTTAATGCTGGACATAAGGCTTTTTTGTGCCCTGTCAGTCATGGGGTTTATTTAAACATAATTCATGCTGGTCCATGCTGCTTGGTGAAGGTGAGAGGCCATGGACCTGTTCAATATCCCTCACCACTGATGATAGCCGTGAGCTCGGGTTGCCCGGGCTCATAGTGCATTGCGCCCACCGCTGTGCAACTGCTGCCCTGCAGTTATTATTAAGTGGGCGCTACGGTGGAGAGATGTTAACTGACTTTGTGACTTTACCGAAAGAACCAAAGAATAATTCCTGCAGTCACGAAAGCTCCAAATTAAGTTTGAGATGTTAACTCCCTCGTCTGGTATGCTGGAGGTCGTTAGTTCGATCCCGACCTTGACACCTGTATATTTAGAGTTTGCGTGTTCTCCCCGTGGTTGCGTGGATTTTTCTCCGGGTCCTCCGGTTTTTCCCTCCGCATTTAGAAACATGCGTTGAGAGTATTTGGCTGCTATAAATACCTACATGATAAGCCTCTGCATTGAGTTGTCATTTGTAGCCAGGTCGCTTCTGAAAAAGAGCTATATAGCTCCAGTTAAAATAAAATATATTTTTATAATTTTCTTTTATTATTACTTGGGTGTAATTTAATCGCTGAAATACTGCAACGCGTTTTGGAGATGTAAATGTTTCGCCAAAACATGTGTTGTAGCTGGACACAAGTTGGAGCTTCTGGAGCCCCTTGTCAAGTTCCAGGTCAACATGAAGAAACTTGACCTCCATGAGGCTGAGCACGTGCTGCTCATGGCTATCTGCCTCTTCTCTCCCGGTCAGTGGTGATTCAACGCTCCTCCTTCAAGGAACCTTGCGCCTGCCAAATATCAATATGCCCGTCACATGCTGCCATTCACAATCCCAAGAGACACGTTCTTTTGCACAGACGCAACTCGTAGTATCGGTAAAGTCACGTAGGTAAAAAATAAAATAAATTAAAATGAAAACAACTACATTTAATCACGACGTTTCGGAAGCAACACAAGCCTTCAGGTGGAACCGCCACAGCAAAATTACTGCAGTGATTTAATTTAGTTGTTTCATTTTAATTTATTTTATTTTTTACCTACGTGACTTTACCGAAAAAAATCTAGACTTAACTCGCAGTGTTACTCTGTATAAGCAGTTAATTGGCTTGAGGCACGATGCAATGCGACTCTATTTTGTGTAGTATTTGGTTATAGCTTGCTCTCAGGAGGGACACTCATTGGGCAAAATTTCCCTGCGGTGCTTTCTAGGGTTTTGCGCTCTAGGCTATTTGGTTCATGTCTTAGATTCAAATCCTTCAAATCTAACACTGCAAGCCTGGAGTACACAGCTGCAAGAGTTAAGAACTGTTGGGCAATTCTCATTTATCTTTAATGCATCACATTCTTATCACTTGATTGCTTCCTGGTTGGATTATAAATTTGAATATAAATCGTTAAGCTTATTTTATGTTAATTGTATATTGTTTAAGTATGGTCCTGATCTAAATTGTCTATTTTACCATCTATGTTTCCCCTTTTAATGATATATTTTCACTTTATATTGTTACCATTTTTAATTCGTGCTGTAACCCGAGGTCACCCTTCTCAACAATCCCATGTTCACATGTTCATCTGTATGGGTCATTTCCATTTCCTGGTGAAATAAACGTTGGATTGGATTGTGTAGGTAGAGCCCATTGAGAGATAAAATTGGTTCTTTTGAAACGCTTATTCAATCTTCAATCAGTGGGAGGTCGATCCTCCCCATCTGCTGCCCAGGTTGTCTGTAACTTCCTTCCCCCAGCCATTCATGCTGTCGACTTTCTGCCCCCGTTCATTTTTTTTATTCTGTGTTTGGTCGCCTCGACAAAATCATTATGCCCAATGCTTTCTTTGCAGCATCTTGAGATGCAGTTGCATTGAAATGCTCTAAAATCAAAATTGTGTTGTCCAAAGGAGAAATACAGGTCAACGGGTAAAGGCTATGTAATTATGAAAGCAATTTTGCTTGCAAAAACACTTTTTCTTCTTTGTTCTTTCGGTAAAGTCACGTAGAAGGGAAATAATTAAATAATAAAAATAAAACATAATAAAATAATTCTCACGACGTTTCGGCCACAATGCAAGCAGCCGTCCTCAGGTGAAGAACAGGTCTGTCGGAAAGACAGCATCTGACGCTGAGTTGCCCCTCCTGAGAGAGCAAGCTTTCCGACAGACCTGTTCTTCACCTGAGGACGGCTGCTTGCATTGTGGCCGAAACGTCGTGAGAATTATGTTATTATGTTTTATTATTTTATTATTTCCCTTCTACGTGACTTTACCGAAAGAACCAAGAAGATGAATCCTTGCAGTCACGAAAGCTTTAAATCGAAAAAAAAACACTTTTCTTAACGAATCACGTGTGGTGCAAGGTGTGTAACGTTTAGTCGCACGTTGCTGCTGTCAGACCGGCCTGGTGTACAAGACCGTTGCAGGGTGGAGGAGGTGCAGGAGCACCTGACGGAGACGCTGCGCGCCTACATCGCTTGTCGCCACCCGCTCTCCTGCAAGCACATGCTCTACGCCAAGATGGTGGAGAAGCTGACCGAGCTGAGGAGCCTCAACGAGGAGCACTCTAAGCAGTACCTGCAGATCTCGCAGGACGCCGTCAACAAGGAAGACCTGCCGCCACTCCTGCTGGAGGTCTTTGGCAACCCGACCGCATGAAGACAGGGAGGACCTGACGCAACTTTGGACGGACGAGTGGAGAGATTGCTGCCCTCTTGTGAGAATTTGCACTGGCGAACAGGTCATCACTACTGAAGAGTCATTATTTTTCTACGTGCATGCCTCCATTACTTATCTTAAAAGGCTGTGTTAATATATATATTATAGCTGGGAGGAATAATGGAAATATCAATGACATATTTTTATTAAACTAAACTCTCTAGATATTTTTTTAAAATATGCATTTGGCCTACGGCGACCTGCAGAGGGTGACATACACTCGAAGCGGGTGCTTAAGGTCTGCATAGGCTCATTCAAATCCTCACAACTTAGATTTAAGTTATTGTTTTATAGGCCAACAATCATGGAATTAATTGTATTCTATAATAAACATAGAATATGCCACGCAGGAGGCTATATGTAATGTTTTAGGGGATAGCCTTACATCTCAAAGTAGCTGATATTGTTTATTTTTCTGGAAGAGGCCCCAATAGAATGCTTGTGTTAATTGTATTTTGTTTAAGCTCGGCACTAATATATACGTACTGTGACCTCAATCCAGCCGACTGAAGATTGGCAATCACATATAGCCTCCTCTAAGAAATGTACTGCATGTGTATATACACCATATAAATGATAAACTTAGATTTAACGCAAAATACTAATATGCAGCGTTACGTACATTTTATGGAACGTGACTAAATGTATAAAAATGTATAAAGATCATGCCACGGTATACAGGGATGTAAACTAATAATTGAAGCGAAATATTTGACCCGTCAAACCAATCGTTGTCAAGTTTAACTCCAGTGTGCCTCAGTTCACCGTGCAGTCCTGGCTTCAATTGACGATGCCGGCCAGCGTTCGCCCTGTCCCAGCCGAGGTCTGTGCGTGACTGCTGTGGAGCCATCTAGTCAGGAGAGGGCGTTGCAGCAACATCCACCTGCATTGTTACGCTGCTCCAGCGTGTTTAGGCTCCCCACCAACTTCACCCAATGGGCGCGTGACCCAGCGTGATGATCAAATAGCCCCCCCCCCCCCCCCACGAGCCGCGAGGAATGGGAAGGCACTCTTCCAGCATTGGATTGACAAAAGGGCACTGCGGATGCACGTACATAGTTGAAAAATTGGAATAGGTTGTACCCTTTCTGGCAATAAAACAGATGTTAGGATGTATGGATATATGCATTAAATCTTGGCTTAAAACTTTCGTAACTGCAGGAATTCATATTATTTGGGTATTTCGGTAAAGTCATGTAGATCGGTTCAAAGAAAATAACAAAACAATAAAACTACAGCGTTTCCTGAAGACGACCGCTTGTGTTGCAATCGGAACGTCGTAGTTTTTGTTTTTTGTTATTTTCTTTGAACCTATCTACGTGACTTTACCGAATGACCCAAAGAATAATATATGCGCTGTCTTCGAAACTGATTGGCCTACACCTAGAGACAGCCTTTCTTGTTATCAGAGCATGTTTGTTTGGATGTTCACCACAGGTACGTGTGGTTAATGCAGACTTGATTCTATATGATGTTTGAATATCTTAATACTTGTTTTATTGCCAGAATGAGTAAAACCTATCTTATTTTTCATATTTTGATACTGGAAAAAAGATCCGATGATACTTATATAGTTATTAAATGTGGCAATATTTTATGGGGATATATACACAATCTGCTTCAGAATAGTGGTTTGATTCCAAAAATTCTCAACAATGTTCCGTTTTTCTTCAGATGACATGTTAATGATTGCACAGGTGATTTTCTAGCCAGAGACTCCAATCATTTGCATCATTCCTTTACCTGGATTATATGGGCACGCTGCACTGGTGGCATGCACGTAGTACGTGTGCTACTTTGAATGTTAGAAGACCTCCATGCAGTCATACGCTTCATGCACTACACTCCACTTATCGCTGGCAAAGATGGGTTAGCCTGTTTTGTAAATATGTGCGTGGCTGAGCAAATGTACTTTCAGGCTTTTGTGGTCCCTCGAAGAATCTGCAGAAGAAAATGCAACTTGTGACTGCGCAGTAAGTAATAATGTCCTTTTTAACCCAGTGGTACTGGGTGCTTTATACGTAGCCGTGCCTAATCCTAGAGGAGGGACACCATGGTAGGGGTGAGTAAGCTTTCCTCTGTCTCTTCTGCAGTGGTAACAAGATTTTCGGGCATTGTCTGGGTAATGGTGGTACTCTGGTGTATCGCTTAACGTTTGTGGAAGTCTTCAATGTTTGCTGGTACTGAACAAAATGTGGAATGCATGCAAAGTGGTTTTGAAAAGCACAACGTGTTCATTTAACAACAACAATGCCACGTGACCTGTGCAGGGGCAGGTCTGTAATGTGGACGTCTGGTTCTGCCACAGAATGTTTCATGCAACTTTGCTTGGAAATGACCTAAATGCCATAAAAGTGCTGCTGAATTTGGCATTGCTAAGATCAAATCACAAGGCAAGAAGAGTTGTAAATTTGAAACTATTGTGAATCACCAAGGAGGAGGAGGCAACACAATTGTAGAGTTGCAATTTCCATGTTGGTTAGCACAGGCATTGCTTGATATATCTGGTGCGCAATTCAAACTTATGTTTTAATTCGCAGAATGATTTATAAAGTGGTAAGAGGAGGATATTATCCAGCGTTTAACTACATTGCTGTGTAAGAAAACGAAAATGTTCTCAAATAAAATCCCGATAGCGTGATTTCTTCATTGAGCAGTTGTAGTTTACTCCTCCCCCTGTGGTATACTATGGTCCTGAGCATTTCAAAGTGGCAGTGTGGTGCAATAGGAGATCAGCTTAGGTTTGTTCCTTTCCCAAGGCCAGTAAATGTACAAATATGAGGATTTGATTAGTCTCATTCGCACTATTTTAACGATTGCAAATAATTGCATTGATGCTGATATATGTAGTTGTATTTTGTCGGGGTTTCTTTATGGAATGGAAACATGTATTGTTGATTGTGATTGGAAACAAAAGAATGCTATCGCAGAGACATAGCATGTGACGGGCAACTGCATGGCGCGTGTACATGTGCTATCGGGGCATGGAGGCAGAACTAGGTATTTCTGTTAGTGTTGCTAGGATGGACAGTTTTAAATCCTGACTTTATTTGCTGAGCTTGTGCTTCAGCCAATAGGCAACTGGAGCCAGTAACATAAATAAGACTGTGTCTTAATGCTAAACGGCCAAACCAGAACACATTGTCAGTGTTGTGTCGGTGGTGAAAGAGATGACAGTTGTGGTTCGCCAGTGTCCTTGGTTGGGCAACCGCGTAGCATCTGCTCAGACAGTGACGGGAGTATTTAAGTCTTTTGTTTTCAATTTAGGGAAAAAAAAACAGCCTATGGGATGTATGCCAGAGTTAATGCATGCAAAAAGAAAGGCATTCAGGGGAACGGCAAATACATGCTGTGCTGGAAATGTTGACTTAAAATGATGATAATGAGTACATTTTTTCAGAGCACAAATGTGCCCTTCCTGTTTACATGCAACCCCCAACCTGCTGTAGAACTGGTGAATTAGCTGTCGATGTGTACCATAGGTGAAATGGTTTTGCGAATTGCCGAACATATTTTACACAGTTGTCCAGTGTGCCCACGATTATAATTTTTTTTTTAAACATTTGAGTGATGTGCGATTATCATGTTGGATCGCTGTCGAAATTGTTGTGATGCCTCTTTTACACTGCGGTCATCATGTCACCTTTGCACAGACCCTGCATCTCTTAGTACGTGTTTTATGGTTCACTTGTACGCCATGGACCGGCGACGTGGATTGTTACTTACGGATTGATCACGGTGAAGTAATTCTTAATGTGTTTGCGTGTTACGATGCATTGAAAATTATGTGCATCGTTAACTATGCAAACGTACTGCTTTCACTGTTGTATCCTCTTGCATCAAGAGTAACCCTGCCAGCAAGCATTAGTCTCCTTCCGATGCACCAAGTATGTGTCCGAGACCCCAATCATTGCCATTCGAGGCATCTGCTCTTATATTAACGGAAACACTTATAACTGCATTCGTTTTGACAATTTCTTGTTAACATGCATATTGCATGCTGCATTTGTTTTGTTTGAAGAATGTGTGGTCTATTTTCGGTTTACCTTGCACAACTCTTTTCTCAACTTTACGAATATGCATATGCTAAACCCAGAAAGGGCTGCTTTGATACCTTAAGGAAAGTTTGGTCTGGTGATTAATGTGATTGTAATGGAGGTCAGTAGCTGCTGGTATTTGTACTTTTAACACGTTTCAAAAAACTGTGCCTCTCGTTTGCAGAAACACATTTGCTGTGTTTCAGAAGGCAGTTTAGAGAGAATTGTATTTAAATCCACAACATTACGTGTGTAGTTTCTGCCAATATGAGCTCTCTGGTGTGGTCACTCAACTCTGCTGCTAAGTGCATCATACCCAACAGACGACATTCTCGAGTGCTTTGTGAGCTCGTCTGTCAGAACAGCACCATTCTGCTCTGTAATAATTGTCCAGCCTTTCCAATAGATTGCCAAATTAGTCGCTTTAATTGTCCTCTTTGAAACAGGCACTTTTATCCGGAAAGTTACAAACCCGTTTGTTACACTTGGTAGTTAATGCGTGGTGCTATCACGTGTGGTTTATGAATTGAACATGTATGTGTGTCTGCAATATGTAACACATTCACGACAAATGTGCTCTCGCATACGGACACCTTGGAGGGACATCATGGTCTACCTCTCTTTGAATCAGGTCCGCGATGAAATAGGGGCACCAGTAAAATATTTCGTCTGGATATATTTGTTATTCAACAGGCACTTGTTGTTGTTGTGTATCGTGTTATGTCTGTTCTATGTTGGTCACAGGAGAAGTTCTGCAAATACCATATACGTCTATATATAATGAATGATCATTGTTCGCACTTTGTTATTTAAAGATAAAATCAGCCGAAGACCATAATTGTCTTCTGTACAGGATTGTAATTCTCAACATCATGGTAGACACATGTCATATTAACATAGTGAAACGTTTTTTTTTGCAATATGTATTCACATCACAATGAAAATGCATATAGTTTCATAATTGCTTCTGTATTTAGATGCTTTTGCTTATGATATTGTGAGCCTGAGTACTCGTTTATTTGCTCAACCCTACTCTAAGTTATTTGCAAATGTACATCAGAGATTTGGTCATTTCATCAGTGGTACCATTCCACTTGATAGCAATCTTACCTCAAATTTGAAGTTAAACACAAATCTCAAGGACTGATTCTTCACGGGTGTTACAAGGTACAGAACATTACTCATATCTGCCACTATCCACCCCTCTGCCGCTTTCACCTGTACAATATTTGCAAAGTCCGCCCCCCTCATCTCAACTACGCTGCAAAATCTTCCAATTCACTCCCTCATCTTCGACCCAATTATTTAAACTCCCTTATGCTTGGTGGGTCCTTTACCTCCTATGCATTCAAACCACTCCCAGACAAGTTCAAAATGCCTCTGGGTCATCTTCAACCTCCTCGACCACTCCCAGACATCGCCCTCTCCTCCATCCAGCTACACTGGATTTTATCCCTCTATTTTAAGATCGATATGTGTTGAACTGTAAATGTTGTGGATTCACTCTTCAACACACCGGCGGGCTAAAGTCGTGAACTATTTGTCTTTTGTCAACGTGACACTTTTTTGCTGATTGGCCGTGTCGGGTGGTGGAGGGTTACGACACATTTATAAATAACGCGATCTAACCGAAAAACGTTTATTATGAATTGGCACATTTTGTTTACGTGAGAAACCTTACTAATTGGCTGTGTCGGGTGGTGGCGGGTTTAACGACTCATTTATATTTTCGCAATCTAACCCCAAAACAAAAACCTTTTATGGATAATATCGGTCACGAAAGCCTGATGTGTGTTTAACAACACTGGCTTCCCCGGCTACTGCCGTTGCCTTTTCAAATTCCTCAAACTCGTTTACAATTCTCTCCGTGGTCTCGCCGCAACGTACATCTCGCGTCTCTCGTTTCGTTCTACGGTCCTCGTCCTCTCACAATCCCAGCTGTCTGTCCCCCCCCTCCTCCTCCTCCGCATGCCCGATCACAATTCCATTATTTTGCGTTTCTGGCCCCTTACACCGGGAACAAGCTGCCCCCTACATTTCAAACAGTCCTCGCTGTCCACGTCTCGTTCTTCCCTTAAAACTTGCTAATTTGTCCTTGCTTATTCCCAACTCCAACCCTTCCTCTTCCCCATCATTAACACCATCCCTCTTCCCAACCTCCCTGCCCATTCAGCACACTCATCGTTCACCACTCACTTTCATCGTTTATTTCACGCAGCATCATATTCATGTACAGGACCACCATTCTCATCAATTTCATGACAATTCTGCTGTACAATTTTCTTAATTCTTTGTTCAGCACCTTGGTGAAGGCGATATAAAAAAGAAGAGATTGTCCCGACGTGTCTTCAAATAACGTAATGTAATGCAGAGTTGCGGAATTCCCCTGGATATTACTCGCACGATTTTGCAGTTTTTTTTTTCCCCAACAGCATTTTTTTATCATCAAAGCACTTATCAAATAAATCACTGTGTTAAGTTCACCTTCACAAACTCTGTCCTGTTTGAAAAGCATGTCAAGTGTTGTCTGAGGTGAAATTTGTGACATGGGCTATGGCGAATCGTGTTTTAATAAAGAAGCCGCTTGAATTTCAGAGCCGTTGGATGGCTTGAGGTTGGGAGCACACTGTTAGTGCTCGTTTAAATTGCTTTCACAGTGGCTATATTTTCATATTGCATTAGCTCTTGAACACTGCACCCTGCTGTATATTTGTATATTTATGGAATACCCACCTATTGAGGGATGCAGTTTGACTTAAATTTGCTGGTAAATTTATATTTTTTGACAATGTTTAGATTTTAGAATATTCGGGTATGTGAACATGTTACACGAGGGTAATTGAACGTCTCATTCTGATACTTGTTAACCCAGTCATCTCTGAATAGACAGTATAATTTTTTTTTACAATTGAGAGTTGATTTGTAAAAAAAAAATCAAGGTATTGTGATGGCCAACATTAAACATCATTTACCTTCGGCAAATTACTAACTTGCATAGGTTCCCATGGGTTACACGGGATAGAAACGAGCAAATATGGGACTTTGAAGCTGTATAGTTATTTTAATTTGATACATTTACAAAATGAATTAGGCCATTTCCCACTCTTAAAATATCCACTAAGATATAAAATTGGTATGGATATCCTGGGTAGAAGCAATATGGACCATTCATATATCATGCCTGGTGAAAAATTGGTAGAACCCATAATTATTTCACTATTTATGATTTAAAAAAATAGAAATAAGAGCTTTTGTTCAAGCTTTTGTCAAATTGTTGAATCCTTCGAGATCGTCATTGCATAATCCAATATACAGTCTCGTAAACCTATTAAGTCACTCGTCGGTGAACGGTTTATTGTGTGTCCATGTTATGAACGTTGTGAATGCTGCTTTGAGTGGGTAAGTGCCGCTGTGGGAGCGTGCCTGCCGTTAATGTTTTACCATTGCCTTTGTTAGTACTGTGGCATTGTGAGAATTTAGCAATTTCTCTATAATCTATTTACAAATTATTATATTTGTATATAAATTGTTGTAAAATAAATTCAAAACAAAACAGTGTTGTTTAATCCTTCCATGAAAAAGGAGTTGCATTGAAGAGGTGTATATGATGAGGGATTCGCGTGTTAACCAAAATGTAAAGTACAAATATTTGTGGCAAAATAACGTTGTCTTGTATACAGCTCGCTTTTAGAACATTTACAAATACTTTAAACACACACACACATGGGCTATGACGAAGAGCCTGACACATTGCTTAATTTCCATTTTTTCCAAGGCAGTGTTATCGATGAATGTGATGTGGCTTTTAATGTTTGCTTGTGCAAAACCCGCTCCTACAGGACATCTGTGAAAAAGACCTGCGAAGTTGTCTGATTCCTCCCGTCTGAATACAGATTTTTGATTCTGAGAGCAGCTTCACCAAATAATTCGTTCCAAATTTGTAGATTTTAACACGTCAAGTGAATATGGCAAATAGATGCTTTGAGATGTGCCAAAATTGAGGGGCTTTGCAGGCCAAGTAGCATTGGGCAAGCTGGTAAAATTGGGTGGTTACATTTTAACCCCCATATAGCTGTAGGTATGCAAACTGGGTTATGACTGCATGGGACATTTACAGTAATGTAGGTAGACCTGAGGTATGGGGTCGGTTAAATGCAGGTGTTTTTTTTGTAAAGCACAGGGCATTTAAATTCTTATACTGGTAGGAACCTCCTGGTTACACCATTGCCCACAGGGGATTATTGTGTTCGTCCGTCGTGCAGGGAGGAGCTGGGTGGGGAGGGAGGGGCTGGGTGGGGAGGGGAGGGTGGGGCTGGGTGGGGAGGGGAGGGTGGGGCTGGGTGGGGAGGGGAGGGTGGGGCTGGGTGGGGAGGGGCTGGTCACCCCGTGGTGTCCTTATAAAACTCAACGTTTAACCTACGCACGCCGGCTTGTGCCCGCCCTCAGTCGGGCATATTTGCGGAATACACCACGCCGCCGTTGACCCTGGCCATTGACCGAGCAACCCAATGTTCCTACCAGCTCCCTCCGCAGGAATGTGTTGAAAATACGTCTAGTTGCATGAGGTGAATGGGAAATGGACCATTATGTAATATCCCCCATACCAATGACCACTGCATTATGACGAACAGTGTAAATGTTATGAACACAGGTAGATTGAGTAACGTGGTATTTTGTTGCTATTTAAAGCACCTGAGGTAACATTCAACCCAGACTTAATTTACAGCGTTTATTTAACTCTTTTTTTCACATTTGAACAAGTTATACAATTTTGAGACATTTTTCAATCCTATTATAACACACGTTTTAACGCATTGGTAAATTCAGGGTTTTCATTTTTGTCGAGGTTTTAAGTTGTACACTTTCGTAGAAATACTCGTATTAAAATAACTTTAAACTCGTGATAAAGTCTAATAACAAAATCTTTTTTTTCATATGCTATTTGGACATGTTACTTTTTAAATGCACTATTAGCTCATGTAATTCTGCAACCACTCCTGATCCTGTTGCGTATTGGCCCACTCGAGCCTGCCTCCCGATCCGAGATGCCCGTGTCCCTCTCGATTCGGTGCGACCAGGTGTGACGAGGCCTGCCAGGTGTGACGAGGCTGGCCAGGTGTGACGAGGCCTGCCAGGTGTGACGAAGCTGGCCAGGTGTGACGAGGCTGGCCAGGTGTGACGAGGCCTGCCAGGTGTGACGAGGCTGGCCAGGTGTGACGAGGCTGGCCAGGTGTGACGAGGCCTGCCAGGTGTGACGAGGGTGGCCAGGTGTGACGAGGCCTGCCAGGTGTGACGAGGCCTGCCAGGTGTGACGAGGCTGGCCAGGTGTGACGAGGCCTGCCAGGTGTGACGAGGCCTGCCAGGTGTGACGAGGGTGGCCAGGTGTGACGAGGCTGGCCAGGTGTGACGAGGCCTGCCAGGTGTGACGAGGCCGGCCAGGTGTGACGAGGCCGGCCAGGTGTGACGAGGCCGGCCAGGTGTGACGAGGCTGGCTAGGTGGACTATCGACACTTGGTCTCACTCGGTACCTCTATTTAAAAGAATGTTGCCTTCTATACAGATCGCTGTTTGAACATTTCCAAATCCTTAAAACACACATACTTAATGGGCTACGAAGAAGGGCGGGTCGCCTGACACGTTGCTGAATTTATATTTTTCCGAAGGCAGTGTTATCGATGAATGTGACTTTGTTTGGTCCTTTTTTTCTGCGTTTGCACCAGCCGGCCCCTATTGGACATTTGTGAAAAAGACCTGCATAGCTCATCAGATTCCTCCGGTCTAAATAAAGATTCTGAACAAAACTGTCAGGGTGGCATGGGCTGAGGTGTTTAACGGCATCTTTCCGACGTGGCCGAACGTCGATAATTGCCGCTCGCCTACCGCAAGATGGATGTTTCTAAGACCGGTACATGCTGTTACTGCATCGTTGGCGACACATTCGTACTCCATTCCACGTGGAACAACAACATTGACACATCGGTACGCGGTACAGTCCATGTCTTGGCCCTTTGCGATCTTTGCAAAGTGAATATCTGGGATAATGTGAATGACGAGGCAGAGCAACCCAACGTTCCTACCAGATCCCTCCGCAGGAATGTGTTATATTTGGCGAAGGCTGTTTATGCTATTGTATGTCATTCTTTGCTTCATCCGGACGCCTGCTGGAGGATACTTTGCAATCAACCTTCTTGCCTTCACCTTGAAGAGGACCCATGACGTATGGGGTGAAAGTTTCAATGAACGCGAAGTAGTTGGAGTGAAATAAATGTTGTAGGTACCCACTCTGTAGCATCGGGATCCACGCCATTTGTTCTTTGATGTTGACCTACGGCAGGGGTCGGAAAACCTGCGGCTCTTTTACGAACTGCTTCGTGACGTAATGTATGTCTCTATATGTATATGTGTATATTATGCGTGTATGTATTGTGGGGAGCGGTAGCGTAGCGGTTAGCACACTGCGCTACTGAGCCTGGCGACTCGGGTTCGATTCCTGCTCACGGCCAACACCAGTGACGGTCACCTGAACCGCTACTGGGCCTCCCCTAGGTCGACTCAGCCTCAAATTAGTGCCTGGTGCGGTGTGTAAACATCGCCACTAGGGAGACAAAGGCGGCCGGGCGTGGTGCTGACCACCCAACCCCATGTACCGTGATGGCCTTCATAGGTGCTCGCCAACAGCACTTGCCCCAACCGTCTGTTACAGGCTACACGGGGGATCCTTGTGTAGTGTAGTAGAACGACACTCGGTATGGGGGCTGTCGGCAGGTGTCACGGAGGTCGTGTCGAGGCCGTGACACTCTGCGTGAACCTAACAGGACACGTGATAAAGGGGAGTCACGTGGTTGGGGTTCAGGCCTTCCCGAAGGATCGGGAAGAGGGGTGTGGCCTGGGGTGGAGCCGACCACGCCGGAGGGGGTTATAAGCGGGGTGTGGACGGAGAGCTGGGCTGTTCTGCTGGGTCAACTCTGGGATGTCTCCGGTCCAGGAATGTAGTATCCTGGTGTGTTAGCTAAATTAGGAACGGTGGTTACCACCCTATGTCGTTATCCTGTTAATGTTAAGAGTTACCCGTTGTGTTTAGATCATAGTGTTGCCTCCAAAGTCCAGTGTGCACCTGCATTTAACGCACTACATATGTATTCTCGTGCATTGCGGCTCTTTAAGTATTGAGTTTTATATCGAATTCAAAACAAAAATTTATCCTCTTGTTATTTTGGTTGCCCCCCCCCCGCCCCCCCAGCTATGACCACGTAGATATTATTCCCTTGCGTTACCACTTTGCTCCCCGCGGCTCCCTAGCGGGCAAGTTCCTACAGGTTTCAGAATTGACGGTGAATTGTCGGCATTGCCTCAATAAGGGTCTTTAGCCTTGTCCATTGTGCTCCTGCTTTTTCACGCTTGATGTATTTAAACACCGTGTTGAATGCCATGTTTTCTTTAATTCTGATTAGGGTCAACAGATTTATTTTGATAATATTGGTCGCGAAAGGCAACGTGTTCAAGATTTTTTTTGCTCAGATATTTTTCTCTTTGTCGGTCGATTTGTTACAGTCTTTTCTCCTATAACGTGAGTTGTTTTCATGATGCGAATTGGATATAATGCGATGAATGTATAAGGGAACAATTATTCAATAACGCTGATGCGAATTGGATGTAACGAGATTGAGCAGAACTACGTCGCGCTCAGCGATTGAACGGCTGCCTTGGCGCAGCATCACACAAGGCGGGATGCTGCTGGATACTTCGAGATGCTACCCACGTGCCTCAGTCTTTGTTCAGCCTGCACACACATCTCAGGTGTTATCGCAGAGTGTGCTTTGCCCTATATTATACATTATTTATTACAACGTGATTTCTACATAACGCTGTGTTCAATAATGCAACTGCTGCGTTCTAGACCAGACTCTATATCCGATCTTGCATATCCATAATCTTACCAGCCATGTACCTGTTCGTAACACCTTAGAGACCGAAGGTCTAAGACGTTAAATTTGTCTATAATTGTTATGCTCAAAAATACAAAATATAGAAAGTTTCAGTCAAAATAACACTTTGAAGGCAACAATATAAATCAAAAGCTGTACAGTAGTTAATGGTATTGAGAGTCGTGGGTAAAGTTTTGATGAAGCATTAATAACAGTTACCTGACTTTTTCTTTCATCGGCTCAATAAAAAAAAGTATTATTAATATCGGTGGTAAGATGCCTTCATTAAGGTTGTTTCCATCTATGTGGTTTAATGCACGCCAAGGTGGGTAATTGTAAACACGTGCGGGTTGGGAACAGTGGGGTCATATCGGGGCATGCTGGTGTTGCTGGGGGACAACGGGAGAGACGGAGAGGGCCCGTTAGGCAATTATGGATGCAGGGCAGTGCATCAAGGTGGCGCCATTAAGTCTGAGAATGGGGACAGGTGGCGGCGGAGCGGGGCATTGGGGGGACGCCAGTTAATTAATTGGAAATTAATAGGGACGGGGATAAATATGGGGGAGTCGGAGTGAGACGGGGAGTTGTGCTGGGAGCTGGACGGAGACGGCCGGAGCAGAAGAAGAAGTGTAGAGTAGCAGTGGAGAAGAAGTGTAGAGTAGCAGTGGAAGAAGTGTAGGGTAGCATTTTTCGATTTAAAGCTTTCGTGACTGCAGGGATTCATCTTCTTGGTTCTTTCGCTAAAGTCACGTAGAAGGGAAATAATAATATTTTTATTATTTTATTACTTCCCTTCTATATGACTTTACCGAAATAACCAAGAAGATGTAGGGTAGCAGTGGAGTAGAAGAAGTATAGGGTAGCAGTGGAGAAGAAGTATAGGGTATCAGTGGAGACGGAGATGAGGAAGGTACGAGAGGTGGAATAGGGTAGCGGTGGAGCAAGGGAAGAGGAGGTGACGAAAGAACGGATAGGCTAGCAGTGGAACGGGAACGAGAGAGACAGTCGGAGTGAGACGGAGAAGCCGAGAGAGCGACGGCTGGAGTGGGACGGAGAAGCAGAGAGGGGAGTCGGCAGAGACGGAGAGAGAGGGAGGAACGGAGCGAGCGAGGCCGGCGGAGCGCGGCGAGCGAGCGGAGAACGTGCTGGAGAATGGTGGCGAATGTGCTGAGTTGGATAAAATAAAGTGACGACAGAAAAGGAAGAAGTTGTCCGCGTTAAGTTCAGCACTACAGATGTATTGCGCACACAATTGTCCATAGGCCCATTGTGCACTTTATAGTCAACGCAATGTGCCTGCTTGGCTCTGGCTTTTAGCAGCCAGCAAGTGATTAAATATCTCTCTCCATATGTGCAATTTTTGGATTGTTTGGATTGGATCTTTCAATCCTCCAAAATCTCTTTGGCACAGCTTCCTGGCAACAGCAGCCTTGTAGATGGAATGAAACATCGAGGGGATCGCGTCTTTTGAGAACTGCGTGTGCAAACACAACAAGACGCATGGCTTATCTACGAGGTGTTTGCAAAGATTCATTCTTACACGATCAGCAATAAAATCTGGAGTCAGTATGATAAAAACTGCATCGAAGTTATTCACTATTTCTTCCATGATGTCTAGGAAAAGAGTACCAGCAGGCTGGTCATCGAGAGTCTCGCACTCGACCTGCCCTATCTCTTTGGCCAACTGCTGAATGTGCAAAGCCAACTGCGAGTCAGCCTGTGAATTGTTTGCATGAAAGATGAATATATCTTGTGAATTCCCTTGCGGCTTTATAGGATTTCTCAGTAGGCATTCATAAGTGTCCCGTAAGCCTATGAGTGAAAGTGTGTCCGGATTCCGCTCGGCTGCCCCAAAGCATATTTCAACTTGGAGCGCTGGATCAATCGTCTCATCCGAACCTTCTGTGTGTTGTAGGATGGCCAGGTACATGCGAGCTAACTCGTAATGGCGTTTTGCAGCTAAGTTCTTGATGAGGCCGGACAGAGTGTCGGGATTATCTGGGCTCTGTTTGTCTGCTTCCCACAGTAAACTGAGAGCCTCTTGGTGCCGCCCCACGAGCTGGCAAAGTTCTGATTGACCGCGAAGCTGCTCTGGTTTTGGGATCTGAAACTCCATCATATCACGCATTAGGCACTGAAACGCTACCTTCACTGGAACTTTGGCCTTGGCCGCGTGCTCAATAGCCATTCGGAAGAAATCCTGGCTCTTTTCTTTCTCACCTCGATTTTTCATGGCCAACCCCCACTTTTCGTATGTTTGGGAATAACTGAAGTGACTGATATATTTAGTTTGTTGCAATGACTTGATGAAACATTCGTCTGCTTCCTCGTGTTGACCAAGTGAAGTGTAAATGTCGGCCAGAGCCAGATTAAGTGCGTGAGATTCTTCACTGGATAAATGAATAGCAGCAGTTCATGCATTCTATTGCCATGGTCAAATTTTGAATTACATTTGGATTCTTGGTATTTGCATATAAATTAAAATAGTAATTACGATTCATCATTACTGTTTCCTCTCTCTGATTGACAAAAGGAGTTTGCCCTCGACTCGGTTTAGTTTGGCATTCCACATTCTCATGAGCAACAGTGGCAGAACTTTCTCTGGAATCTCCATATTGTTCTTGGCTACTCCTTCCTCTAAACTGGCGTGCATTTGTATCACCCCTGGGAAACCTCGGGGGTCTCCAGCCACGATCTGGAAGAACAGGAGTTATTCCTCTTCCTATAGCTCTTGCATGATCCTGCGTGGTAGAGCTTGCATATCTAGATGCACCATAATTTGTACGTTGTAGCCTGCCTCTGTTGAGAGGAAAACCCCCTCTTCTGGAACATGGGTAAAAAAATTGTGGACTGTCCTTGTGGATGGCTGCATGGTGGATGCTCTCTTTGTTCACTGCGTAATGCATGGAATGAGTTGCTCCAATCACGGCCACCCGCTGGCCTTTCCTCCATCCATCCCATATCTGAATGGCTGGCTCTTGGTTGACTTTGACTTCTCCTGCCCCCTGGGTTCCCTGAACAGCCTCTCCGACCTCCGCGTGGCACAGGAAATCCCCTCTCTCTGCCTCTTCTCTGGTCGTGTGTGGAACTGTTACCTTGAGCTGGACTTGACAAGTAAACATCTTGAGGCTGTCCCGTTGCTTGGCCTGATGTATAGATATCCACACCCGGGTACATTTCGTGGTTCCCTTGCCTATCATACAAATGAGCGTGCTGCGTGGTGTTGTGACTAGGTGTGTACAGGAATGTCCTCTCGGACACACCGCTTTGCCCTCTCCTCGTCCAACTTGCCGAGCGTCCTTCCCGACTGTCGGCCCTCTGCTCCGTGTGATGCATGCCTCCTCGTTCTCTTCCTCTGTCATTGCCACCGTATCTTGGCTGACTTTGGCTCCTTCTTTCCCTCGGGTTTTCTAAATCGGAGACATGAATTAATGTAACTTGTTGCAAAACACAAGAAAGCTCTCCAATACTTTTCTGTGACAGATTGGATGTTGTCACTCCTTAGATATTATTGTGGAATATATTTAGTTACGAAATTTCCTTTGCTTTGTAACCGATAAAAAATATTAAATTTACACCATTGGAACCTCATTTGCCAGTAGCAATATATGATAATCGTTTTTTTACCCTTTAATCTGGCAACAAAACTGGAGTCATGTTTGCATTGACCACAATACCTGCAGTCGGAATGCAAAAAAAAACATAACTCTGATAATGTATGCACTGTCCTTGAAATTGATTGGTCCACACCCGAGACAGCTTTCCTTAGAGCCTAGTCTCACATGGTGTTGGACCAGATGACGCCAAAAGGCGCCAAAAGGCGCCATCTGGTCCAACACCATGTGAGACTAGGCTCTAAGAAAAGCTGTCTCGGGTGTGGACCAATCAATTTCAAGGACAGTGCATACATTATCAGAGTTATGTTTTTTGTTTGCATTCCGACTGCAGGTATTGTGGTCAATGGAAACATGACTCCTTGTAAAAAAGGTGTCCGTTTTGTTGCCAGATAAAAGGGTAAAAAAACAATTATTATTATATTAAATTTACTCTGCTGAAAGGCCTCACTCACTCTTCTTACCTTCCTCATGGGCTTTCAATGCGAGGGATTTGTAGGTCAAGCCCAGGTGGTGGAGATTAAACGCTGTTGAGTAAATGGAGTGTGCCTTCCACAGCAGTTCCAAGGCCTTCTCATACTGACGTCTGTGTCTCTGGTGTTTCCCGGCCCTCTCCAGCACCCAGTAGTCCGAGGGTCCCAGCTCACATGCCAATTCGAAGCACTGTGATACAGTAATCTTCTCATCTGTCACGTCTATGACCTTGTCTCTGTCATAGATCATTGGTTTGCGCTTTAATTCCTGAAAATTAGCCCAAATTATATCAATGTCAAACTCGGAAATGATAGAAATTACCACTAAACTCTAATACATTATACAATTAAATGTCAAGTAGTATACATACTGATAGCAAAAGTATATTTATACATTCAAATTTAAATACATTAATACAAATACGAGCAAATACACTCCTACAGTTTAAATTAAATAACTATACAAACAATAATGTTCTGCCTCACGGCAGGGGTTTTACCTCATGGCAGATGGGGGGGGGGCGTATGTACACAGGAATTTCCTGTTTTTGATGCAAATTTTGGTCGCGTGACCAGGAAGTTGCGATTTAAGATTCCAGCTCATCCACGCGGGCGTCGGCCATTACACACATAATTCAAAATGGCGGCACACATCGCGTACCAGTGAAGCCAGCCGCAACTGTCCATTGTGGGACTTTAAAAAGCACTGTCTGTAAGTTCGTTTATATTCTTATAATATTGGCAATGTTGTTATAATGTTAGAATGACCGTTATGATGATGCAAATGCCTTTATAATGCTGTTAAATTGTTATGATAAATACGAGCCTAGTTAACAACGAAGCCTGCAACTTTCCTTATTGTGAATGTTACTTGTAATTTAATAAGTCGAGTCAAACTTGTACCCAAGTAACTATATTGCGATCCTGAGAGCAAGGATGACGAAATATCTCATCCACAATTTAGTGTTGTGTAATACTGTACATTTGGGGTGCAGTATGATGAATACACGATGTGCCTTTATGTAACACAGCAGCTTATGCTCTTGTATAGTTATTCAGTGGTCATGTAGGGGCCTGGTCCATCCAGGGTCTATTGTTGAGAAACATGTTATCTAAGACAATGTTCTGATGCTGTGGTGTTCATTCATTGTGTTGGTGTTTCCGGGTTATAACAGACGCTGTATCTGTGCTGTTTTCTCCCCAGTTTTACCTCGTTAAATTCAATCAATGACGTTTGGAGTCGGACGTTCATCCTGGCTCTGAGGGTTTATTGGACGCGAGGTTATCTACTCAGCTAGCGGTGCAACGCAGCACACAGCGAGGCCGAGACAAATAAATCATGAAACATTACCTGCCAATAATGTTTTGTCATCTCCCCCAAAACAATGTAGGCTTTGGCAATTAATGAAGATTTGCCCGAATTGATGACATACTTCAATGATCTGCGTCCTTTTTCAAAATTTTCTTGAATGTTAAAATCTGAGTGCTCTTTCACAACGTCATTCACCATACTCCTGCAAAAGACCATCAAACATGTACCTCTGACATCACTGTATTATTGTACAACAGTCTCATCATTAAGCAAAGATGATATTTTTTCCTAAAATGGTTTGTGTTTTATATGACTAAGGAGATTTTATGTTGGAGAATCACAAGATTAAATCAGCATCTGGGGAACAAACTGGATATGACAAACGGCATACGTATCATTGTTTGCTGATTAATCAAAATCCACATTTTACATTAAATCTGCCTTATAACAGAATCTTCTTATATATAAAAGTCTCCGCACGCTCGCGCTTGCGGGGGATTTGGCTCTCGGACGGTGGGGTTTAAGACCGAAATAATTTTCCAGGCGGCACGCCCTAAGCCCCGTGGTGGGTTTAGGCTATTCCGTTTTCCCGTCCGTAAACTTTAAAGTAGTTTAATTAACACATTTGTGCCATTTCTATTATTCATTATTTACTTATTGCGCGACATCGACCGTACCAAGTGACGCCAATTGCGTGGGGGGGGCGGACCCTGCCAAGTCATGCGCGTTCGCTCCAGCTCACGGGAGACATTTTATTTTACGCGTTTAACATGGAATAGATATACACATCACGCTGCCGATGTATCTTCACAGTGTGATGTCCTCTTCCCCCCCCCCACCCCAATGCGTGCAGTTACTCATATAAAGTCCTTAGATATTAATTTTATATTATTAAAGCGGTTACATAGTATTATTATGGCGAGGGCGGGGGGATGGTGGTGGGGGTAGCGGCCCAGCTCGCAGCCTGGCAACGTCTCACCTCCTCCGGCTTGCCAATCTAGGCGAGGCCGCGGGCTCTGCACGGGACGAGGCGTCACCACGCCAATGTAAAGTACAATTTTATTCAATCTTTCGCTAAGAACTCAGGTTTATTGTTTACTATTATTAAACAAATACGTTTATAAACATTACAATGATAATGTTTGTGTGCACATAACAACTCTGCTTCATTCTTTACTATTATGAAACTAATAAGTTGCCTAATACTCTATTACTATTATAATGTTCGTGTGCAGAAACTAGATGCGTGTGCCTAAAGTCGATGTCTGTGTGTGAGTCCATGTGTTTGTGTGCGTGTAAGTCGATGGGTTTCTATGTGTGTGGGTCCATGTGTGTGTCTGTCTTTTTCAAATGGACAACGCCCCGTGTGTGTGTACATACAAGTGTTTGTGTGTGTGTGTCAGTCCATTTGTGTGCGTATCTGTCGCTGTGTGTATGTTAGTCCACATGTGTGTGTTAGTTCATACGTCTGTGTTTCACTCTGTGTGTACGTCAATGCGTGTGTGTGAGTCGATGTGTGTGCATGGCTCCATCTGAGTGTGTAAGTCAATGTGCGTTTGTGTGTCTATGTGTGTCGATGTGTGTTTGTTAATCTATGTGTGTGTATCTAAAGTAGATGTCTGTGTGTCACAGTCCATATGTCTATGTATGTGTAGGGCAATGTGTGTCAGTCTATGTATGTGTGTGTAAGTCCATGTGTTTGTATGTGTGAGTCGATGTCTGTGTGTGTCAGTCCATGGCTGTCTGTGTTAGTCGCTTTGTGTGCATGGCTCCATGTCAGTCAGTGTAAGTCCATTTCTTTGCGTGTCTGTAGCTCCATGTGCGCATGTGAGTGAGTGAATGTATGTGCTTTATTGACCTCCTCAAGGCCTATGATACCATCAGTAGGCCTGGCCTCTGGGTTGTTCTTCATGCTTTCGGAGTCCTTCAAACTTTGCTCATAATCCTTAAGGACCTTCATGATGGTGAGCGGCCCCGCGTAAAACTACATGGCCGTCAGTCAGAGCCATTCCCTCTACACCTTAGGGTGTAACAGGGATGTCCTCTGGCTCCACATTATTTAACACATTTTGACCACGTAGTTCGTGAAGCCTTCAATGGCTGTTCCAGAGGAATTACCATATGGTACAGATACAATGGGAGGCTGATCGATTCCCGGGTGCGGTCAAGGGATGCCTCCCTATTGCTCAACCATGTTATGTATGCCGATGCTCTGGTGATTGCTGCTCACTGCGGCTGAACCTGGAGCTTGCCACTAAGAGGTGGAGCCTTACTATCAGCCCCACCAAAACTAAGCACCTGCCTGGGTATTTTGTACCATCGAACAATCCACCCCCACAACTCACAATTGGTAATGCGGTAGTTGTGGAGAGATTGCCGAGATTCCCATACCTGGCCAGTGTGCTCATGACCGGCTCCGGTTTAACAGCAGTCGAGCGCCATTATCTTTTCATCGGCTGTGTTACGCTGTGTGGAAGCTACCTGGTCTTTCGCTCCATGAAGCTCTAGGTCTTCTCGGGCACGGTAATTCCCTCCCTTCTCTACGCTTGCGAAACGTGCACCCCCCTAATGGAACATCTTCACTGGTTAGAAACATTTAGGTTGGCCTGCTAACGATCCTTTCCTGGATTTAACCATATATGTGTGTGTGTGCGTCTACGTTGATGTGTTTCTATGTGTGTGGGTCAATGTCTGTGTGTAAGTCCATGTGTGTATCTTCCTTTTTTTCCCGAGCAACGCCGGGTACTTACCGCTAGTAAATATATATAGTACGCTGACGTGTTGGGCAATGGCTCTTTATAGCAGATAGATGTCAAAGAGATTATTTTGACGTTATCGTTGAAGATTTATAGCTGGAGTCTATAAGTAACTGAGGCCCTAAGAAAACTTGTACTGTACTTTTTAAGACAGTTGACATGACCAATTTTAAAATTGTTATCATTTCTCTCTTAACCATTGTGCATCAAACTGATTGAATAAAAAATTATAACTTGTGAATGTACAAGGCCATGAATGCACATTGTTATTTTAAATGAGCTACTTCTTAGGTGAAGTCAAACCAACCTGCAGCACATAACCAGCTGAGTTTGTAATTAACTGTTCGAAGTTTGGAAATTGACAATTTTTACATTTTATTTTGCACAAAACTGCCAACACAGTTCCTTATTTTCTGTTTAAGTGGTAAGGACAACTTCCTGAACATGAAAACATAAAAATAAACAAAACCTGCTGCAGTTTGAAGCCATGCTAAAATGCCAGGAGGCCATCTTGTCTGCAGAGCAGTGACCATGGCCCATCGTGGTGGCCTGCGTGAACTTGGCGATGGCCTTCATGTAGGTGATGGGGCCCATTCTTGTGTAGCAGTAGCCCTGCTCGGCCAGCGCTGTGACGATTGCCTCCTTGTTTTCGCTCTCCTTTTCCATGGCGCACACTGCCTTCTCTGCCTCGGGGAACTTGTACTGGATCAGAAACATCTCGCACTGGTTGGCCAGGGCCGTGAGGCTGTGCGGCTCCTTGGCCAAGGCCTCCTCCACCAAGGGCTTGGCATCTTTATACTTGTTCCGACGCAGGTAGAAGTACGCAAGGCTGTTGAGCAAATTCAACTCGTTGCCAAATTCCTCGGCCAAGTTCGGGCATTCATGTTCACGCTTCAGCTTAGCAATGGCACTCTCCACTTGTATGACACCCAGGGGTACATCCAGGTTAAAGAGAGTTGGGAACTCCCTGCACCTTTCTCTGATTAATGCACGTTTGTTTTCCATTGATCTGGTTTTGCAGTCACAATGCCTGACAACCGGTTGTGCGGATCCAGCACATCAACTCGCATAGAGTCGCTGTAAATAAACACAAACCATCTGTTAAAGTGATGTCAATCTGACTGGTCATGTTTTAATTATTGTAACTGGTCATGTCTGTGACCATGTACACGCATAGACGATAGCACTTTTTTGTAACATTCTTTCAATTGTTGCCATTGACAAACGTGTATAACAACAAAAACTGTTGCATAGGTTTTCACGCTTGTGCTGTAAGGCTGTCTGACGTGTTGTCAGGTTCAAGTGCGTGTTGTTCGGCACGATGGCCAATGTTTCCTCTTTGCTGACAAGCTCGGGTTGCCACATTTTCCACAGACCCAAACCGAGACATGTTTCTCAGTCAGTAGAGGTTCATCAGAACTGTGTACTTGAATAAAGTAAATGCAGAGTTACTTGAATAAAGTTCAACACAATACCGGCAAAATCTTGGTTACAAATCATTTCCTACCACCCAAAGCCAATTTCCAGTCTGGGTCAGAACCTGGAACAGTGGCTAGCCAACGATACACGCCAGAGAGCTGTTTGTAATTTGCGTGTTAAAAAATATTCCGTGTTTGTAGTATGTCTCTCTTTGAGAAGAGCACAATAACATAACATTTCATTATAAATGGTGTCCCAAGAAAACAGGACGCCGTTAATGTTATGCGTAGCATGTACGCTGCACTGTACACTGTTTGATTCCCACGTAAGGAGCCTTAGGTGTAGTACAACACAAATCTCTTCTGTAATAAACTACTTTTAAAAACGTTTAACATTATTGGCAAATCATATACTTTTGTGAAGACACTTGTAAACAACAGTGTTCCAACTCTTAAGCTTAATCAACAGTGTTCCAACTCTTAAACTGAATTCATAGATAACAAAGTTAACCGAACATTTTGGGTATTTTTAGCCAATATTCAAAATCAACGTTTGGGTTTAGGCCTCAAAAAGATATGACCAAGGCTATCTCGTGAAACCCAGATGCAGAATCTCCAATGTGAAATGATGGCAACTGGTCTACTTGGGTAACGTCCTCATGAACACAAAGTCCTGTCCCCTGCGTGCACGTGCTTACACAAGCCTGCTCATAACAAGAGGATGACGTCGATGGGACTTGTGACGAACATGCCATATTGTCACTCCTAAGAGGTTGAACCGTTAATGGGTCCAAAGGTGTTACTGAACATACTTTGGGTGTGATCTGCCTGCGTCATAAGACGTTGGTGATAAGGTGTTCACTATCGGTTAAACTCGTTGCACGCGAATACAAAATTGAGTGTGTTTTCTCTCCGTTGTTGGCTGTACAATATTTTGTTTCATGAGTTCTGGAAACAAAAAGGATGATTTGAATCTCACTGTGTGCTGCTGTTGCACGCGTGAGAAATGTGACAATAGATATGGACGACATTTGAAGCGACACGCTTCAGGGAACCACACGTGAAGACGCGTTAACCTGTGGGCCGTAGTCCGCCTCTCCGGACACTGATTGCTATCGTGACGGAACTTTAAATCTGCGTTGAAACGTACGTACAGTTGATCATCGATTATCCGGCTTCCAAAATTATCCGGCGGTCCCGGACTGATCCGGCAAAAAGACCGCATCCAAAGGCTGTAACCATGCCGACAATCGTCAATCACGGGCATGACAAAAACACAACAAAAAGTCGCCACGCTTAGTTTCAGTGTCAAATATATATAGTACGTTATACACTACGTACAACTTAAACAATGAGAAGACTGCGCGTGTGTACATTTTTCATGACTAACGAGTAGAGTAATACAAACTGCAAAGTGCGTTGTGTTGGAACACGAGCGCAGTAAGTAGCACGCACATCATCATCATCACGACATGCGGTCTCTTAGAGATTGGAGTGGTAAGTACGGGACAGCAAATACTGTCGTCACTTTTTTTACAGGAGGATATTTATGTTTGTGGCTATATGTATGTTTATTTATGCCAATTTCACGTAGTAATCAAATTGAAACAACTAAAAAAACACCTAGAAACAACGTCTTTGAAGAATGTGCAAAAATAATCTATTTAAAAGTAGTTCATCTTCTTGGTTCTTTCGGTGAAGTCACGTAGACCTGTTCTTCACCTGAGGACGGCTGCTTGCGTTGTGGCCGAAACGTCGTGAGAATTATTTAATTATGTTTTATTTTTATTATTTTATTATTTCCCTTCTACGTGACTTTACCGAAAGAACCAAGAAGATGAATCCCTACAGTGACGAAAGCTTTAAATCGAAATTTAAAAGTAGTTGATAATTATACGGCGTTTTTTTTTAATCCGGCATTCACCCCCGGATAATCGATTATCGACTATACATCTTATATAACACAAAATATATACAAAAAGCACGTACACAGCAAATATATATTTGAAACTAGAGTTTGATGTTTGAATTAATTAGCGCGCGGTTGTCAGAAACGTTGCGTCCAAAGGGGGTGCACGGCCGTGGCGTAGCGACTTCAGTGATCGATTTGTCTCCCAGTCGTGCCCAGGAGGCTTTCTGCATCGCGGACACTCCCGCTTGGCCCCATCACATCGTCGTTTTCGCTCACGGTCTCGAACACTTAACGCTGTAGCTACTGGTTGCATAGCTAGTTACAAATTCAGAACTTATTGGTCACCCCGTGCCACCTTATTGCGCTAAACGTTCATCCTACAGAGTCCCGTCAACAAGAAACACAAACAAATAGACAAACTAAAATGTTTTGCCCGTATTGAAACGGCTGTACCACGTATGGACCTTAAAACTCGAATGTCCCTGTACAAGACTACGGGGTAAACCCGTGATGCATCGACAGCGATGTGGTCGTGCAAACATTTAATGAATCCTCGCAGCTAATTGCCCGGACGTGGCATCGCCTTCCTTACCTGCGCGCATGGCACGAGGTGACACGAGCAGCGCCCTTGTGGGGGGTGGTGAGCCGAGCTGCTGGGGCGGCTCCCGCAAGTGCTGGGGGGGGTGGTGGTGGGGGGGGGGGGGGTGATGCTGGGGGGGGGGTTGAGGGGGGGGGTGGTGGTGCTAGGGTGGTGCTGGGGGGGGTGTTGGGGGGGGGGTGTTGCTAGGGGGTGTTGGTGGTGGTGTTGGGGGGGTGGTGGTGCTGGGGGGTGGTGTGGTGGTGCTGGGGGGGGGTGGTGGGGGGGGGGTGTTGGTGCTGGGGTGGTGTTGCTGGGGGGGGTGTTGGTGGTGCTGGGGGTGGTGTGGTGGTGTTGGGGTGGTGGTGCTGGGGGGGGGGGGGTGTTGGTGCTGGGGGGGTGGTGTTGGTGGTGCTGGGGGGGGTGGTGGTGTTGGGGTGGGGTGGTGGTGTTGGGGGAGTTGGTGGTGCTGGGGAGTGGTGGTGGTGCTGGGGGGGGGGGCAGGAGGCCACTGCCAAAACCCACCTCGCTCCGCCAAAGCCGATGACGACGGACCGCTCGGCTCACGGACGCGTGAGCTCGGCGATTCGCATTCGGAGTCGCGTCTCGGGTCACCCTGGGGGTCTCTATCTCCCCCCCCCCCCCCGTGTCTAGATAGCTGCGCGAAACGCGCGTCGTGGTGGGTGGAGGTGCGTGGTTTTCAGGCTTGCCTGCTCCTTTTATTCGTTTGGTGAACATCGCAAAGGCGCCGTCATCGGTGTCGCGATGCAAATGCCGCGTGTGTGGGTGTGTGGGTGGTGGTGGATTGGCAGGGCTCTCTGACTCTGCGTGGTTTTCACCGAGGATGCCTGCGAGGGTCGTTACCCTACTGGACTTTCGGTGATGTTGAACAAAACTGAACTGAAAAAAACCCCTCGAAGGCCATTAAAGTTTATGAGTAGGCTGGGGGGGGGGGGGGGGGGAACAAGATAAAGGCAAAGATCCCCTGTGTAGCCTCATCAGACTGTAGTGGCAAGTGCTGTTAGCGAGCACCTATGAATGCCAGCACGGCACACGAGGTTGGGTAGCCAACACCACACACGGCCGCCTTTGTCTCCCCAGTGGCGATGTTGACACCGCACCAGGTACTCATTTGAGGCTGAGTTGACCTAGGGGAGGCCCAGGACAGGTTCAGATAATCGTCACCGGTGTTGGCCGTGAGCGGGCATCGAACTTGGGTCGCCGGGTTCGTAGCGCAAACCACTACACTACCGCTCCCCACTTTTCCCCCAGCCAACACATTAAGATGATTAAGGTATTATGAGTAGTCTGGTGCAAAATACACACGCAGTGCAGTTGAATGTTCACCAATAATCATGTGCATCGGAGTAAAAACTCCCAGACCGGTTGCCGAATTTTCAGCGTTTCCTCGCAAATGCCACCGCTCAAACACGCCAACAACAACAACAACCGCAACGAAGACAAACACGGGGAGAGATCTTCCTTCCACAGGGAGCCGAGCCTGGCCGCTCACTCTCGGCCCGTGCATTGTCGTGGTGCATATGTAACGGGTTCCGGAGACACTTGTAGATGTAACTTCTTTATTGCAATACAACACTCCAACAGTCCTGATACTCTGTTACAGCCTAGGTACACAGCCTAGATACTCTACTCTGGCTACGCTCTGGACTCGCCCTCACAAGGTCGTAGCGTCGGGAGTTCCAGAGTCCCATCACTGGCTCTCACAGCATCCCAGGGTCTTCAGATGGCTGGTCGTGGGTCTTGGGTCTTGAGTTACAACTGGGCCCCGATCGTCCAGGGAGCTCTCCTTTTATGCCTGGTCCAACGAGGGGTGGGGCCGTGTGCGCCACCAGACATCCCACAGAGCACACACAGCCCCCCCCCCTGTTGGCGGCGCCCAGGGGATTAAGCGCCTGGGAACTCAACGCCTGGCGCCCAGAGGCTTAAGCGTCTGGACCCCCTGGGAACCCAGCGCCTGGCGCCCAGAGGCTTAAGCGTCTGGACTCGCCTGGGATCCCAGAGCCCCCAGCAGCCCCTCCCTTCTTATGTCACTACACATATATCCCACAGGGAATGAGATAAATGGGGGCCCTACAGGTCCACAGTTTATAGAATTGTCTCAGCCCCTCGGGCATCTCGCGCTTGTGGGCTCGGTTCGGATTCCTATTGCAGCCACAGGCTCCAGCTCACACCATCAACCAAGGCCGTAGCCATGGAGTCAACATTGGGGGGGTCCAAATCTTCCAGGGGGTCTGGGGGTCCCCCCCACCCCCCAGAAAAAAAAATCGAAATTTGAAAACGAATTTCCTGCCTAAAATATTAACAAAATCACTAACACATAGGATGGACTTTTTCTTTATTTTACAATGTATAACCATGTATTGTATTACATTGCTCTGTTTTTACTTTTTTTTACCATTTCTTCTTTCATTGTATGTAATGTTTGAGATTAGGGATTAATAAAGTACATAACCACAATCATATAAACAGAAATCTATTTTATAGCAATATGTTGGGGGGGGACATTTTAGGTTAAGTCATACATTAGCCAAATATATATACAGTAGTCCCGTTTTTTTCTGTGGTTGCCAGTGCCTCTGAATCTAACAAAAACTGCTCATTACAATTGATGAATATTGTTTATATTGGCACCTTCAACTGCTATACCATGGCCTTTCACAGCCCGATGCACTTTTTCCAAAGCTGCCAACAGGTGACCCGTCAGTTCCAAGCAGAAAACAGCGTGCACTTGCATAGCCACTACAGTGGTGCATGGCTCTCCACTCGCGCAGTTTCTCAAGTCGCCACTAGCTTCCTCCAGTGCAGCGCCCTGCCACCTTCCAGGCAACCACTCACTGCGCCTCAGGCAGCCTCTCTTCTGTCCCACATCTCTCCACGAGTGGCTCCTCACCAAGCCTCGAAACTTCTCCTCGATCCAGAGGTGGCACGCTTGGATTACGTTGCTCGGCTAACCAGCGCTTTCACAAAGCCCCAAGTTCGTCGCTTCTTCTCATCCCATGGCAGATTTTCTCCATTGGTGAGCGGCACCGCTAACTACTTACAGGGATGGGTGCTGGTCTGCTACCCCTGTGCCCTAGCAATTAAGTCATCAAAATGGCCTCAGCTACAGACTGTGCAAGTCAAACAGGTCGTTGATCAACAAAGCCTGTATATATTGTAGTTATTGGCAGACATCATTGTTTTGCTGCAAAAACGGGTTTGCTATGAGCATGTGAAAGGATTGCCTTGCAGTATTTACCATTGTGCGAAGGTGGTATGTGACTCATTGTGTCTCACATCCCAAACACTTGGCATAAGTCTTCAAGATCCTCCGTAGACTCATCCCTGTTGACCCCCCCCCCCCCCACCTTCTCATCTCACAGCTACCTTTCACTCTCCACTGGCCAGGGGCGGTTTCTTCATTAGGGCGATTGGGTGACGCACCACCAATGTCATTCAACCACAGAGTCACGCTAGCCGTCACTGTCAGCCTCTGGATATAGTCCAATCAGCGTCATGTCACGTTCTGTGGAGTACCGCCTCTTTTTGGGCGATTTCACTCCGGCTGAGAATCGCCCCGAGTGGCCCCATAGACTTACATTCAAAGATGTTTTTTTTCGAACGGCGGGCGCTCCAATGCATTCTCTATGGCTTCCGGGAGGGCATGCACTAACGTGCTTACGTCATCATACGTGCTAACGTCATCATACGTAAGCACGTTTCATCCAACAATATAATTTATCGCCACCTAGTGGAATCTTTAATAAAATAAACTTGAGTGGTTTGTTTTAATAGTGAGTATAGAAACAAACAAGATGTATTGTAAGAGTCACTTTATTTTTCATTAATATTAAAGAAGTGAAGTTGCCTTTACATGCTTAAGCTGTTAATTTATCCATTGCATGGGTGGACCTTATCCTTATCAATCATCCAGACATTTGCCCCCCCTGAGAGATTTTGCAGTAGCCGCCACTGCCACTGGCACAACCAAAGATTAATGTGGAAGCCCTCAGCCAATCTTCTGCTGCTGCCTCAAAATTTGGAATGACGTTTAACCAGCCATCCGTGCTTTTTGGATGCCCTGCCCATGTTAAAAGTCCAGGATTAAGATGTATTTTGTTTTCCTCTGGCTATGAATGACTGCCTCTCTCTACTAAAATAATATATGGCCACTGTAACTCACGAGCATTGTCAGATGCAATCACATTTAGGGAGTATGTACAGTAAATCCACATTGTATTCCTTTTGTCCATTGCCATTGATAATAATTTAATGACTTTATCATCAGCAGGTCTGAGATCTTTCATATCGTCTCAGTTTATGTTTATACCTTATGGAAACAAATTTGCATAAATTATTGACTAACGTCAGTGAAATCTGGTGAAAGCGCCTCTGTCGAATTCCCCTTCAAATGTGAACTTTGTTACTCCATGCAATCTGCAAAGCTATTCCAATTTGTTTTCAGAATTTGTTTAATGGTCTTCCAAATATGTTTTATTATAATTATTTAGTCCTTGAATTTGCGAGGGGTTGAGTGACTGCATCAATGGCCCGCAGTTTTTCCCTGTGATTTGAACATAAATCCTTAAACATTGCCTCTAAATCTTTTCCAATAGCTCCCCTTGACCTTTTCGGTTTTTAAATAAAGCAAATTTGTTCGCCATGGTAACAAACGCCGCTAATATGTATCACTCTTGGTATATATTTTACAGATGTTGTCAACGGCTACTTTAGGTTTTTAAGTATTTTTTTATCTCCAACATCAAAGTCCAAGAAAGATATATAGGATATGATAGGTAACTATTTTTTGCCTATAGATTTACGTTCAACGTTTAGGAAAATTTAGGTGTGCCTCTTAACAACTTGTACTTTAATTCATTTTAGCATGATCCTTAGCAGCTAGCAAATGATCAAAGATTTCTCTCCAAATGCGTAATTTTTCAACTGAATCCTTGTTTTCTGTAAAATCTGCGCCGTGCAACCTCTCAGGGAGAACTGCTTGGTAGGTAAGTCGAAGCGTGGTGGGAATTTGCTCTTTGAAAACGGAGGAAGTGCACAGGCACAGCAAGACACAGGGCCTGTCCACTAGATATTTGCAAAGCTTCATACTAACATCATCGGCAATCAAATCGTGAGTCAGTATGATCAAAACTGCATCGAAGTTTTTCACTATATATTCCATGATGTCAAGCAAATGAGTACCAGCAGGCTGGTCATCGAGAGTATCGCACTCAACCTGCCCTACCTCTTTGGCCAAGTGCTGAATGTGCACAGCCAACTGCGAGTCAGCCTGTGAATTGTTTGCATTAAATATGAATAGATCTTGTGATTTTTCTTGCGTCTTTCTAGGATTTCCAAAAAGGCATTCATAAGTGTCCCGTAAGCCTATAAGTGAAAGTGTGTCCATGTTCTGCTTAGCTGCTCCAAAGCATATTTCAACTTGGAGCGCTGGATCAATCGTCTCATCCGAACCTTCTGTGTGTTGTAGGATGGCCAGGTACATGCGAGCTAACTCGTAATGCCGTTTTGCAGCTAAGTTCTTGATGAGGCCGGACAGAATGTCTGGATTACCTGGACTCTGTTCGTCTGCTTCCCAAAGTAAACTGAGAGCCTCTTGGTGCCGCCGCATGAGCTGGCAAAGTTCCGATTGCTTGCGAAGTTGCTCTGGTTTCGGGATCTGAGACTCCATCACATCACGCATTAAGCACTGAAACGCTACCTTCACTGGAACTTTGGCCTTGGCCGCGTGCTCAATAGCCATTCGGAAGTAATCCTGGCTCTTTTCTTTCTCACCTCGATTTTTCATGGCAAACCCCCATTTTTCATATGTCAGGGCATAACTGAAATTACCGATGTAACTATGTTGTTGCAATGACTTAATGAAGCATTCGTCTGCTTCCTCATGTTTACCAAGTGATGTATAAATGTCGGCCAGAGTCACGAAGAGTGGATTACCTCTCTCGCTTGATAATTCAACAGCATCTTTAATGCACTTTATTGCCTTATCCAAATTTTCTATTACCATCGGATCATCAGTATTTGCATATAAATTAAAATAGAAATTAGGTGAAATAATTCCTGATGCTGCATTCTCCTTTGCAATAGTGGCAAGCCTCTCTCTGTATTGCCCATCTTGTTCTTGGCTACTCTTTCTCCTGAAGTGATCTGGAGGAGCACGGTACGTTGCACTTCCATCGCCCCGTGTGGTCGAGGTTTTATATCCAGATGCACCATAATTGGGAGTGCCGCATCCTTCCTGTTCTCTTCTTGTGTCATTCCCATCGTATCTCGGCTGATTTTGGCTCCTCCATTCCCTGGATTTTGCTAAATTGAAAGCAAAAATCAGCATTGGGAGATTTGTCAAATGTCCACGATTAATTGTAAAACAATTTCATGCAGTATCGTTTTATGTTGACGTTAACAAGCATTGTTATTTTTCATCATTGCAAACGTTACAATGAGTAACAATTTAAATAATTGCTTAGTCTGTCGCCAAATATATAGTGTGTCCTTTGCCACATGCAAAATATATTTTTAAAAATAGTTTACCAAGTGGCATGTGCTGGTATGCAAACCCTGATTAATATACAAATTGTAATCTGTGGGAAAAATATGAAACTAGTGGAACTGATGAAAAGAAGTTAATAAACAATGTGGCTGCTACCCCACAACTTGTAAGTTCAATTTGAAGACATTTGATATGCAAAAATTATTAAACTTCCTTTGCCATGTTGCCAAAAGGTCTCACTCTTCTTACCCTTCTCATAGGCATTCGATGCGAGGCTGTTGTAGGTCAAGCCCAGCTGGTGGAGGTTAAACGGTGTTGGGTAAATTGAGTGTGCCTTCCGCAGCAGTCCCAGGGCCTTCTCATACTGACATCTGTGTCTCTGGTGTTTTCCGGCCCTCTCCAGCACCCAGTGGTCCAAGGGTCCCAGCTTACATGCCAATTCAAAGCACTGTGACACAGTAAGCATCTCCTTTGTCACGTCCATGACCCTGTCCGTGTCATAGTCGAGTGGCCTGTGCATGAAATCCTGAAAATTTGAAATGAATTCACTTATAGTCCCACATAAACCTCAGCAATTCCAAAATGATGTAATATCAATCCATTAATGTAAAAATACACATTTAAATATATTATTGTAATGACTACAATGTTAAAGGGAATGCGATACAGTGAATGCACAATACAATGACGTGTTTTACCTTGAAATAGATTTTGGTCATCTCCCCCAAAACGATGTAGGCCTTGGCTTTTAAGGCTCCTTTGGCTGTATTGATAACAACCAACAATGCATCACGTCCTTTTACAAATTGATCATTAATGTTGAGATCTGGGAACTCTTTCACAATATGCTTTGCCATAATCCTGCAAAAACAATTAAACAATGATCTCTCTCATCAACACTGAAATGCTAAAAATAGTGTTTTCTATTTATTTAATATTAACCTGAAATTAATATCCACGTAATGATCAACTTATTAATCTTTAATCATGAAAAAAATATACATTCTCATCGGGAAAACATAAACAAACCTGCTACAATTTGAAGCAATGCTAAAATTCCAGGAGGCCATCTTGTCTGCAGAGCAGTGACCATGGCCCATCCTGGTGGCCTGCGTGAACTTGGCGATGGCCTTCATGTAGGCGATGGGGCCCATTCTTGAGTAGCAGTAGCCCTGCTCGGCCAGCGCTGTGACGATTGCCTCCTTGTTTTCGCTCTCCTTTTCCATGGCGCACACTGCCTTCTCCGCCTCGGGGAACTTGTACTGGATCAGGAACATCTCGCACTGGTTGGCCAGGGCCGTGAGGCTGTGCGGCTCCTTGGCCAAAGCCTCCTCCACCAAGGGCTTGGCATCTTTATACTTGTTCCGACGCAGGTAGAAGTACGCAAGGCTGTTGAGCAAATTCAACTCGTTGCCAAATTCCTCGGCCAAGTTCGGGCATTCATGTTCACGCTTCAGCTTAGCAATGGCACTCTCCACTTGTATGACACCCAGGGGTACATCCAGGTTAAAGAGAGTTGGGAACTCCCTGCACCTTTCTCTGATTAATGCACGTTTGTTTTCCATTGATCTGGTTTTGCAGTCACAATGCCTGACAACCGGTTGTGCGGATTCAGCACATCAACTCACATAGAGTAGCTGTAAATAAACACAAGCCATCTGTTAAATTGTGACGTTGTCAACATGTAATGTATTGTAACTGGTTATATTTGTGACAGACACGTAAAAAAAACATTTTAATTGTTGCCATTGTAGTGGAATAACGCTGGCGGCTGACAGAAAAGTGTTACTGACAGCAGAGGGCAGTATACACGTCAGCAGAGGGAGTACTGTATATACGGGGTGAGGGGATCTTTAGAGATGCTCAGGAAGGGGTCCATCTGGAAGCCTTGGAACCTTCAGTTTCACTTTCATTTATTAGATGTAGCCCTGTGAGCCATTCGGCTTTTGACTCGGGTGCAACCGCAACAAACAAAAACATGAACAAGAAACATCTTAAAGTGACTACGCGCAACATAAAAATCCAGGAAAAAACAGCAAAGTCTTCCAGAAAAAGCACCGTATATCAACGCTGTGTGCAAAAATCCCAGTGGGATGCAAGTCAAACAATAACAACCACAAGACAATTAAGATTAAAGTTATCAGTCTAACTCTGTGCTACAACAAACAAATATGGTTAAACCAAAACGTTTTCGAAATCACCAAAATATAGCTATAAAAGCAATGTAACAGTGAACATAGGAACTGTGATTTTAATTTTACAATAAACGATATACAGTGTACATAACATGTACCACCAAACTTTGCAGCCATAACTGGCTGCATGAGTCACTCCATAACAGCAGGAGTATCAGTAGGAGTATCAACATTTTTCAATGCACCTTTAAGATCAGCACACTATAATCAAAACACAAGATCATGCTTTGCAGCGGTCATCTGGAGCGAAACAATTAATTTCAGGCCACTGAATAGCAGTGGCAGCTAGGGGTGTACAACTCCTCTAGAGCAGTTTTGAGTGAAGATCTCATAGGTAGTGATCCAAGTTGCAGTTTTTTGGCGATAGCATTCCAGACCCTGGGGGCATAAATAGCAAATGCCCTTCCTCCAGTATTTGTACCGCAATAAGGAATGTGAAGCTGGTAAATGAGCGAAGACCTTAGGTCACATTTGTTTTTCGAAACAGAGAGGAGATCCAGCAGGTAGTCTGCGGATTTTTTTGTAAGTACATAGTGAATAAATAAGATCGGATGCACAAGCCGTCGAACATTAAGATATGTTAAGTTTGACCCAATGTAGAGATCACAGTGGTGGGTCCTATATGGGCAGTTCAATGCAAATTTTAAAGCCGAGTGATAAATTGAGTCAAGCTTCTTCAGTACAGTACTGGGGGCTGATTTATATACGATGTCACAGTAATGAAGTAGAGGAAGTATGGTAGCTATTATCAATTTCAAATGGAACATAGGGGGGAAGCAGTTCTTGTGTCGATACAGAAAACCAATTTTCTTTTTTTTCTTTTTACCAATATAATCAATGTGATCTTCAAAATTCAGTTTTTAATCAAGGATGGCCCCAATATACTTATAGATCTTGACTTGCTCTATTTAATAATTATTTAAGGAATGTAATTGGGGAAAAATAACTTCCTGCTTTAGTCCTGGTGAGAAGCATAGCACCTTGGTTTTGGAGGTATTCAGAACTAGTTTAAGAGCAACTAGCTGGAGCTTAGCAATCCCGTCATCCAGAGAGCAGTATCGTGTCATCTGCAAAAAGATTTATCCTGGAATGATCCAAGTGTGTTTCTTTCTCTCCCTAAGCCTGCTCACTTCTGTTTGGTACTCATTGACATGTAAATTTTGTCTCTAACCCCTCCCTCTCGCTGCCTCCACCCCCCTCTGTCTATTTAAGGCCACCCCACAGAGACGATCACCTCTCTCTGTACCTGTGTTGCCCGCTCTGTGTATCTTGGTGATATATGTCTGCTTATATGTCTGTCTATAATTTTTTCTGGTTAGATTTTATGTCGCTATACCTGATGATGATTGCTTGTGTTGCAATCGAAACGTCGTATGCTATTATTTAATTTATTATTTTTTCTTTATACGTGACTTTACCGAAAGAACCAAAGAATACATTCTACTGCGTGTTTGGAGAAACGGAGGCAACTTAGTTTACTAAGCAGGGTGTTGTGGTCGACTGTATCAAAGGCTTTGGACAAGTCAAGAAAAAGACTGGCGCAGTACTGCTTATTATCAAGGCGACTGTAGGTTCCAAAAAGGTTGGTGTGGCGAGGGCGGTGCGAGGCCACACCGGGGAGGATAAAAGGGGGGCCCGGGGCGAGAGCTAAAGGCTGTTGCTGTAAGTAGATCCCCCCTTGCCATGTCCTCACCTTCGTCGCCGCCGTCTCGACCACCCTGAGACGCCACTAACTAGACAGCTTGCCGACTACTAGCTAGGCAGTGGCGTCAGAAGAGACGGATTTGTGACTTGCGTGTAAGCACGTAGGCTGTCTGTAGTTCCCTGACGTGTAGAATAAAGAAGGCGCCTTAACGAACCCTGTCTCCGAGTGAGTCACTACACAATTATTTATCAGTGACTTGTAACATATACATCCAGAAAGGTCCTGTTTATGTTTCATACGTGCGACAGTAAGATCACGTACTGCCGTGGCAGGTGCAATACGATGAAATCAAACTTTACTTATATAGCACATTTAGTGCAAAGAATTCAATGAAAAGTGCTTTACATGACTGAATAAAAGCGACTGTTAAAATGTGAACAATAAGAATGATACATTTCAAATGACGTAACAATATACTAAAAGTATAATAAAAAGCATAACAAGCACACAATAAGAGCATCCTAATTAAAAGCCATTCTGAAAAGTTATGTTTTAAGATTTCAAATACAATTAATCAGCTGTACAGCATTGCGCATCACTATCTTCACCACCATCGTCAATGATTCTCTTGCCAGGGCCAGTAGGGTTACTGCGGTACAATATTCCACGATACCATATACAACATTAAATAGCATGACGATTGTGGCAGTATCAGTGTCCCATAATGTTGTGATTTTCAAATTAATTAGATAAACGATTAAAATTACGGTAGCTACTATTTAATTTAATAAAAGTTTTTTTTTTATAAACTTAACTTATTTCACGTTTTTATAACGTTTAATGTATTGAGACGTTTGAAGCCTATTTTAAGGGCCCCCAAGTCCAAATACTTCAGACCAGCCACCACTACAGTGAGAAAATGTATTTATTTTTTATATTTCCCTTCGTACATTCTTAAATTCAGTGCTGACATTTTTTTAAAGGACATTTTTAAAATCATAAAATGATATGCCTACTAGAATGAGCCAACTCCCAAATGCAGCCTTGAGGTGCACCGTCACATTAGTTGAAATACATGTGTAAGAATTCAGCCTGCTCTCCCACAAATTGTCATCGCACATATCAAAGCGTCCATTCTCTTCCTTGAACTTATAAGTTCGTGACAAAGATTCTTATTTCTATACAATCATCAATGTAAAAGTTCATCCAACTAAAAAATTATCCAGCTAAAATGCTCTCAGATGCTCGACATGAAATTGTACCGTGTAACTCACGAATATGCCGTGAGATGTCCTCCCAAAGCACCATGCTCATCAGCGCCTGCTTACTAAGAGCCGACCACACGCCATATGAACGTGAATTCTTAAAAGGAACCCATTTCTTTGTCCGGTCATGATGTAACTGCGTCATACAATTTTCACAAGAACCTTGACGCAAGACTACTTACGTCATGAAATGTTTACATACTGTCGTGGACAAAAAAAACAGGTTTGACTACGTTGTTGGCTATATTTAGGTTGTTGCAATAACAGCCATCGGAAAATCTGAGACGTCAACATTTTGGCAATTTCTATGTATGCCTGTTTTCAATCCAAGTTTACAGAAATATTTATTTTATGTTGCCGTGAATAACTTTGGTAAAAGTGTGTCTCCCCGACTCCCAAGTAAGGCCCACTGAGCTATATAGCTCTTTTTCAGAAGGAACCTGACCACACAATTGGTAGTTCAACGAAGTGGCTTATCATGTGGAAATTTATAGCAGCCAAATACTCGAAACGCGTGTTTCTAAATGTGGAGGGGAAAACCCAAAAGACCCGGAAATTTTTCACACGACCACGGGGAGACCATGCAAACTACAAATACAATATACAGGCGTCAGGGTCGGGATTGAACCCACCTCCTGCTATATACTGGGCGAGGTAGTTAACATCTCTCCACTGCGGCGCTCTTAATCATACAGCAATCTTACTGGTAGGAACCACCTGGTTCCACCAGCCCACAGGGGATTGTGTCCGTCCGTCGTGCATCAAAAAATGGTAGGGGTGGGGCTGGGTGGAGAGGGGAGGGTGGAGAGGGGCTGGGTGGGGAGGGGCTGAGTGGGGAAGGGAGGGTGGGGAGGGGCTGGGTGGGCTGGGTGGGGAGGGGCTGGTCACCCCGTGGTGCCCTTATAAAACGCAACGTTTAACCTACTCACGCCGGCTTGTGCCGCCGTTGACCCTGGCCATTGACCGAGCAACCCAACGTTCCTACCAGCTCCCTCCGCAGGAATGTGTTTTCTAAACCCAGCTTTCATATGGCGGTATAATGTCCGTGATGCAGTCATTTTAGTCTGTTTATGGTCGGCGATGAGGCAATCGACTCATCTCGACGAGCTGTACACGATGCACTATTCAAAGTTGAATTTTTCTATAACGGGTTTTTTTTATGCTAATGTTCGGCGTTTCGACATCGCGGAATAGCACTGATTTCGGATTGATTGGTACCCCAGTCGTGGAGTTAAGTACACCCCTGGAAAAAATAGTGTCCCAGAAATAAAATATTTAATTGCCTCGGCCATTTTGTATAACTGTGTAACAAAACATTGTTTTGTTACTGGGCAGTGTTATTTCCTAATTGTTTATGCCTCATAAGTACAGAAAATGACTATTATTTTGTGACCAGGACACAAGCAAAGTTAACAATCCACTCCATTAATAACAGTTTAACAACTTTATTTCTTTTTTGTTCCTGGGTAGTGTTATTTCCTAATTGCGTATGCCTCTAAAGTATTATTCCCCACAAACTTTGCTTTTGTGACCAGGACACAAAAGCAAAGTTAATAATCCACTCCATTAACAATTATTTGGTAACCCGGGGTACCGACATAAAGATCAAATATCCGCATAGTGCGGCCGTTATCCCCCTCCGCCCCCCATGTGACGCTTAACGTCACGCCTCTAAAATCACGATGACACTGCCACAATTTCTGGTTTCTTGCCTGGAAATGACCGCAGCGCAATAGTCGCAGCAGTCGCCGGGTGTGTCCGTGCTGCCGAAAGCGCTTCCCAGCCGTCAGGTGGGTAGCTGACGGCAGCCTCGGCTCGGAAAGAGGAGCGGCAAACTCCTTTTTTTGTTAGATAATCGTGAGATGCTGGTGACAAATTCCACCGCCCCCAACCCTCCGATGTTTGAACGCCCACACACACAGCGCAATGGAAGACGTTTTGTGAGTGCCTCATTTGTTTTGATATACTGCACCGTGTACATTAGCACACCGCAACTCAGTCCAGCGATTCAAATATTGGTCAAGGGGCTGTTGACCAGGACCAGGAGTCGGAGCCATTCCATGTTCACCTTGAGGTGCGACAGGGATGTCCTCTGGCTCCCACATTATTTAACATCATCTTTGACCACGTAGTTCGAGAAGTGTTCCATGCCTGTACCGGAGAAATTTCCATCTGGTACTGATACAATTGGAGGGCTGAACGATGCCCAGGGGCGGTCAAGGGATGACTCCCTTTTGGTCAACCATGTTACATACCTGTCAACCCTTATCAGTGCCAACCTTATTACAGACCACTTCAGACCTTACTGGTCACCCCGTGCCCTTATAAATCTCAACGTTCATCCTACAAAGTCCCATCACAATGGAGAAACACAAATAGACAAAACAATGTTGCCCGTATTAAAACGACTGTACGACGTATCGACCTGAAAACTCAATTTCCCTGTACAAGAATACGGGTAACCCGTATTATGGGTTGACAGCTATGATGTTATGCACGCGTATGATCTGGTGATTGCTGCTCACTGAATCTGGTGTGTGCCACTAAGAGGTTGGGGTCTTACGATCAGCCCCACCATCTCAGTCAGTCAACCCATGGCACCTGGGTCTGTTCCGTGACCTGTCAGCGAGCCTTCAACACTTCACGTTGACTCAAAGTGCACCTGGCCTGGCACAGGCGCCGTGGTGACATCACCGTCACTTGGTGGCGTATGGCGGGTATTGGTTCTGCTTTCAGGAGAGGTTGAGACAGCACAAGAATGATGCTCGAGGTAAACAAGTACGAGGTACAGGTGTAGTTGTCAACGATGCAGAGACAGAGTTTCTAGGAAACACTTTCTTTATTAACGACTTCCACGGTCTTTGGTTCTTTCGGTAAAGTCACATAGAAATAAATTAAATAATAATAGAAGATTATATAATGATAATAGAATATTATTACATTTCTTTCTACGTGACTTTACCGAAAGAACCAAACACTAATTCCTGCAGTCACGAAAGCTTTGAATCCAACTTCCACGGTCTCGTCCACACACTCTCCACAGTAGCTCAGCCTAGCCTGTACATTACACGAGCTGTCTAACACTGACGGGCCTGACTGAGATAGCCAACTACTATCTTGTAGCGCAATATCTAACCGAGACGGCAGCGAGTATGGCGACGAGACGACAGCGACGACGAGACGAGTCCACTCCCAGAACCGGCAGCCTCGAGCTCCCGCTCTCGCCTCCTTTTATGCTGCCAGCGCGGCCTGGCTCCGCCCTGACGACCCCTCCTTTCTCGAACCCACTAGCAGGTTCCAGGGGCCTCCAGATGGGGTCTTCCGTGACCCTTGCCCTCTTTCCTCCTCTCTGCCAACACACCCTCACCGGCGTATGTACACCACAGTTGCCGCTGCTGTCCACCAGCCGGCGCTATTACACTACACATGTATAAACGGAGGCATTTCTACATCTTACCACGTGAAGCCGAATAAGACGAGCAAAAGATCCTTGGACACGCTGTACTGGGATCCACTGTCCCTTGACACTGGGAGCAACGTTACCCAGCCTCTTACACGCGAACCTCACACTCTCCTCCCCCTTCGGCTGCACCTCTTCTGGGAGTTGCCCCCCCCCCCCCAACCCCAGCTAGGAGGGTTTAAAACCAGGGCATTTGGGTCCACTTAGCAGACGGATTCTTATTACGCCGATCGACTCATACCTGTGTGAAACTTTCCTTAGGCGCCATCATTTAAGAATAATGTACAGCCCTTGCTGGATAAATGCCTCCCCACGCTTTAAAATCATGGGAGTTATTTGACCATACGACTTGACAATGATCAGTACAAAACATTTTGAGCACGTGTCGTGACGGGTACAGCACGATCCAACCGTGTCCGTCCAGTGCTCACCAAACTGCATTAGCTTGCGGTTGCCGAAATAATAAATGTTAAGGTTGCACTCATTACACACAAGGTGCTTTCTCAAAATGAACCACAATGCCTTGCTGATCTCGTCAAGAAGGATAAACCATCACACGAACTCCGGTCATCCTCGCAGCGGCTTTTGGCTGACCATCGAACAAAGATGGTCACTGCATCGCGCGCTTTCAGATGCGCTTCTCCGGCCGTCTGGAACGCTCTTCCTTCCGATATTAGAAAGCCACTGGAGCTATGCACTTTTAAATCTAGATTCAAAACTCATTTTTTTTAAACTCTTTTTTGTGTTTAGTTTGTCGTCCTTCTCCCGCACCTCCGATTTGCGTGGTTGGCTACGTACGGTGAAAAAAAAGTTCAACATACACTGCGTCAACGCCATCCGCTCCAACCCCGCTTGGCTTGGGGACTTGAGTTAATGAGCAAAATATTTTCCTGAAACAAACACACTGGGGTAACAACTCGAGTCATCAGATAGATTTTATTGCACACTTGAAAAATCATACAGCACAGTAATAACCCCAAAACCCCCATAATTGTGCATGCGCCAGCAACGTCTCAACTCACACAAAGGAAATTTAATTCCACATGAACACTTGTAAAGCAATCGTGTTTCAAATACTATATATTTTTACAAAAACTTGATTAAAGTTCAAGAAAAATTGGCCAAAGTATAACATTTTCTTTAATAAAATCGTAACGAATTGCATCGAAAGACAATTACAGTTACACCGTGCAAACTCCTTTAAACATAAGGAAATGCTTTAATAAGTAAGCGCATGCACGCAAGATTAACAATACATTCCTGTATGTTAAAAAGTTGAACATCGATAAAATTACGCCATGCACAAATATTGCGCAAGGCGTGCGCGAATGTCATATACTGTAGATAATTTAGTCACAGATGCTCTCTTTTTAAATCCTTTATATTAAGTTCACTTGCTTGCTTGCTTGCGCGCTTACGACCGTGCAAATCTTTTGGTCGTTTTTTAACCCACTTCCCGTGATCCAATCGAGCTGACATTTTGCACACAGACTCGTTGTGCGTGACAACTTCTTTTCGTGAAATTTTTTTCCCAAAATGTTACACTTTTTAGGTAAAAAAAATATTATATTTAATTACCAATTGCTTAATGGTGGTAGGCAATCATCTGACCCATAGGTGGCAGCCATCTCAAGCCAGAAGACGAGAGAACTCTCGCCGCCCGTTTCAAAGACCAATGTTGGCTGGGTTGTGGCCCATTGAACACGCATATAAAGGATTTATAGTGAAAAACTTGGTTTTTACGGGTTAATTTTTTAGTTATTGACGACCTCTACATTTAGTAACAAATCATGTATTCTACATTTGCACTTCTTCTTGCATATGGCCGATTAAATAGCAACTTGTATGCCTTTGTACAGATTAGTTTGATAGAACATGGCTTCTAAGCCTCCGCTGAATGTGCAGAGTGCAGTATTTGAATTAATTTAATTTGTTACACGAATACATCTATCTAGATTTGAAGCTTTCGTGACTGCAGGAATCCATACTCTTTGGTTCTTTCGGTAAAGTCACGTAGTTTATTTTATTTCTAACTACGTGACTTTACCGAAAGAACCAAAAAGTACGAATGATCCTGTTTAGCCAGTTTACCGGCTAGTTCGTGGGGCGTGGGCACAGCAGCAACTAAAGACAAAAAAATTAACCCGTAAAAACAAAGTTTTTCACAATAAATCCTTTATATGCGTGGCGGCTAGAGTCCTCTCGTCCTCTGGCTTGAGATGGCTGCCACCTATGGGTCAGATGAATGCCTGCCACCATTAAGCAATTGGTAATTAAATATAATTTATTTTTTCCTAAAAAGTGTAAAATTTTGGGAACATTTTTTATGAAAATACATTGTCACGCACAACGAGTCTGTGTGCAAAATGTCAGCTCGATTGGATCACGGGAAGTGGGTTAAAAAACGACCGAAAGATTTGCACGGTCGTAAGCAAGCAAGCAAGTGAACTTAATATACAGGATTTAAAAACATCAATACAGTACTGTATAGCAAGCGACATTGTAGATGGTGTCACAATAATCAGGTATATACAGGATGGTGGCCTAAACTTTGTTCAGGTGGAGTTGAGGTCGAATACAGCGTTTGTTTCTGTGGAGGAATCCAAAAAATGTTTTAATCTTATTGGCCACGGGATCCACGTGGGTCTTGAAAGACAGTTTTTAAGTCCACCGAGATATTTTAAGTTGTCAACCTGAGTCCAGAGCCACAGTGTGCATCGGTGGCGAGAGATGTTTTGGGGCCGCTGGAGAATAACATAACTTTGGTCTTTGTAGATTTGAAAGTCAGATTTAAGGCATGAAGTTTAATTAAGGCATGAAGTTGAAGACGAAGATCATTGAAGTCCTGTTGTAGTTGCTGTTGAAACTCCTCCATGAAATTGGTTTTGGAGCCATCAGGGTTGTTTGTCTGTTGGAGTACGGAGTTAGACTGATGGCCTTAATCTAAGTTGTCTTGTGGTTGTTGTTGTTTGACTTGCATCCCACTGGGATTTTTGCACACAGCATTGGTGTACGGCGCTTTTTCTGCAATACTTTGCTGTCTTTTCTTGGATTTTCTGTTTGCACTTAGTCACATAGTCACTTTAAGATGTTTTCTTGTTCATGTTTTTTTTTTGTTGCGGTTGCACGAATGGCTCACAGGGCTATACCAATTAAATTAAACTGAAAACTGAAATGTGTCATCAGCAAAATAGTTTTTTTTTTGTCAGAATGATGGTTCACTCCTGTGTGGTCCGTAATCTGGTTGGTGTTTATAATCTCACAAACCCACGCCGGGGTTATGTATGAGTTTCCACTTGTGAAGGATGATCTGCTGCGATACACACAGATTCGATGTACAGTAATACATTGAATCTGTAACACTTGTTTGGAATGTTGATGTTTGACCAAATCTGTTTCCATTTGCATGAGCTCTGGTTGCGATCAAGAACAATGTGTTATTTATAGGTGCCGGTTCTGTAGATTTTGTAAATATTTGTGGGTGGGTAAACTTTGATTGGCTTGGATGCAGGTGTATTAATTGAAAATGTTATCTGCTGTGTATCTCATGGGGAGGGATGCTTGATAGCACAGATAGTCAGGGTGAAGGAGTTGATCTTTGAATACTGGTGACAATTTAAGATGGGGCCCATTTGTTTGATGTGGCAGCCTAGAAGCCAATATGGGAGTGCAGTACTGTGGGGTATTACACTTATGTCCAAGAAAGCAATATGGAATGTATTTATGTTCCCAACCTAGTCCCTGTGAGTTTCTGGATGAGGTTTGTCCTAATTTTTGTATTTTTTGCTGACCTTAAATATTCTGAGTCGTTCTTGATTTGATCCGTAGTTAGTCCGAGATATAGGTATGGTTTATTCTGCACTTTCTTGCCACGAGAAGGCCGGTTGTTCAAGCAGAAATCAGTAGATTGGATGGATTTGGATGAAGTTGTCAAAATGCATCCATCACTTTTAGGTCCTTAGTGATGGCATGGCCTATCTCGTCGAGGCGTAATGCTTGGGAAGCAAAATCAATACCATCTGCACAGAGAATTCTGCGACGTTGTGTGCGGCGTGAAATCCAGACTTGTCGAAGATGATGGCCACATGTTCAATTAAGACGATGCTTGTTGAGAATATTGTTAAAAGTTTCAATGATGTAATTGTGTTCGCACTGCTAATGGTACTGAGCAAAGTGTACATTAACAAAAAAAAGCTCATGTTGAAGATATATCACTCACAATTATGTATATTATTTTAAAGAGCAGTATTTGAGACAGATTTCCACGAAGACCTTGGTCATGCTCAGCTCTTCACGGGTTGAGGTTGGCTGGGTTTGAGAGAATGACACTTTACGAGGATGCACTCCTGCATCGCATGCCATCAAATTGTTCAATCGTAATATTTTAAGTAATGCACTTCAAATAATAGTTTTTTAATTACTTTTTGCATTGTCTAGGGCAGGGGTCGGCAACCAAAATAACAAGAAGAGCCATTTCTTTCCAATTCGGTACAAAATTCAGTATTTCAAGAGCCGCAATGCATCTATGTATACTGTACATACGTACATATCGTCAAGAAGCAGCCCGTAAAGAGCCGCATGCGGCTCCGGAGCCGTAGGTTGCCGACCCCTGGTCTAGGGGGAAGGAAGGTATAATGGGTGCTGCTGATATGTATTTTAGAATTAATCTTAATTTTGGAGCTTTCGTGACTGCAGGAATTATTCTTTGGTTTTTTCGGTAAAGTCACGTATAAAAATAAATTAATAAATTAAATAATAGCATACGACGTTTCGATTGCAACACAAGCAATCATCATCAGGTATAATGAAATAGCGACATAGAATATAACCAGAAAACTATAGACAGACATATAAGCAGACAGATATCACCAAGATACATAGAGAGAGCAACCCAGGTACAGAGAGAGGTGATCGTCTCTGTGGGGTGGCCTTACTTTGCTAGGTTATTTAATTTAGTGTGTTCTGTCTCCCTCTAAGCCTGCTTACCTTACTCCCCTCCCTTCGTACTCATTGACATGTAAATGTTTTCCCTACCCCCTCCCTCTCTCTGCCTCCGCCCCCCTCTGTCTATTTAAGGCCACCCCACAGAGACGATCACCTCTCTCTGTACCTGGGTTGCTCTATCTATGTATCTTGGTGATATCTGTCTGCTTATATGTCTGTCTATAGTTTTCTGGTTATATTCTATGTCGCTATTTCATTATACCTGATGATGATTGCTTGTGTTGCAATCGAAACGTCGTATGCTATTATTTAATTTATTATTTTATTTTTATACGTGACTTTACCGAAAAAACCAAAGAATATTTTAGAATTGTGGCCTTTTTTATTGTAATATATTCATAATAACCACTGTTATTTTTTTGGTTTTATTTAATTTCTGTTTCTTAAAATATAATTTACATGCTAAATTTGACAATGACGTAATATGTCAAATGCTTGGAGGAAATTGTGTCTTCGAGTCATGAAGATACATTTTTGTAAGCAATTAAACTCCCATGAAATTGACCTTCAGGGAAAGTTCTTTCACCCCTGCCTTGTCTTTGGCAACCAGCAAATGATCAAAGATCCCCCTCCACATGTGCAATTTTTTGATTGAAGCTTGGTTTTCTGTTAAACCTTTACAGCGCGATATCTCTGGGAAGGGTGCCTGATGAATATCTTGAAACTTGGGGGGAATTTGATCCTTGGAAATTGAGGTGCACAAACACAGCAAGACACAGGGCTTCTGTAGGAGATATATACAGAGATCCAATGTTGGTTGATGATGAACAAATTCTGGGGTTATCAGCAATACGATTGCATTGTGTGTATCAACCGCCTCCAACATTGTATTCACTAAAAACCTTCCAGCAGGTTTTTCACTGAGGAGCTCACACTTAACCCCCCCTATCTCTTTGGCCAACTGCTGGAAGTGTTCAGCCAGCGTTGAGTCTTGGTCTGAGTCAATGATGTGAAGCATGAATATGCTCTGTTGCTTCTCTTGGTTTTCCATGAGCTCCTCATACAGATCTCCTAGCACCGTTTTACTGTCCACAGAAAGCATTTTCATGTTCATCTCAGCTGCCCCAAAGCATATTTCAACTTGGAGATCACGACTGATCTTATCGTGCCCCTCATTAGTTCTCTTCAGGATCGCCAGATACATGTGAGCCGTGTCGTAGTCCTTTTCAGCAGCCAGGCTCTTGATGAGCCGACACAGTATTTCTGGATCATTAGAATTATGTTTGTATGCTTCTCGCAGTAGGGTCAAAGCCTCTCTGTGGTTCCCTACAAGTTGGTGAAGATCTGATTGCTCCATCGTGTTATTGCACTTCACGAGCTCCTGAATCAATTTCTCAAATGCCACCTTGCGTGTCGTGTTCACCTTGGCTGCCTCTTCAATAGCCATACGTAAGAGGTGCTGGCTCTTAGTCTGGTCTCCACATTCATGCTGAGCCAAGCCCCACTTCTCCAGTGTAAAGGCACGGGAGTAATGAGTCACTTTTCGATCTTCCTGCAAAGCGTTAATGTAGCACTCATCTGCTTCTGTGTGCATGCCACGTGCAGAGTACATTCCTGCCAGGTCCACGCGCAGCTTGTGGGCTGTGTCTTCGGAAAGCTGAATGGCCTTTTCAAAGCAATCGATAGCCTTGCTTACATATTCATTCACCTTTGGGTCGGTGCAGTTTTCGTAAGCACCGGCATATGTTACTCTTTTACAACTTTTCCATGTAGGTGCACGACTTTTAGTTGGAGAGCTTCTTTTCGTGCAAGTCACTGGGCATATTACTCGCAGAATGAATTTAGAGTTGTCTTCTCCGAGTATAACTGACGAAGCAACATCTATATTTGGACCCTCATTTATGGTCTTGTATTTCCTGAATAGAGGTTTTTCCTGACGACCTAGATGTAATGTGCAGCATGAGAAGCGATTAGCACGTAGCATTTTACAGATTTGTCTAAATTATGATGGTAGTTTCTTTTAATAACTTTTTCTGAGTTAAGCCACATAATCTGATTATATATGTGTTCTGAAACCCTCCACCAACCCGACACAGCCAAACAAATAAAATTGCCACGTCTACAAGTGTTTAAAAATGGAAATTATTATCGTTTCAGCTCACTGGCTTGTGGAAGAGCAATTCTCGCGACCAAATCTTTGCGAAAGACACGACGTTTCATTGGAAAATACACCCAACATCACTAGGGGCGAACTTCCACGCCTCAACAAATGAGAATCCAGGGAAGTGAAATTCTCACTTCCTGGATTTCCATTTTGAAGCCTAAAAATCCCCCCACCTCCACTTGATCACGTTTGGCATATTTCCAAATGTCTCTTGCTAAATTAGTTTTTTGAGAATTGCTCAACTGAAATAATTTTCATAATTGGCGCGCTATAACGCCTTTATACGTGATATGTTTATTTGTTTGGCTGTGTTGGGTTTGTGCGGGATATCCCAACACGTATTTAATCATATCATTAAGTAGCCTCAACCAAAACATTATATTACGAATCATAATGTTGGCTACGAAAACCGTTTAATTTGCTTATACACGATGCACAAAGCAATGTAAAGTGATAGTCGGGGCATTGCACTCACTCTGCCTGTTGGCTTCCGCTGCGAGGGTACGGTAAGTCAAACCGAGGTGGTGGAGAGCAAACTCAGATGGGCAGAGGTCATGTGACTTTTGGAGCAACTCCAGAGCGCTCTTGTTCTGTTTAATGTGCCTGCAGTGTCGCCCGACGCGTCCCAGCACCCAAGGGTCATCAGGTGCCAGCTGACTTGCCTGATTAAAACAATCTGACATTGTCATTGGTTTGAACCCAGTCACCTGCAAGATCTTCGTTTCATCATAATCTATGTGATATTTCCTGCAATTGTAATAACATAAAAAGCGAAGAGTACTTTTGAAACATAATCGAACGAAGCACCGAATATTTAGAACGTTTCAAGTTAAAATGTTCTTCCAAATTACATCATGTAAGTACGATTGAAATGGTAATGCACACATATATATTAGAGCAATAATAGCAAGCATGCCATTTTACTAGATATAGCGAGCACGAATGCAGAGAAAATAGTGTTTCCTTATAAGCAGCGAATTTCAAATGAAAAAAATGAAATTAAATTTATTTACCAGGACAAACGTCACTATACTGCACGTGTAAATCACGCAAAACATATGTAAAGCTCTGCGTGAGTGATACACTTTTGTAGTACAGGGTGCTTAAACATTTTTTTATACATATATGGAATTATCGTTTTTCATGGAAAAAGAACAGATAATACGCTGTAGCATGATAACAAATGTATGTGAATCGCTTCAAACAGTCAAAAAAATCGCCACTTGTTCGCCATCATTGTCAACACGTGAATCTTCTCCAGGTGGTCTCAAGAGCCTGGAGGCACATTTCTCGTGGTATTGTTGCAAATTCTCGGGTGTTTTTACATTTTTTTATTTTAAACAATTTATCACCTTGAAATTACAACTGGCAATGCTCGTTTCATGGAGAACAGAAAAAAAACTGAAAAACCAAATGTAGAATTGAATAAAAAACACGCGTCAATTAAAGTTTGAGTAACGCAATTACGCGTTTAACACGTAAGCTTTTGCATTTACAATCTGAGCACTTTTGTGGATTGACTCTCCAACACACCGGTGTGCTGTACCAGTAACGAATAGGCATGTTTTGTTTACTTGACAAACGTTTACTTATTGGCCGTGTTGGGTGGTGGCGGGTTTAACGACACATTTTTATTTACACGATCTAACCAAAAAAAAATTGTATTACGAATGCAATTACATGATCCGAAAATATTCCTTCGCCGTCTGGGCCAAAACGACCCAAGCTTTGGGCTCATAAATCTTGTGCTTCGAGCATATGACGTGCGCCAGTGTTTGCACCACTTTTTTTAAATATTCTTCCATCGAGAAACCTGGGTTCTCCCTCACGAACTCCATTTTCGAAATCCTGAAAGAAAAATAACTTATCAGAAGAGAGCACGTATTTCACTGACATCTCATTAATATTGCAGTGGGGGCAAGAGGAGGGGGCTTTGTTCCAGCCCAGTACCTAAGTCGACTTCTGCCGACCAGTATCCGCCAATGCGTCCACACGTCACCCGAGGTCTACTGTAAGCATAGTTGGTGACCGCAGCTTTCCCATCGAATTGCCCACATGCCTGGAGCAGTCTGCCTCTGCACAATCCCGAGCCGCTGAGGCATTGCCGTTTTTAATTAAAAGCTCACTCAAAAAACTACATATTTCTCATTACAATGGACATCGTGGCTAATGTTAATTTTTTTTGCGATTTATTTAGCATCTTCATTTATTCAGCACCCCTTTTCATCGGTGTCATTATTTTCATCCAGTTGTTGAAAAAGCATTGACGATGATGATAACCAAAACGGTCACGTTTGGTGGGTCATGTGACAATTGTGACAAGCGTAACCTGACCCACCAAACGTGACTGTCAGGAGCTGCTATGCGTGCCACTGAATCCTGCAGAGCAATTGCCAGGGGCTTTTGTGCTCCGCACACACAGCATTGTGTTGGTACAACTATCGTATGAGGCGCTCTCATGTACACCTTGGGCTTGGTCTACTGTGGGGATACAACACAAGCCACTCATACATTATCACGCCTCTATAGCTACGAATGATGAGTTTCATATTGTATTTTGTAAATTTTAGATATTCACATTTACATCAATGCAGTAGGAAAATGTTCCATATGTACGCACCAACAGCAATCGTTTAAGTACGGTAAACGTAAATGTTAATCAATGACTGGACATAGAATTACTCAAAAGACTCGGTCATGAAAAATTGTTACATTTTTGTAAGTTCGATCGAGGATGAACAATAATTTATGGACAACAGTTAGATTTATTTAAAAATAATAATAAACACTGGTCATGCGGCATTTTGCACAATTTAAACTGGCCAATGTTACATAACTTTGAACACCGTACAAGTGTAGAGGAGTAGTGTGATGACGTCATGTCATGGGTGCTGTAAGGGGATACCTTCGGGAACAGGGGCGGGTCCGAGTGAAGGGAAGGAGCCGCCCAAGGGGTACTTAATGGGGACCCCGTGACGAAGGTGGGGTCGTTGTGGGAGCCCGGAATGTGGATCGGCTGCAGGAGGTCTCTCCTGCTCATGACTGGACGGTGTTGGCTGAACTCCCGCCCGCAGTCGACGAGTGGGACAGCCGAAGAGATAGCGGAGAGTAGGGCTCCAAAAAGTCTGTGAGAATCGGCTGAGATTGAGTGAGGTTCTTCTCTCCTCGGCCGGGCGGTGTTGAATGAACCCCCGTCCCGGCCCGAGTGACAGAGCCCAAGGGATAGCCGAGGTTAGGACGAGTACAGCTCGGGGGTCCATGGGAAGGAACGTGTATAGAGAACACCTACATCTGGTGTGAGCCCGAGTGTTTAAACAATGGTAATAAACGGCGAAATCCCTTACAAGAAGTTACATCTACGACACAATAACCGGTGCCAGAAGTGACTGCAAACCTTCGTCGCTATGTCGAAGTCGGCTATGAAGTGTAAGAACCCACCTGTTGCGAGATCAGATGACGAAGACAGCACGCAACATCTCTGGAGTCCGGGGCCCCGGAGATGCGCCCCGTGGAGCCCGGCCAACCCGTGCAGGAGGAGGTGGCGGCCACGGCCGGCCACTCACCACCGCAGGAGAGCTGGCGACTCCTCACCAGCCAGTTCGGCCAGCTGCTGCAGTTGGCCACGCGTCTCGTCTCCCTGATGTCGGGCGCGCCCGTCACTTTTTTGGAGCGAGATCGGGCGCTTCCCGCCGTTTCTCCTCCCGCCACATTCGAATTTGGCGCTTTTTCCTCAACGGATGCAACGCAGCAATCGGCCGCCATCTTGCCCCGGGGTGCACCGCAGCAACCGGGCGCCATTGCCTCTGCTGCAGCGGTGCCGCCGAGTGCATCTTCGGCTCTTCCAAACTTCGTCGCCTGCCGCCTGTTCGTCCACTCATCGCAGCTGGCAGAGACTGGACGTCCTTTCAAGGCTGGTTCGATGCGGCTTACGCCTCGGTCAGGTGGCCTATGGACGAGGCACTCAAGGTACTCCCGACGGCATGAGATGATGATTCCCTAGTCCCATTTATTTTGATTCCGCCTGCGGACAGGGCGACGCTCCCCATGGCGTACGCCCAAATGGCACACCAGAAGGTCTTGCTGCGGAGGCGAGGGGAGGCCAAGACGCCTCTTGCCTTCCGCAGCTCTTTGTTGGCGCTAGGTCGGGCGGCCTACCCCAATATGGATTGTTCGGCACTCAACTCATTGGCTTTGGAGTGTCTGCTCTCCCTCACGCGGGAGTTCGGTGTAGTTTTGGAAATAGCGGCGGAGGCGGACATCTCTTCCCTTAAAGTGGTGTAGGGGATCCAAGCACACCTCGGCCTCGCCAGTTGCCTGGTGTGGCGGTGTGCCCAGGAGACCCGGGTCCAGTGAGGGCTGGAACGCCGCAGGACGAGAATCATCTTGCCGCCTTCGCTGCACGCGACCAACGCTGGAGAGGCGCCAGGGGCCGCCGACCGGAGCAGCGATGGTGGGCGAGGACTTCTCTCTCGCAGGGGTCGGCGTCCACCATCTGCTTCCACTGTGGCCAGCCTGGCCATATCATGATGGGCTGCCGCAACGCTCCTAGGGCCTTCGGCGGACCTCATCTCCCTCCGCCTCCACATCGGCATTGTCATCTGGGCCTCAGGCAAGTCGTGGCGCATCAGCCACTCGGCCGCCCATCCCACCTCACACATCTAGCGGGGATAGGGTTTATGATCACCAGGGCACCACTAAAAGTCCGTAAATGCTCGATGTTCGCTCGCCGTCAGTCTCCGGGTGGCCTAAGCGGGTCCATCAATGGGGTGCGCTCGCGCATCGGGTTTTGTCAGCCACGGCGGGATCGCTGGTTACATCCAAGGGGTGGAAGTCCGGATTTTGGTGGACACGGGTGCGTCGGCCACCATTATATCGGAATGCATTTTTGGGTTGTTACCACACAGCGTTGGTCGATTTAGGCCTGTACAAGGGGCTTGCGTTGCCACAAATTGAGGTAGTTTAGGTATATTGGGTCACATTGTTGTCTCCATTAGAATTGGTGATATTGAATTGGAAGGCCCCGGCTTAGTCTCAAAGGCGTTGGCAGTACCATGCCTTTAGGGCACAGATTTCTTGGCCAAAATGCCCATGAAAATATTGATCGATCAGGGTTGTGTGGAGATGCCATCGGGCTGTCATTTGAACTTTTTGATGTCCCCCACCTTGTTGACTCCTCTTGCTGCCAGCGTACGAGCTTTGGCTAGGGATTCCATGAACATTCCACCTGGGTACCAAATATTGATACCCCTGAGGATGGGCAAACCCCTGAAATTGCATACCCCAGAAGTGGGCGTCCTCTTAACTCCGGCCGGCACCGTTTTGGCGCAAGCGACCCCAGCTCTCCCACCGGACGATGCCATGCCGGTTGAGAGGGTTGTGGCTGGCGTAGTACAGGATGGGAAGCCCAACGACTCCTGGATTGATGCGCTTTGTCGGGAAAATGCCCTCTTGTCCCTCGAGGAGCAGCAGCGGCTCCGCACAATTATTGAATAATTCACTGATGTTTTCATTCACAGCAAATTCGATATCGGATGCACGTCCCTATTAGAGCATCACATAGACATGGGTAATTTTCCCCCCATTCGGCTGAATTCCCATCGCTTTAGTCCTATAGAGAAGGATCATGTCCGCTTGCCTGTTGATGAGATGTTGGCGGCGGACATCATCTCTCCTTCTACTAGCCCTTTGGGCGCCCCTATTGTGCTAGTCAAGAAACAGGATGGGATTCTTCGTTTCTGTGTCGACTTTCGTAGATTAAACAAGATTTCATTGGCAGATGCCTATTCCCTTCCTCGCATGGACGATTCGCTTGATGCCGCTCTCGGGTGCGCGGTTCTTTTCGACCCTAGATTTGCTTTCGGGCTTCTGGCAATTGCCATTGGATGAGGTCTCCAAACCCAAAACTGCGTTCCGCACACCCCAGGGGCTGTCCCAATTCAATCGGTATCCTATGGGCCTCCACTTGGCCCCGGCCACCTTCCAACGTCTTGGCAGATCTCCAGTGGGAATCTTGCTTAATTTAATTGGACGATGTCATCGTTTTCAGCCGCACGTTTGATGAACACTTGCATTGCCTTGAGTCAGTGTTCGCCAAAGTGCGTGCTGCTGGCTTGAAATTTAAACCCCAAAAGTGCCATTTGCTGCAGCAATCGGTGAAGTATTTGGGTCATATTGTTAGTGCGTCAGGTGTCGCCACGGACCCGGAAAAGATAGCTTGCGTCCGTGCGTGGCCAACTCCCACATCTGTCACGGAGGATCGCAACTTCATTGGCTTCGCCTCGTATTACCCTCGCTTTGGGCGGGATTTTGCGACTGTTGCGAAACCACTCCACGCGCTGTCCGCAAAAGGTCAAAAGTTTAATTAGGGCAAGGAGTCGGAAGGAGCGTTCGTCGCGCTTCGAGCATCCCTGGTGGATGCGCCCCCCCCCCCCCTGAGGTATCCTGACTTCTCCCTGCCCTTTGTGCTCGACGCTGATGCAAGCGACATGGGCATAGGGGCTGTACTTGCCCAGGTGTTCAATGGCGCTGAAAGGGTCGTGGCATATGGCAGTCACGTGTTGTCCCCCGCAGAGCAGCGTTACTGTGTGACTCGTAGGGAGCTGTTTGCCATCGTGTTTTTCGTGCAATTGTATAGGCCCTACTTGTATGGCAGGTGGTCCACTGTTCAGACAGATCATGCGGCCCTGCAATATTCCTTGTGCATCGATTAGCCCTCGGGTCAGCTGTCCCGCTGGCTTGAGGTGCTGCAGGAATATACGTTTGACGTCATCCACAAGGGGGCACAGCATGGAAATGCGGATGGGTTGTCTAGGTTACCTCCGGATCGCAGGTGTGCGTGCATGATGGACTCGGGTCGCTGCAGGGCCCCAATTGACACCGGGCCCCAGTTGTTGGCGACAGCCAACATGGCTCCCCTTCCGGGTGTGTCACTGCCCGTGGATTTCGGCCTAGGTCTCCCTCGGGAGGTATGGTCTCGCTTGCAGATGGAGGACACCTCTCTGCTAAAACTGCGATGCCATGTTAAGTCGGACGGCCGTTCTTCCTCTCCGTCGACTGCCCCGGCCATTGCCCTGCATGACGGCCTACTTATGTGCTGGGATACGGAGCTGGAGAGGTATTGTTTGGTGGTGCCCACTGTCCTACGAGGGAAACTGACTCGTGCAGTTCACAAGAAGTTGATGCACCTTGGGTTCCACAAGACCTTGTTAACCCTTAAGTGGGATTATTACTAGCCGGGCGTGGAAAGCGACGTGGCACTACTTGTGAGTGGCTGCCACGATTGTGCACGGCGGAAGGCCCCGGTTGTGCATGATCGGCCCCTGCTACAGTCCATCCAGGTTTCCCGTGTGAATGAACTTATGGCCCTCGAAATTTTGGGCCCATTTCAAACCTCTCAACGGGAACACAAGTATATTTTGGTCGGGGTTGAATACCTCACACGTTGGCCCATGGCATGGCCCTTGCAAGACCAATCGGCCTCGTCTATCACCGATGCCTTTTTGCATGGGTATGTTTTAGATAAGTGTGCCCCTGAACAACTGTTAACCGATCAGGGTCGGAATTTTTCTTGCCGGTTGCTCATGGAGGTCTGTGACCTCCTCGACACCAAGAAAATCCGGACCTCGCCCTACCACCTTGAAATCGACGGGATGGTGGAGCGGTTGAATCGCACCCTCACATCCATGCTGTGCCACCACGTGAGCGCGTCTCAGTCGAACTGGGACCTGTTTATTCTGGATGTCCTTTCTGTGCACAGGTTGGCCCCTCACTCTTCAACGGGTTTTTCACCCTTTTATCTAATGTACGGAAGGGAACCGGAGCCCCCAATGCACGTAAAAATGGGCCTGGGGCTGTCTAAAAAGGGATTGGCTGTGCCCGCTTCGATGAAGGTCACGCTCAACAGACTGCGTGAAGCACGACAAGCGGCCATGGACAATTCGGCCAGCCAACAAGTGGCTAACGAACACTTACAAAAGCATCAGGGTTCTGGGCTTCCATGGGTGAAAGGGGAGAAGGCGTGGCTACATTGCCCCCAGGTGACCATTGGGACGTCCCCAAAATTACATCGCCCTTGGCAGGGCCCCTTTTAGGTCATGGAGGTCCGCCGGCCACAGTGTGTGCGCATTCGCTTCGGTCGCCGGCACTGGATTGTCCACCCATCTAGGTTGAAAAGATACGTGTTAACTTGTCCTGTTGAATCATCCCCACTTCCGGAACGGCCACTGCTTGATGCGTCCGACGAGCCGGGCCACCCTGGCCGGGATGCTATGCAGTGTAAGCCCTCTGTCTGTCCACCCACAGAACCCCTCCGAGTAGCTCCCGAGGCGCCGCCTGTTGGCCCCTCGGTGGCGAGGCCGACGTCGACGGGTGCTCCGCCTACTCTGACACCGGATGCTGCCCGGGGGAGTGGACCGGCAGCACATACGACGACAACCTCCCCTTGGTCCCGTTGTCGTCGGACACCAGCTGTCGCTGACGCATGGTCGGCACCTTGCTCTGCAGGATGAAGGCCTTCCTACACTTGCCGTCCTGCCTTATCATCCTTCTTGTTTCCCCGCAGATGGCTCTGCCTTTACACCTCCATTCACATCGTTATTGTTGATGTTGTTATGTTGTTGTTACAATTGTTCTGATTGTTGGTTGCTGGCTTTACGTATCGACCCCAATGCGGGGCAAATTTAGTATAATTAGCAGCCGAGATGGCTGATTTTTTTTGGAGGGGCGGGGTGATGTAGAGGAGTAGTGTGATGATGTCATGTCATGGGTGCTGTAAGGGGATACCTTCAGGAACAGGGGCGGGTCCGAGTGAAGGGGAGGAGCCACCCAAGTGATACTTAAAGGGGACCCCGTGACGAAGGCGAGGTCATTGTGGGAGCCCGGAGTGTGGATCGGCTGCAGGAGGTCTCTCCCGCTCATGACTAGACGGTGTTGGCTGAACCCCCATCCGGGGTCGACGAGTGGGAGAGCCGAAGAGATAGCCGAGAGTAGGGCTCCAAGAAGTCTGTGAGAATTGGCTGAGAGTGAGTGGGGTTCTTCTCTCCTCGGCCAGGCGGTGTTGGATGAACCCCCGTCCCGGCCCGAGTGAGAGAGCCCAAGGGATAGCCAAGGTTAGGACAAGTAGAGCTCAGGGGTCCATGGGAAGGACCGAGTATAGAGAACACCTACCCCTGGTGTGAGTGAGCCTGAGTGTTTAAACAGTGTTAACAAACAGCTAAAGCCCTTACAAGATGATCCATCTCCGCGTAGTTCTACGACACAACACAAGTACTCGATTTAATAAACAGCATACATACACACCTGTCATAGTTCAAGGCTATGTTGTAATGCCAGAAGATTATTTTGTCTTGGGAGCAGTGGCCTCGACCCTTCTCGATGGCTTGCTCGAACTTTTCGATGGCCTGCAGGTAAACGCGGGGGCCCATGCGGGACAGGAAGTAGCCCTGCTCGGCCAGAGCCATTGCATTCGCTCCCTCGTTGTCCCTCTGCGCCTCCAGCTCACCGAGTGCCTCGGCGGCTTTCTTAAAATCGAAGGACAGCAGGAGGAGCTCGCACTGGTTGGCCAGCGCCGTTATGTTCTGAGGATCCTTGGCCAGGACCTCGGCCACTATCGGCTTGGCCCTGTGAAGCATTTGGCGCTTCAGGTGCAGAAAGGCGAGGCAGTTCAGATTGCATACATCGCTTTCAAATTCATCTGCTGTGGCGGAACAACTCTTCTTCCGCTCGAGCTTTGTCATCACTTGCTTTTCAAGCTGTTTGTTGTACTCCAGTTGAAAGAGATTTGGAAACTTCATGTACCTCTCCTGTATTTCATTTTTCTTTTCCATCCTGAAAGTGTGTCTTAGCACCTGTGGGTCCGTGTGTGCTAAGAACTGAAACAACACACGATAGTGGGCCACAATCTGTCAGCCTTAACAAAACAGTCAATGGAAACATATTACAGACGTACGGGATATTTGTATACAGCACGAGAGTTTTGAAATTAAAATTAAAAATTTGAATTAATGTAATGCTATCAGTACTTTAAAGTTATATATGTATGTAGCGTACACCTCGACCTATACGTTACACTGGGGAAGAGCGTACATCTGCCACGTCACTCTCCATTAACTCTCCTACCTCTCCCCTCTCATCTCACTCTACTCCCCTCAACCCACTCTCCCCTCTAATCTCACTCTACTGCCCTCCACGCACTCTCCTACCTCTAATCTCACTCTACTCCCCTCCACCCACTCTCCTCCCTCTCATCTCACTATACTCCCCTCCACTCACTCTCCTACCTCTCCCCTCTCATCTCACTCTACTACCCTCCATACACACTCCTACCCCTCCCCTCTCATCTCACTCTACTCCCCTCCACACACTCTCCTACCTCTCCCCTCTCATCTCACTCTACTCCCCTCCACACATTCTCCTACCGCTCCCCTCTCATCTCACTCAACTCCCCTCCACGCACTCTTACCTCTCCGCGCTCATCTCACTCTACTCCCCTCAACCCACTCTCCTACCTCTCCCCTCTCATCTCACTCTACTACCCTCCATACACTCTCCTACCGCTCCCCTCTCATCTCACTCTACTCCCCTCCACACACTCTCCTATCACTCCCCTCTCATCTCAATCTACTCCCCTCCACGCACTCTCCTACCTCTCCCCTCTCATCTCACTCTACTACCCTCCATACACACTCCTACCTCTCCCCTCTCATCTCACTCTACTCCCCTCCACGCACTCTCCTACCTCTCCCCTCTCATCTCACTCTACTCCCCTCCACGCACTCTTCTACCTCTCCCCTCTCATCTCACTCTACTCCCCTCCACGCACTCTCCTACCCCTCCCTTCTCATCTCACTCTACTCCCCTCCACGCACTCTCCTACCCCTCCTCTCTCATCTCGCTCTACTCCCCTCCACACACTCTCCTACCCCTCTCATCTCACTCCCCTCCACACACTTTCCTATCGCTCCCCTCTCATCTCACTCTACTCCCCTCCACGCACTCTCCTACCCCTCCCCTCTCATCTCGCTCTACTCCCCTCCACTCTCCTACCTCTCCCATCTCATCTCACTCTAATCCCCTCCACGCACTCTCCTACCTTTCCCATCTCATCTCACTCTACTCCCCTCCACACACTCTCCTACCCCTCTCATCTCACTCTACTACCCTCCACGCACTCTCCTACCACTCCCCTCTCATCTCATTCTACTCCCCTCCACACACTCTCCTACCTCTCCCCTCTCATCTCACTCTACTCCCCTCCACGCACTCTCATACCGATCCCCTCTCATCTCACTCTACTACCCCCCACACACTCTCCTACCCCTCTCATCTCACTCTACTCCCCTCCACACACTCTCCTACCCCTCTCATCTCACTCTACTACCCTCCACACACTCTCCTACCCCTCTCATCTCACGCTACTACCCTCCACACACTCTCCTACCGCTCCCCTCTCATCTCACTCTAATCCCCTCCACACACTCTCTTACCTCTCCCCTCTCATCTCACTCTACTCCCCTCCACACACTCTCCTACCCCTCTCATCTCACTCTACTACCCTCCACACACTCTCCTACCCCTCTCATCTCACTCTACTCCCCTCCACACACTCTCCTACCCCTCTCATCTCACTCTACTCCCCTCCACGCACTCTCATACCGATCCCCTCTCATCTCACTCTACTACCCTCCATACACTCTCCTACCGCTCCCCTCTCATCTCACTCTACTCCCCTCCACACACTCTCCTATCACTCCCCTCTCATCTCAATCTACTCCCCTCCACGCACTCTCCTACCTCTCCCCTCTCATCTCACTCTACTACCCTCCATACACACTCCTACCTCTCCCCTCTCATCTCACTCTACTCCCCTCTACGCACTCTCCTACCTCTCCCCTCTCATCTCACTCTACTACCCTCCACACACTCTCCTACCCCTCTCATCTCACTCTACTCCCCTCCACGCACTCTCCTACCCCTCCCTTCTCATCTCACTCTACTCCCCTCCACGCACTCTCCTACCCCTCCTCTCTCATCTCGCTCTACTCCCCTCCACACACTCTCCTACCCCTCTCATCTCACTCCCCTCCACACACTTTCCTATCGCTCCCCTCTCATCTCACTCTACTCCCCTCCACGCACTCTCCTACCCCTCCCCTCTCATCTCACTCTACTCCCCTCCACTCTCCTACCTCTCCCATCTCATCTCACTCTAATCCCCTCCACGCACTCTCCTACCTCTCCCATCTCATCTCACTCTACTCCCCTCCACACACTCTCCTACCCCTCTCATCTCACTCTACTCCCCTCCACGCACTCTCCTACCGCTCCCCTCTCATCTCACTCTACTCCCCTCCACACACTCTCCTACCTCTCCCCTCTCATCTCACTCTACTCCCCTCCACATAATCTCATACCGATCCCCTCTCATCTCACTCTACACCCCTCCACGCACTCTCCTACCCCTCCCCTCTCATCTGGCTCTACTCCCCTCCACGCACTCTCCTACCTCTCCCATCTCATCTCACTCTACTCCCCTCCACACACTCTCCTACCCCTCCCCTCTCATCTCACTCTACTCCCCTCCATGCACTCTCCTACCACTCCCCTCTCATCTCACTTGACTCCCCTACACACACTCTCCTACCTCTCCCCTCTTATCTCACTCTCCTACCCTCCATACACACTCCTACCTCTCCCTTCTCATCTCACTCTACTCCCCTCCACGCACTCTCCTACCCCTATAATCTCACTCTACTCCCCTCCACGCACTCTCCTACCCCTCTCATCTCACTCCCCTCCACACACTCTCCTACCGCTCCCCTCTCATCTCACTCTACACCCCTCCACGCACTCTCCTACCCCTCTCATCTCACGCTACTACCCTCCACACACTCTCCTACCGCTCCCCTCTCATCTCATTCTACTCCCCTCCACACACTCTCCTACCTCTCCCCTCTCATCTCACTCTACTCCCCTCCACGCACTCTCATACCGATCCCCTCTCATCTCACTCTACTACCCTCCACGCACTCTCCTACCCCTCCCCTCTCATCTCGCTCTACTCCCCTCCACTCTCCTACCTCTCCCATCTCATCTCACTCTAATCCCCTCCACGCACTCTCCTACCTCTCCCATCTCATCTCACTCTACTCCCCTCCACACACTCTCCTACCCCTCTCATCTCACTCTACTACCCTCCACGCACTCTCCTACCGCTCCCCTCTCATCTCATTCTACTCCCCTCCACACACTCTCCTACCTCTCCCCTCTCATCTCACTCTACTCCCCTCCACGCACTCTCATACCGATCCCCTCTCATCTCACTCTACTACCCTCCACACACTCTCCTACCCCTCTCATCTCACTCTACTCCCCTCCACACACTCTCCTACCCCTCTCATCTCACTCTACTACCCTCCACACACTCTCCTACCCCTCTCATCTCACGCTACTACCCTCCACACACTCTCCTACCGCTCCCCTCTCATCTCACTCTAATCCCCTCCACACACTCTCTTACCTCTCCCCTCTCATCTCACTCTACTCCCCTCCACACACTCTCCTACCCCTCTCATCTCACTCTACTACCCTCCACGCACTCTCCTACCCCTCCCCTCTCATCTCGCTCTACTCCCCTCCACTCTCCTACCTCTCCCATCTCATCTCACTCTAATCCCCTCCACGCACTCTCCTACCTCTCCCATCTCATCTCACTCTACTCCCCTCCACGCACTCTCCTACCCCTTTCATCTCACTCTACTACCCTCCACGCACTCTCCTACCGCTCCCCTCTCATCTCATTCTACTCCCCTCCACACACTCTCCTACCTCTCCCCTCTCATCTCACTCTACTCCCCTCCACGCACTCTCATACCGATCCCCTCTCATCTCACTCTACTACCCTCCACACACTCTCCTACCCCTCTCATCTCACTCTACTCCCCTCCACACACTCTCCTACCCCTCCATTCTCACTCTACTCCCCTCCACGCACTCTCATACCGATCCCCTCTCATCTCACTCTACTACCCTCCACACACTCTCCTACCCCTCTCATCTCACTCTACTCCCCTCCACACACTCTCCTACCCCTCTCATCTCACTCTACTACCCTCCACACACTCTCCTACCCCTCTCATCTCACTCTACTCCCCTCCACGCACTCTCTTACCTCTCCCCTCTCATCTCACTCTACTCCCCTCCACGCACTCTCCTACCTCTCCCCTCTCATCTCACTCTACTACCCTCCATGCACACTCCTACATCTCCCCTCTAATTTCACTCTACTCCCCTCCACGCACTCTCCTGCCTATCCCCTCTCATCTCACTCTACTCCCCTCCACGCACTCTCCTACCCCTCCCCTCTACTTCCTCCGCGCACTGTCCGAACTCTCACGCTCTTATTGCATCTCACTCGACCCTTTTCATATCATCTCACTATTTTCCACTGCCTCTAACTAACTCTAAACCACTATATACCACGTTTCTATCCGGTCTTGAGATGCGGTCGCAATTAGACGCTGCATACACAAGATTTGATTGAACTGTACGGTCCAACATTGAATAAAGAAAGCAGTTGCAATAAAACACGTTCTTACGTAAAGAATACTTCAACTATTTACGTATATATTACACAGTAAAGTAGGCCGATACACATTTTATTGTAGGCATTTGAGGTAATTTCACAAGGCAACCCACCTGTAAGACAATAGAAAGTGGAATGACAGATGACGTCTCTGAGTGACCCTCATCTTTCGACCACCTACGCACGACGCGCTGTCACCTCCCAACAATGTGACCCGTTTGGGTCCCTCCCTATTCAAATATCGTTCCGCTCGTCTTGTTTGTGCTGCGCGCGCGTGTGTGTGTGTGACTATAAAACAACAAAAATGGGGTTTAAAAGTGCATGCACTTTTCTTTGCACTCAAAAGTCGACAGCACATTATTTGGACCCCAGAATTCATCACGTTTGATGTGCTGAATAAAAGTGGCTGACTTGCATAAAGCAATGTAAACGTATCGAAAAGGAAACCACCCGCTTGTATTTAGCACATCGAATGTGATTAATTCTGGGTAAAACATGTTTTTCTACTTTTGAGTGAAAATAAAAGTATACATTGAAAAGCTTGTTTTTTTTACCAATTGTTTTTACTGTGAAAATTATTGTAACTATTTAACTACTATTTGGTTTCACCAGGTAAGGCCCACTGAGCTACATAGCTTTTTTTTAGAAGCGACCTGTCTACAAATAATAGCTCAACAAAGTGGCTTATCGTGTGGAAATTTACAGCAGCCAAATACTCTTAACCCACGATTATAAATGTGGAGGGAAAAACCGGAGGACCGGAGAAAAATCCACTCGACCACGGGGAGAACATGCAAACTTTAAATATACAGACGTCAGGGTCGGGATCAAACCCATGACTTCCTGTATACCAAGGGAGGTAGTTAACATCTCGCCACCGTGGCGCTCACAGTCACGATACAGTAAAGCCAGCCTATCCGGTTATTTTAAGAATTAAATCACACGGCAAATTACTTGTTCGGCTAATCGACGAATGAGACAACGCGAAAAATGGTCGGGACAACACAACGTGTCGCCTGTTCCCGGTTGTGACGCTGGACAGGGGATGATGATGATGACGACGACGGCGAGTTGCCAAGCCTCACGAGAAGAATCCCACACTGCCTTTCAAAACTACAACCTAGCCCAGCCCATTTCAGAGAGCGAGAGAGAAGCCGCATCGGGGTGTTTTTACAATTTCCATAACTTTTTTTTTTAGCAATACTTTTGCTGCATACATAAAAGTTACACGTTATATGTATTGAAAATAATAACGGTGTGCGTACGTTATTGCATTGTGAAAAAAAATCGCTTTTGTACATGGAAGATTTTGAAGTACAAGCAATAGCTTCAAGCACACTAAAATCCTTCTGCTTGGTTGAGATATGTGGATGACATGCTGACGAGTGATCATCATGAGACTAAAAGAACACCAGAGGAATATGAAATACTCCTAAATACATCTGTCGTCAGTTGCAGAACACGCGTGGCAACAGGTACACTCAATTGATTTTGAAAATGTTGAAGTTCTGTGCAAAACTAGTTACGACTGGCCAAGACGAGTTAGATTATAATTAATCTATTGAAATTGAGAGAAATAAAAACAATTTTAACCGTTCGGATAGCTGCAGGCCGAATGCTGCTTTGAAGTGAGTCATCAAGTAACACGTTATTTAACTGCATGCCTATACGTCGATGGGATTACCTGTGAGCAGACAACACTAGCATGTTCTGTTTACGTGACAAACCTTACTAATTGGCTGTGTCGGGTGGTGGCGAAAGCCTACGTGTTAAACTGATGTGCATGCAGTGTACATTGACAACAATCACCGACAACAACAGCAGCCAGCATGCGCCACTAAGTGGCGGTGACGGCACCACAGGACAGACCCGATCTACTGGGATGACTGTCAGATGCAAAAGTCATGCCCCCCTACTGTGCCAAATGTTGATGCTTTTAAGCCGCCCGGCGCTTCCTCTGCTCGTTGTTGCCACAACCACTCCTGCAAACACTGTTTCAAATCCCGACTTTGTGTTGAAGTCACCGATTACAACAAAGTCCAAAATAGGCGACGTCTAAACAAAGCAAGCCCAAACGACCGCAATCCGTGATAAAAACAAGTCCAGGTTCGCTCACGCTAAGCGAACTTTGCAACACTGGAGGGGTGATTTACCTGGGCGTGGAGACATCATCATCCACGTCACGCTGGCTCTGGCTGTTAGAGGGGTTTTCACGAGGTCGGATGTCGGGTCGAGCATGAAAGTTTAAACTTTAAAGGGTTCAAGCAGTAGCGTGACTAGCGTAGGGGCAGGGGAGCGGTGGCTTGCCCTCCCACTGGTGGCCAATGCTACGATTTGGGGCCCCCTTTGAAAAGTACCATGAGATATGTTTTCAACAGTTTGGTATTGGAAGTACTGTAATCGTTTTTTGTTACATTAAAGAAACGTAATATATTTCGATTTAAAGCTTTCGTGACTGCAGGGATTCATCTTCTTGATTCTTTCGGTAAAGTCACGTAGAAGGAAAATAAAAAATAATACAAATAAAACATAATAAAAAAATATTAATATCATAATATAATATAATAAATGTTTTATTTTTTTTATTTTTTTCCTTCTACGTGACTTTACCGAAAGAACCAAAAAAACGTAATATAACTTAACGAAACGTAATTTGCTTTGACAGTAACTCTAGTAAAAGAACACTGGGCATCGAACTCCACAATCTTATTTCAATACGTAAAAAAGACATTCCAAATACAGTAAAATAACTGTAGGCAACGTCAAGTGGTCTCGACAAGATATAATTGCTTGCTTGTGTTTGTTGTAACGTTCTTACACGTCCTTACTGGGCATTTTTTGAAATCACATTCCTCCAGTATAAATCAATATTCTAATTCTAAAGGCCTTGCAATAACGAGCAATACCGTTGCATTTTTATCATTTTTATTTTCAGTATTCATTTACTTTCAGTGTACATTGCTGAGATTTAAGCAACACAAGGGCATATCGGGTTACATGAAGTTGTTTTTAAGTCAATGGTTGTTTCAAAACGTTTAACAAATCAAGACTAAATTGAACAATAATGTAAAGTAATTAAACTTTAAGAAAGTTAACTGCGCCTACAGATTTTAAGCATGCAAGAACTTTAAGGTATTTTATAGAAATGAAAATTAACATTTCAGGCAAGTAGAGACAACTGCGTCTCAGCGTGAAAGGCAATAGATGAACATCCATTTACATTAAACAGGAGTGCCCAATGAGATATCCGAGGGAGACCCTTGCAGACCAGGCAATACACAATATTAAGTAGACAATTCAGTGTCACACAGTTGTGTGGTGAATTCAAAATATTCGTGGTTGCTGAAAACTAAACATGTCTTGGTGTTAATTTGGCATACAGTACAAAGCAAACATTTGCTGTCGAAACGGGAAGTCCCACCATCTGTACAGTACTTTATCAGAAACGCCATTATAAGGCACAACTTTTGGCAGATATCCAGCAGTTTTTGAATGACAGATCTTTCACATTGCCTTTAGGTGATAATGCAGTATAATTTTACATTCCGTCACATTTCACGACGATGTGCATGTTCACAGTCTATGCGCCCTTTATAGTTTTTATGTCTCTCCACAACCCCCGCGACTGGATTAAGAGCCAGCAAAAGGACTGAAGTACAGCAAACCCTTGGCTTTCGCGGGTTATCGTTCTTGATTTAGACCTTTCGCAGGCCTTTCGTGGCTGATACCATGGTGTTTATTTGGCATACAGTACAGTACTTGTTTCAATTGTCACGTGTCTATTTTTTTTGTCTATTTTTGGTTTTGGCTTTCACGGCACTTTCCAAGAACGTAACCCCCGCGTTTTTCAAGGGTCTCCTGTTCTGCAAATCCACGCTTAACGCATGTTCACACGATGCAGTTTCGCTTTAACGCTGTTTTTCTTTTCAAGAATGTTTTTCACTTAACGCACATTCCGCCCGCAATAACGCGAGTTATGCGTGTGATGGACAATTTTTTATGAGCAGCGTGGGTGTTGGCAGCGTTGTTCGGTGATGCTGGGAGCTGGTACTTGGCTGATGCCCTCTGTGCCTTCCTCTTCCTCAGTCTTTATTCCAGCATCTGTGTGCATCTGTGTGCATCTGTGTGATTTATCTTTTTCACTCGCCATATCGTTCTCTCTCTTACACACACTTTATATTAAAATGACTTTCACACATAGAATATTTATGGAAATGCTATATAAACACAATAAATGTAAAAATAAACATGCAAAACAGTGTACTGCTCTGTCAAAATAAAAACAATAACATTACGGGATGGGAAAATGACTCCGGCTTAACGCGGATACGCTTTATGTTGCAATTTCAGGAACGCAAACGTCTGTCTTTAGCGAGGGACTTGCTGTAATGCGGTAACATTTATGAGTGCAGATAAGGAGTGTGGCACAAACATTTTGGATCCTCTGAGGTTTGGTTAGGAGAGAGTTGCAACAATGACGTCAGGATGTGATGGGAGGCGTGGATGGGGGTCGAGGGGGCAGAAGAGATAAGGAAATGGTGGATACGGGAGATGTTGCACATATGCAAGTTTGAGATCCTTTGGTGTTAATGTGGGAAGAGAACAAGAGCTTTGGACCAATAACAACTCAAGGGCTTTGCACACTCGTCACCAGTGTAGAGTGGATCTTGGCCGTCTCTATCATGGCACCGACCAGTCAGTCATCCCAAGGGACTCGTGGGTTCATCAGATCTGCCGTGACACGTGCTTAACCTTGCAGGAGGCCTAACACATGGTGGAAAGTGGACAATGGTTGGCTCAAAAAGTCTTTGTGGCATACGCATTTCCGATGATGATGACGAGTCTAATTTGCTGCATTTCTTTATGTTGGATGACTCCTGTACCTGCACCAGCAACAACAGCAGCCTCTCTTGGGCCGACATCTAATTCTTCCTTCACCAGCTGTCAAGAGCTTTCCCTTAGCCTAGTGCACTTGGTAGTGCGAATGACGGCACTTGCCTCGTGCCAGCCTGGAAATAGATATGGTAGCTGCCCTCTGAAAGAGCTGCACAGGCGGCCGTAGGCATTATCTGGCCGGATGGCTAAGCAGGTGTGGACACTTTGCCCTGATGAGCCTCCGTGGCTCATTAGAGGTGTTGTAAATTCTAAATTATTGCAGATGAGAAGAGTCACGTGGCCAAAAACTCCCCCCGATCGCGATACAATCGTGGATTTTAGTACGTTTTCATGAATTCAGAACACGTACACATACCTGTCAACCCCTTATCAATGCCTACCTTATTACAGACCAATTATGACCGTATTGGTCACCCCGTGCCCATATAAGTCACATAGGTGACTTTACCGAAAGAACCAAATAGTAGATATGTGTATAGTATGTCTATACATAAATACAGTCTAAACATATACATGTATACTGTACATGAATGTATAAGGCTCAATTCCATAAAAATCTGCGAATCATTCTCAAATTTCGGGAATTGCACGGCAAAAAAACGCCTCTCTCCTCTGCGATTTTTTCTCTTGAGGAGGAAAGTCGTGGGTTTTTTTCGTGGCATATCGCAAATGAGAGGATCTGCAAGCAGCGTCACCTACGCCCGACGCAGACTGGCAGTTTCACTGCAGCAACAATTCTCAGTACTGCCCATCATTTATGCAGCATTTTTAGCGGCCCATAAATTGTCAAAGATGTTTCTCCACACATCGAGTTTTTGCAATGGATCGATGTCTTTGAAAGCTTCGCCGCACAGTCCCTGAGGAAGTATTGCGCGGTGCGCTGCCTTCAGGGCCTTAGGGATGTCGTTTTCGGAGACGCAGGGCGCACACAGGCACAGCAGAACGCAAGACCCCTGCAGCAGATAAAGGCAGAGCTTCTTCGCTGCATCGTTTCTAACAAACTCTGGAGTCACCATCACAATTATCGCGTCATAACTCTCTGGTACCTCCGCGATGCTTTGTACCAATATCTGGCCACCTGGCACACAGCAAAGGGGGACACACTCAATTTGTGCCATTTCTTTTGCGAGCTCCTGAACATTTTCAGCCAAAGCTGCACTTTTATCGTCCTCGTTATGGAAGATGAACACCTCGTGCTCTTTGCACGAATTTCTTAGCAGGCGGTCATAGATGTTCCGGAGCACTTGCGAATTCTGCAGCGAAAGATCCGCCATTCGCTGCTTGACAGCGCCAAAAGAGATGTCTACCAGATCACGGTCATCTATAATGTCTGCAGAATCCGTGCATTGCAGCATAACACAAGAGGTCAGCGCCTTCTGGTACTCTTTCTCTGCGGCCAGGTTCTTGATGATGCTATATTGTACTTCTGGATCCTGTTTCATGCTGTGCGCTTCATAAAGTAATTTGAGAGCATCACCGTGGCGCCCTACAAGCTCAAAAAATGTTGATTGGTACAGAAGGTCTTTGTGTGTCGGGTCACGACAAGCCTTCAGTTGGTGCATAAATAATTGAAAGGCCACCCTCTGTGTAATTTTTACTTTGGCTGCATATTCAATAGCCATGCGAAAGTAATTATGGCTTTTCTCCAACATTCCACGCTTCTTCATGGCCAGGCCCCATACCTCCAGTGTCCGAGCACGGGAAAGGTGTGTGACATATTGATCTTCTTGCAGTGACTTTCGGAAACACTCATCAGCTTCCTCATGCTTGCCCAATGATGAGTAAATTTCAGCTAAAGTCCCCAGCAAGGAGTGAGCCGTTTCATTTGACAGTTCTATGCCCTTTTTGATGCATTCAATGGCAAGATCCATGTTATCTTTTGCCCGAGGATCTGTGACATTCTTATATCCTGATGAAGCATGGGTAAAGATTGGCCGCTCTGGCAAGGGCCTGTATGATGGATATCCAGCAGATGTGTTGCGATTGCTTAAAACTTGGTCCTGTCTTTGGTAACTACGTCCGTCATGACCTGATTTGTTCCATCCTTGGTAATCCTGCAGAGCAACTGTGTTACCTCTGCCTCTTCTTTGTTCATTATCACTGCGAGTGCCGGCATAATATTGTAAGCGACCTGGTGTTTTTGAACAGTGATATCTCCCCATTCTCCTCCCTCTGCATGGAACAGAGAAAATATCTGACACAATGGACTGCTCACCATGAGCTGGTCGCTGATCTTTATTTTCAAGGCGTATTGCAGAAAACGACTCACAGATGTCTGCAGTGAATCCACCATGAGCTCCCCTTCCTTCGCTATCTCGTCGTTGTTGATATCCCCTGCTTCTGGGATGTCCTCTGTGGCTTCTGCCTCGACCTGCATTAGCTGTAAAATTTAATTCGGAAAAGATTATCAGGTGGAGTTGTGATGCACTGAGGCTACATATTTAGATCCACATTCCTACTTCACGATTTACTTCATGAACATGACAAACACATTCCTGTGGAGGGAGCTGGTAGGAACGTTGGGTTGCTCGGTCAATGGCCAGGGTCAACGGCGGCGTGGTGTATTCCGCAAATATGGCCGACTGTGAGGGCGGGCCACAAGCCGACGTGAGTAGGTTAAACGTGGAGTTTTATAAGAGCACCATGGGGTGACCAGCCCCTCCCCACCCAGCTCCACCCCTCCCACCCCCCACCCAGCCCCACCCTCCCCACCTAGCCCCTCCCCACCCTCCCCTCCCCACCCAGCCCCTCCCCACCCTCCCCACCCAGCCCCTCCCCACCCTCCCCTCTCCACCCAGCCCCACCCCTCCCATTTTTGGATGAACGACGGACGGACAGAATAATCCCCTGTGGGCTGGTGTAACCAGGAGGTTCCTACCAGTATAAGCAATGTATATTTTGTGTCCTGCCCATGACGTTTGCTCGCACACATTTATACGTAAGATATATTTTCTAAGATACATTTAGAAATCTGAAATGGGTTGAAGATTCTGTAATTTATCACTTGTAAACTGTCTTTAGAGCCTGACATTGTGACCATATTAATTCTGCTGCCAATTAATATATAAATAAGTGCACCAATATAAACCTCACACGATCATCACCCACAATTAACACAATGATTTACTTTTTTTATGTAACATAGCAAACTTCTTGATTTATAGGCGAAAAGGTCAGTTAGGACCACTTAACACTCCTTGTGAATTGATGTGCGATTAAATTCTGACGACTTGATAGTAGCAGAGAAGTCTCGCGTATCACGTATTGGTATCAACTCCAAACCAAGGAAATCCATTTGAATTTGTATTAAATATGTTTCCACCTTTACCGGTCTTATTGGCCTCGTATGCCATGGAGCGGTACACAAGTCCCTGGTGATGGCGGGTAAAGGCCGAGGGGCAGAGGTCGCATGCCCTGTTTAACATCTCCAGAGCCCGCTCGTGTTGCTTGACGTGTCGGAGGTGCCTTCCAAATCGCCCCAGGACCCAGTGGTCCTCAGGCGCCAGTTCATACGCTCTTTCGAAGCACTCGAAGACTGTCAGGCTTTCCTCGGGCAGCTTCACAATTACATGCGACATGTTGCCTTGGACGCGCTTGACATCCTGATGGGAGAACAATAAAAAAAATTCCATTGTTATAACAGGCGCACTCAAATGCGTTATGAAAGGCTCTTTTTAAAAAAACACACAAGTCTATTCTCGCACACCAGGCTAACACAAAGTGTGCACATTTGTCTTTAACGAACCATATGAAAGAAGTACAATTAACTATAAATGAAACGCAAATCATTTCAAAATATACGGACATAAAAGTACGTACTCTCCAATAGTGCTTTGTGATTTCACCCAGAATCACGTACGCTTTGGCCTTCAGAAACTTGTGGTCTGACTTAGCGACGTAGGCAAGTGCCGCAATTGCCATTTTAAAGTTTTCTTCCACATCAACGCCCGGATTTTCCAAAATGTGTTCCAGAGCCAAACTCCTGCATGGAAAGAACAGTGTTCACGTTAAGTTCACTAAATAATACATTCAAGGCATTAAACACTTCAAAGCCATTATTAAAGTTATAACGCTCGTTAACCAGAGAAAGCCGCACGGAGTCCTTAAATCTTTTTTAAGAGGGTCCTGCCAAGTTTTCACAGTAGGGGGGCTATGTTGCTATTAGGTGTAATCCCAATTGACAATTGTTCAGCATTATGTTTGGCCAATAACAGTTACTTCAGTAGAAATAGGTTTTTACCCTTTCAACTGGTACAAACACTGACACCTTTGTACAAGGCATCATGTTTGCAATAACCACAACACAAGCAGTTAAAATGCAAACAAAAATAAATAGCTCTGATGATAATAATATGCACTGTCCTTGAAGTTTATCTTTTTGTTTGCATTTTGACTGCTTGTGTTGTGGCTATTGCAAACATGATGCCTTGTATAAAGATGTCAGTCTTTGTACCAGTTGAAAGGGTATAAACCTATTACTATATTTTGCCACTGGTAAAGGAGGTCTCATAGTTACTTCAGTGTTCTTCATTGTAAGGCACGTGGGCCACTGGCAGCCCCTGGTGGCCTTTAGTGCGGCCCCCAACACAAACACAACATCTAAAAACACCCCCCCCCCCCCCATCATCGTGCCACTGTCAAACCCCCAATGGTTTCAAATGTGTGGTGGCCCTCACACTGCTGATGTCTTATCAGCGAAAGTGCCCCCCCCCCCCTCCTCTGAAAATTGGTGAAGAACACGGAGTCACATTGTTTTAGCTATGGGAGGAAACCCAGATGAAACACCACGTAGAGCAGGGGAGGATTCACGTAGATAGAAAAGAAAAAAAATTGAATAAATATACCACGACGTTTCGATCGCAACACAAGCGGTCGTCATCAATTAGCATTGCTGCTGCATTGGCTTTGCTGCCCCGCCCATGCTGCTGGTGCTGCTGATACACTTGGGCTACGCCCATCTCCAAACCTTTATAAACAGTTTGCCTTTAGAGGCTAACCCATTTTTCGGATGACGACCGTATGTGTTGCGATCGAAATGTTGTATTTATATTCCCTTCATTTTTCTTTTTTTCTATCGACGTGACTTTACAGAAAGAACCAAAGAATTATAACAGTTTAAAAGTGCATAGCCTTAGAAATGCTCGTGCACAAACGCAAATCAACTGACTTTATTACAATGGTCGTGGACAACGTCTTACGTTTCCTAGTGTTGACAAGCCATATCCTAGCGCACATCTTAAGTACCACACGTAAGCAGTGTTCCGGTTGGGGTTTTTTTTATTTTCTTAAAAAATCTGTAATTATTTTGGTTTGCCTCTCCTGCTTACCCCAAATTCAAGTTTACTCGAGTCTGGCTTTGAGAGGTTTTACTGGTGTTATAGGCTGATAGCACCTTGTCAATCCACTGCGGGATGAAGGCTTCGGCACGCCTTGTCAAATCATGGGGGTTATTTGACCATATTTTGCCACGTTGGTCAGTTTAGGTTGAAGCGAGGGGTCCAGGTTGAAAGTTCAGCTTATTGGTGCATTATAAGATGCTTAATTGAGTGTCTGCTTTGTAATGAGATCGAACTATAATTTGTATTGTTTGGGATTTAATTAAATAAATTGTTACATGAATAGCAGACCTATTCAATAACCAATGTGAAAACCCATCACCTGGAAACAGAAGTATGAGTCGTATAAATGTGTTTTATACAGTAAAAACACGCCAGGAAATCCAGGAATACTTTGCATTTCAAGATGACAGCAGCATTATGACAAATATCACAGACTGTGTGAAGAATTATTCCAGAAAGTATACTGGAACCTCCCGTTATTTCTCTTCTTGGTTTTTTCGGTAAAGTCACGTAGAATGGAAATAATAAAATAATACAAATAAAACATAATAAATAATTCTCACGATGTTTCGGCCACAACGCAAGCAGCCGTCCTCAGGTGGAGAACAGGTCTGTCGAGAAGAAAGAGTCTGAATGGCACGCCCCAGGCTTGGAGCGACTATTTAAGCTGGGTTGGAGGGGCGAAGAGAGTCTTGACAAAATAATTTGTTTTATTTTTATTGTTTTATTATTTTATTATTTCCATTCTACGTGAGTTTACCGAAATAACCAAGAAGACGAATCCCTGCAGTCACGAAAGCTTTAAATCGAAACTCCTGTTATTTGTTAGTCATCTAAAACCTATTTTTTACGTATCAAAAACCAACCTGTTGTAGCTCAAAGCCATTCCATAATGCCAAGCCACAAGCTTCTCAGGCAAGCATCGACTCTGGCCCACCTCGATGGCCTCTGCAAACTTTGTGGCGGCCGACAGATGCGAGCAAGGCCCACATCGAGACAGGCTGTAAGCCAGCTCTGACAAAGCGATGGCGATTGACTCCTTGTTTTCGCTTACCCTCTCCAAGGTTCGCAATGCTGCTTCGGCTTCTGTAATTTCAAAGTACTGTAGATGCAATTCACACTTGTTGGCAAGGGCCGTCACGTTGCGTGGCTCCTTTTGTAGGGTGCCCTCCACTAAGGGCTTGGCCTTGTCAGGCTGGAGTTGACGCAGGTGCAAATAGGCAAGGAAATTGAGAGAGCGGACGTCACTCTCAAATTCCTCCACTGTGGCTGGAGCCTCTTTTTCTCGTTCCAATTTGCCAATTATAGAGTCCACTTCTGCAATAGTCAGCTTCACATTTTGCAATTCAAAATGAGTGGGAAATTTTCTGTATTTCGCACGGACAATTTTCACAGAAGCCATGACGACAGATACCGAAGCCACTGCTGAATCAAGTTCTTGCAATTACATTTCAGCTCCTTGCCTTTAGTTTGCTCATGACGTACAGTATTGTTGTCCTCTTGTGACGAAACCCTGATACATAACACAAAACGATACAAATGTTATCAGTTCAACTGCATATTTTCTTTGGATTTTAACCACGTTCTTTTTGCATATCTGTCAACCCGTATGGTTTACTTGTATTCTTGTACAGGAAAATGTAGTTTTCAATACGGGGAAATATTTGTGTCTATTTGTTTGTGTTTCTCCCTTGTGATGGGACTTTGTAGGATGAACGTTGAGATTTATAAGGGCACGGGGTGACCAATAAGGTATGAATTGGACTCTAATAAGGTAGGCAATGACAGGTATGTCCTTGCCACTGTTTCTCACTTTCTCAGTCTCATCAGCAGGGTCCGGGGTATTCCTGCTACAGCAATTGTTGCTGGAAAACTTGTCCAGAACGCCCAAGGGATTGATGGACCAAAACGAGACTTTTTTTTTTACTCGTGAAACGGTACAATGTTCATGCATTTCCTACTACTTACAATTCAACCAGATAACATTTATGATACAGTACCATTTGAAAATGTTTTTTTTCGGTTAATACCATCAGTATCGTATGGAACCTTCTTTAAAAGGGATATGTTTCTACACGTACTGTACTGTTATGCATATGTTTAACCACTTTATATATCTAGACATGTCCTTCTGTCTGTTTCACTCACGACTTCATTTGACCCTCTCTTCTCCTTGCATGTGTAGTGAGTCACTTCGGAGACACTAATAGTAGGAGGCACATACGTTTATTCTACACTTAAACACTTTGTTCACACACGGGATAACTACAGATGGGTCAGGACAGCCTGACCACGACGCCGAGGAGACGAAAGACGTAGCATGACGCGTTCAATTCCAAACGACAGCCTCGATTCCGCCTCGGGACCTCCCTTTTATGCCCCCCAGCGTGGCCTGGCTCCGCCCTCGGCCTCGCCCCGTTCTGGAACCTACCAGAAGGTTCTGGGCTATACCCCACGTGTCCCCTCTGCCACCTTTGCCCTACATCCCTTACCCCGGCCGATCACGTGCCCTGTTAGCCGACCAGGCTGCTACATCCTCAGATGCCCTCTCTCTGCTAGCAACCAGCACTATGTACCCTAGTGACCCATTCCATGGCACTACATGTTCTGCTGGCAGATCGGCTGCTACACCCACAATTCCGTCTCTCTGCCAGCAACCAGCGCTACGTGCCGTAGTGACCCATTCTATGTCACTACACATGTACAGTAATTTGTTTATTCCTTTGTTTACTGTATGTGCTTGCTAATTTAACATGTTAAGTAGTGGAATGTAATATCTGTACAGAGTGTAAACGACATCGGATGAGAATGGGTTATTTTTTGTAGTGTTTATTGCGTTATCTGAATGAAGACATTGTATTTTATTTGAAGTAGATACGTTCATTTTAACCAAATGTGTGTCTAGAAATGAGGTTGATAATAGTTCCACTTTTGTTTTAACCTAGGAGTCTTATTGAATCTCAAGTCTCTTTTTTCACAAGGGTGAGGAATTGAGACGTTTAGCCAATACCAGGAGAAACCCCATGCATATGAAGGGTGACACTACATTCCCATCTCCTTACAGCCGCACAACCTACACCACCTGGCAAGCCTCAGGTTTGTCACCAGTCTGCGCGCGAATCAGGCTCAACCATGCTTCACTTTCGAGATCGGGCACAGTGGGTGATTATTCAGAGATCACAATGCAAGATGTAAGGTTAACTGTACACCACAATACATGGGGAAAAGCTGTACATGGTACTTTGTGTAATTAAATTACTAAATTAAAATAACCCTGGTGAGTGCAACACTCGGACACAAATGGTTGCTAGGCACGGGACGTAGTGGTTATCACAGTCCAAATGAACCACTGCAGTTTACCAATCGTCTTCTTGGTTCTTTCGGTAAAGTCACATAGAAGGGAAATAATAAAATAATAAAAATAAAACATAATAAAATTAAATTCTCACGACGTTTCGGCTACAACGCAAGCAGCCGTCCTCAGGTGAAGAACAGGTCTGTCGGAAAGACAGCGTCTGAATGAACACCACCAAGCTTGGCAGCGTATATCTAAGCTTGGTTAGGGGAGGAAGGGCGCCTTGACAAAGGAATTTTGCATATCAAAATTGGAAATTCCGAAACGTCGTGAGAATTGTATTTTATTATGTAAATTTTCTTTTATTTTATTATTTCCCTTCTACGTGACTTTACCGAAAGAACGAAGAAGATGAATCCCTGCAGTCACGAAAGCTTTAAATCGAAATTTTACCAATCGTGTACACGATCCGCCCCACTGCAAATATTTGGCCATTCAAATAAAGAACGTGTCCAGTCCTATTGATGCCTACAGGATATACTCCTGAATAACGTTAGTCATCAATTACTAGTATGTATTTACCATGAGTAACGTTTGATGCCGTTTTAAAGACGTAACAAAAAAAAATAACTCACATATGCCTGTTTTGTCTTGGGCTGTCCTACGCGAGTTTGAAACTTGATTAATTTAAATAAAGACGTTGTAGTAATTTTCACATTTGCTGCATGAGCGAGCGGTCACTATGATGACACTGAAGTACAACTATTGCACATTTGTAAAGATTAATGTAGCTTCAGGCTCATCATCATGATCCATTATCTACTGATGGATTAAAAAAAAAACTTCCCTTTCCAACGCCCCCATCATCATCATCACACGACCCATAGTTTATCCGCTATGGAATAGAAGCCCGTTCGTACAATCGTTTTGTTATCTCGAGTCTATCCACTGGTGTCCATCTGCCCTTTTGTACACGAGCCGATGGAATCGCTCCAGCTCCACCACGGTGGTCGCCCTCTCGGGCTGGGTGGGGCTGGGTGGGAGGGGCTGGGTGGGGCTGGGTGGGGAGGGGAGGGGCTGGGTGGGGGGTGGGAGCGGTGGGGCTGGGTGGGGAGGGGCTGGTCACCCCGTGGTGCCCTTATAAAACTCAACGTTTAACCTACTCACGCCGGCTTGTGCCGCCGTTGGCCCTGGCCATTGACCGAGCAACCCAACGTTCCTACCAGCTCCCTCCGCAGGAATGTGTTGACAGATTTTTGTTTACGCACTCAATGGGTGCCCCAACCTACGACACCGATGATTCCACTACGGTCACACCGCTGTGTTCATTTCCGTTATCAACGCAGCCTCTTAACCACACCCGTTTCGTTTTTTAAAAAATAAAGAGCTCCTGCTGCTAAACATTGTTACAGTACAGTAGCACATTTTTCGCCTTTAAGCGTCCTCAGTCACGCACTACATTTTTAGCACTTTTTTTTGCCTTTCTCAACAAGTTGACGCTCGCTGGGACTTGGCCACTTGGTGAGCGTTGCTCGACGAAGTCTCAATTGCTGCCATGGAAGGGCCAATTTTTCCCAAAACGTCGCCCATTATGTTTCCCTTTTGAGAACAGAGATGACCAACAATAAAAAAAAACTGAAGGACAAAACAAACTAAACACTACAACTCTCATCGGGGACGCGATGCGCACTAAGACAAAGGGGAGAGGCCGTGGGAGTGGCTCACGATTCCAACGCGGACCGTCCCGAGTAGCGTTCTGCAAACGTTTCAAAGAACTCGCTACATAACAGCAGCGTTCTCCGCTCAAAGTGAATGAAACAACGACGAAGATTCCGTGCTGCCGTCGGCTTTCCCTACCGTACGACGGACTGCGTTGTCTCGATCGTCCCCGCTGCTTGTTGTTTCTGCACGGAAATAAGCGCCCAGTTGGGACTGAATCGCGTACTACTAACTTCTTTATACGCCACCTTGTGGAAATAAAGAATATATTAAATTAAACTATTGAAAATTTGGCTCGAAAGAAGGCTGTCTTCTGGTAGAGGCCAATCGATATCAACTACAATGCCAAATATTATTGGAACATTTTTGTTTGCACGTGCAGCACAAGTACTGTGTGTGTGGTTAACGCAGGCTTGATTCCTCGCAAAGGGTTTCTGTTTGGTGTTTGAACATCTTAACACCTAATTCTAGATTTGAAGCTTTCGTGACTGCAAGGATTCATACTCGGTAGTTTTTTTCGGTAAAGTCACGTAGGTAAAAATAAATAGTAAAAATAATAAATAATATAAATAATTATAAAAAATAAAATTATAAATCACGACGTTTAGGAGGCAACACAAGTCTCCGTCATCAGGTGGGACCGTCACAGCTAGATTTACCTACGTGACTTTACCGAAAAAACCTAAGAGTATGAGTATCTTAACACCTCCTGTATTATTGCCAGAAAGGGGTAACACCTAATCTTATTTTACCAGCCAGGGGCCCATTTTTGGTCAGGTCAGAAGCGACCTGGCCAAAAATGATGGCTTAACGCCATGGCTTATCGTGTGGACATTTATAGCAGCCAAATACTCTAAACGCGTGATGTTGATTCTAAAAAGTGTGGTGATTCATTGATTTCCCATTTGTGGAACATGCGTCCGAGCCAGGTTCAGTGTGATCCACAGCCTCCAGGTCCTCAACGTTGTTTTTATTTGCCACGTTCGTAGCTGCCTCAACCTTCAGACCATCAAGTGCCGGGTGTCTTCATTTTCAGTTGCCAGAGTGGAGGCACGTTTCGAGAAAGGTCAACTTGATTTAAGCCTTTGTGTCTTGGTGGCGTGGCAGGGCGAAGTTTTCCACGATCTTGTACTACCGGATGGTCGTGGCATTACGTCGCATGTTGGTTGCAGCGATGTTCTCCGGTGCAGGAAGCCACGGCAGTGGACTTCAGGGTGCCGCCGATGATACGAAGTGAGCTGTTGATTTTGACATCGACAAGGTTTGGCTGAGGGCTGGCCACTCCACGTTGGGGCCCAGTACTCCGCTGTGGAGTGGACAAGGGCCTGTGTCAATATCTTAAACGTACGGGAGTCGCTTCCCCACGTTCCCGCAAGTCTCTGGATAATGTTCACGGAGGCTTTTGTCTTAAGTTTGCCTTGTTTAAGGTGGTGCCAGCAGTTGAGCGCCCGGTCTAGAGGGGTAACTTCCGAGATACCGAGGGTGGTGGTCGTATGTTAGTGGTGTTGACATCTAATGTTTTCGTGGCTTGCCTGTTGTTCAGGTGGAAGACAGATGCGACGCTCTTGTGTTTGGTTCGAGGCATCAATTTGTAAAGTATGCTTCTAATAGTAATAGGTTTTTACCCTTTCAACTGGTACAAAAACTGACACCTTTATACAAGGGATCATGTTTGCAATAACCACAACACAAGCAGTCAAAATGCAAATAAAAAGAAACACATAAACCCCCTGGACAGCGCATATCATTATCAGAGTTGTTTCTTTTTGTTTGCATTTTGACTGCTTGTGTTGTGGTTATTGCAAACATGATCCCTTGTATAAAGGTGTCAGTTTTTGTACCAGTTGAAAGGGTAAACACCTATTACTATATTTTGCCACTGGTAAAGGAGGTCTCATAGTATGCTTCTAAGGTCTTGAGATCTTTTTCGAGAACTTTTCCAGTATCCACTATTGTCCGGGCTTGGGTTGCCACGTGCAATGTCGTCCACGTATGTGAACTTACGAGAGGATGTCGCTGAAGAGAGTGAACAGGGCTTTTATTGAGGGACTGCGTGTCGCCTTGGTGTGGTCTGGGACTATTTTTAAATCCTTTATATTAAGTTCGCTTGCTTGCTTAGGACTGTGCAAATCTTTCGGTCGTTTTTTAACCCACTCCCCGTGATCCAATCGAGCTGACATTTTGCACACAGACTCGTTGTGCGTGACAATGCATTTTCGTGAGAAAAAAAAATTCCTAAATTTTATACTGTTTAGGGAAAAATAAAAAAATATTTAATTACCAATTGTTTAATGCTGCCAGACAATCATCTGACCCATAGGTGGCAGCCATCTCAAGCCTGAGGACGAGAGGACGCTAGCCGCCCCGATGCCACGCATATAAAGGATTTATAGTGAAAAACTTTGTTTTTACGGGTTTACTTGTTGCTGTTGTTTTGCTGCCTTACCCAACTTTGAGAATTGGTGTACTTATGCGATTTGAACTTGGATACTTTATCTATTTAATGTATTCATTTTTAGCGATTCGCTTACCTTTTCTAATGTTTGTACTCCTATCGTTGTTTGTATTATTTGTCTGTTGTAACTTTCTCACCCGCCCCGATGGGACATCTGTGAAACAGATGATGAATAAAAACATTTCTCTCTCTTGCTTAACTCTGCTATAGCGCTGTTTCCACTTTCCACGGTGTCCGTGTGGCAGGAGCTCTCCGCAATGAACCCGCGGAGAACACCGCACAGTAAGTGCCACTGTTGCCATGCCCTCGCCTGTGGCACCGAAGTTCTACGCAACGTGGCCAATACGGTGGCACGACACCGCCAACCCGCGGTTTCACTTCCCTGCGGCGGCATCGCGAGTGAGACGGAGATGCGGCCACAGGTTTTGTTGTTGTCTCTGGTCGCGCTGTGACCACAGACGCTCGTACCTGTCAACCCATTCGGTTTACCCCGTATTCTTGTGCAGGGAAATGTATATTTGTCAGGGCCACGTGGCGTACTCCTCCACCCACGTGGCCCCCTCCCTCTCTCCGCACGTGGCGTGCGAGTGCGCGAGACGCCACCAGCGGAGAGACGTCATGCGCAGGGGTGCACGTGATGACGCCACGCGCATGGGGTGCATGATGATGTCACGCGCATGGGGTGCGTGATGACGTCACGCACAGAGGGTTAAGTGGTGACGTCACGCGCAAGGGGTTTACGTGTGACGCCACGCGCATGGGTTGCGTGATGACGCCACGCGCATGGGGTTAAGTGCTGACGTCACGCGCTAGGGGTTACGTGGTGACGTCACGCACAGGAGTTAAGCGGTGACGTCGCGCGGAAGGGGTTACGTGATGAAGTCACGCGCGCAAGGGCTTACGTGATGACGCCGCGCGCAGGGGGTTACGTGATGACGTCACGCGCAAGCCTTACGCGGTGACGTCACGCGCAATCCTTACGCGGTGACGTCACACGCAGAGAGCCGCGAGGAGGAAGCAGCAGTCGCTGCTGCTGCTGCGAGTGGCGAACTCGTGGAGTCCCGGGCAGCAGCAGCAGCAGCCGCAGCCGCATCCCGCGCATCAGAGAGGCCCATTCAGCAGCAGCAGCAGCGGCGGCGAGTACAGCCTACCGCGGGCGCGACAATGAAGCTACAGCCGCCTTGGGCCCTGCTGCTGCTGGCTCTGCACCTGTGCGCCCAGGCGCTGGCAGAGTGAGTTTGGCGTGGTGGTGGTGGGGGGGGGGTGATCGCGTCCTCTTTGCGAGTAAGCGAGATGCTGCCGATGCTTGTGCCCTTCGTCAGTGAGTGTCGTCCCTTCCCCCTCGGCAGACGCGACTTCTACAAGATCCTGGGGGTGTCTCGCTCAGCCACTACGCGGGAGATCAAGAAGGCCTACAGGAAACTCGCCATGCAGCTGCACCCCGACAAGAACCCCGACGACCCCCAGGCAGCCGACAAGTTCCAGGACCTGGGCGCTGCCTACGAGGTGCGTGGTCGTTGCCAAGTTCCGTGTCGGTGACTGATCGGCTTGCGGGGGAAGGGGGGACCCAACGCGGGGTTTCGTGGTCAATTGCACGGGGGGGGGTCGTGGTCGGCAGGGGAAGAAGGCCTGGTACACACACTCGTGGTGGTTCAAGGTGGATGGACGTCTTTGTCCGGGCACGTGGGGGGGGGGAGCAGCGGTCCGAGCGAGCGGCTCGCAATCTGAAGAGGGCGAGTTCAGGTTGCGGGGTTGACTCAACCCCATCGGCCCTTTCTCCGGAGTTGATCAAACGAGGGCAGTACCTGTTCGTGGGGAAGTTCAATCGTAGTGATGCTGACTTGACTTGCTCCTGCCATAGGAATGTGTAATTTCCACCATTTAGCTGAGGGCTGGAATCAGGTGTTGAGCACTGCCTAAATGTCGATTTGAGCAGGGCACGTAAATGACAAGCCTGAGTTGTTAGCATAGCCTCTACTTACACCAGCTCGTGGTATTACACACACAGCCTTGTGGTGTAGTTAAAGGCTGTTGTCATATGTACAAGCTGTTATTAACAAAGGCTTGTACTGTAGGTACAGGCTGTGTGTTATTAACACAGGCATATGGTATGGGTACAGGCTGTGTGGTGTAGGCACATACTTGTTGTGATGTGTGTACAGGCTGTGTGTTATTAACACAGGCATGTGGTATGGGTACAGGCTGTGTGGTGTAGGTACAGACTGTTGTTGTGATGTGTGTACAGGCTGTGTGTTATTAACACAGGCATATGGTGTAGGTACAGGCTGTGTGGTTTAGATACAGACTGTTGTTGTGATGTGTGTGTACAGGCTGTGTTATTAACACAGGCATATGGTGTAGGCACAGGCTGTTGTGATGTGTGTGTGTACAGGCTGTGTGTTATTAACGCAGGCTATGTGGTGTAGGCACAGGCTGTGTGGTGATGTGGCTACAGGCTTGGGTGACGTTAACACAGGCCCCGTGGTGTGGGAAAGACCGCGGCTGACACTACCCCCAAGTGCATGTTGTCGTACAGTGCGTTTTGCCGGTGTGCTGGCTACCCTGGATTGGCTGCCAGTGTCCCCGCGTCACGCGATTTCCGCACTCACACGTGGCGCTGGCCGCACCGAATTGGCTGGAGCGACGTCACGAGAACTGTCGTGTCATTGGCCGCTGTTGTGAAGCACGCAAAGCCACGCCCCTCACGCGCCACTGACTGACTGCACAACCCAGATACACACAACCCAGATACACACAACCCAGATACACACAACCCAAATACACACAATTCAGATACACACAACCCAGCTCATACCACTGTGTAACTCTCTCTCTACCCAGGCCAGATGCACACAACCCAGATACACACAACCCAAATACACACAACCCAAATACACACAATTCAGATACACACAACCCAGCTCATACCACTGTGTAACTCTCTCTCTACCCAGGCCAGATACACACAACCCAGATACACACAACCCAGATACACACAATTCAGATACACACAACCCAGCTCATACAACTGTGTAACTCTCTCTACACAGGCCAAATACACACAAGCCGAGCGCTCATACCACTGTAACTCTCTCTACACAACCCAGCTCATACCACTAACTTTCTCGACACAAGCCGCATATACACACAATCCAGCTCATACCACTGTAGCTGTCATTACACAAGCCAGCTCATACCACTGTGTAACTCTCGCTACATAAGCCAGCTCAATTCTCTCTACACAAGCCAGCTCATACCACTGTGTACTCTCCACACAACCCGGCTTATCCCACTGTGTAAATATTTCTAGAAAAAAGAGAAAAACCTATTGTAATATTTCTATACAACCCAGCTTATCTCATTGTATGTATGAATGTTGAACATCCTTCCCCATTGTGCGAAGCCAACCGTGCGACACGGAGGTGCGGGAAATTGTGTCATCACTACACAAACCCAGCCGCACAGGAGCCGGCTTATACTATTGTGTGCTCTCTATACACAACCCATCTACAGACAACCCAGCCTATACTATCGTGTGCCCTCGCTACACAACCCAGATACACACAACCCAGCTCATACCACTGTGTTCTCACTACACAACCCAGTTGAACACAACTCCGCGTCACATAACCCAACTCCTACAACTGTGTATTCTCTCTACACAACCCAGCTGCACGCGACCCAGCTCATGCCGCTGCGCTTCATTGTTATACTGCTTTTATCATCTTGTTTAGTCTTTTTGTTGACTCGGATCACTGGTGCGAATGAGACTCCTGGTCGCTTGAATCCTCACCTGGTGGTTAATTAGAAACGAACTTGAGACTAAAGGTGCGCACTTGGCACGCATGTTGCTGCTGCAGGTGCTGTCGAATGAAGAAAAGCGGAAAACGTTCGATCGTCACGGAGAGGAAGGGCTCAAGGAAGGTGGCCATGGCTCCCATGCCGATGCCTTCTCACAGTACGTTTACCTGGAGCGTTTTGGGGCAATCGCAGAAGTGTGGAGATTATAACCTATTGAAATCATCCGAGTAAAGCAATTGAAATATAACTTTTCAGTTTAAGCCAGTGGAGTTTGTGCATTCGTTATGTATGTTCCCGGTGTGTAAGAGCTGAGAAATCTGTCGACAAAGGACAGTGCGATAAATTGTGTTGGCTGAATGTCAGAGAACTTCAGGTATTTAGATTAATGTACACATATGTTTGTTAAACTTCTTCCGCACAGTACGTAGCCAACACAATATGTCGCCTATGATTGCAGTGATTTTGCAATTACAGGCCACTGCATACACACTGCCTTTTTGCATCCTTTTGATCTCGTGAAAACTATTAACGATTTTAATATGTATGTGTTGTTGTGACAATTTGTATTGTTGTTGTTAAGTTCTTACCCACCCCAACTGGACATCTGTGAAAAAGAGCGTGAAAGCTCATCGGATTCCTTCAGTATAAATAAATATTCAGTCTGATTTAGCACTGGGCAACTGTCTTGAGACTCATGGTAAAATTGCCCCTATTCGCAGAGAGGATACTGCCTTGTCTATCTGTGCCAGACAGACCAATTGAGCATCTTGAGTAATTCTGGCTGTTTTAATTGGGGCTATTAAAAAACACACACACATGCAACATGAGCTTCTGTGGTGTATTGATCAGCCCACTGGACCTGCAATCCATTCCATCTTCCCGTGAAGTGGTTGAAGCGATGGTGCAAATTCGCTAAATCTTCCCCCACCTCTGTTGACCCAACAAAATAAATGGGTAAACCACAGTGAGATGATCAGTAGGTTGTGTGTGTGTTGGGGTTACGTGTGGGTACACCCATCTCTTCCAATACATATGTTCAGTGTAGAAGAGTGGACCAAATACTACCCTCTAGAGTGTATAGTTAGAGCATGCAAATATCGGTGGGAATGTGACAGGTGGGGGTTTACCCGGCCATTGGTCCCTCTGTGGTCAATACAATAAGCAGCACTTAGTACCAATGGTAGCGGTTACCCTATAGGCTCACTGCCAACATGTTATTGTATAAGTTTCACCTTTCTTGAGAGCTCTAAACATGAAATTGTTGCATTAATACATTGCATGCTACTTGTAGAATTTTCGGTATTTTTTTTGGGATTTCATAATATCCTTATATTTTACAGTTTGACCATTACTGTGTTTTAGCTCCTTTTGTTGTTGTATTTCTTGTCTGTAGCTTTTTTGGCGATTTTGGATTTGAATTCTTTGGGGGAGGAAGCAGACAGCAAGACCGTAACATCCCCCGAGGAAGTGATGTTGTCATGGAGCTTGAGGTCACCCTTGAAGAAGTTTATTCAGGAAACTTTGTTGAGGTGAGATCAACAAAGGCCAGGTGCAATGGCAAGGTTGCGTGCAATTTAAACTCGACGTCCGTTTAAACTCCTGCAGCATTGTAATGCTTAGTAATACTCGTTGTAATCGAGTCCGACTCCAGAGAGGACTATTCATCTTACAGACTTGACATTGCTGTGGGGTTCCTGAAATCTTTATGGTCACCTCACCAAGTAGCGCAACTCTGCTCAAAATGTAATGTCTGCTAAGATTACGTCTTCTCTGTTTGTTGTATGAGGTCAATAAAGATTGTTGCAGTAATCGTTTTCTATTGTACCCAAATTAAGTTTATATATCTTCAGGACTGTTTTTTTTCCATTGCAATTTTTTTTGTTATGATTATATTTCCTCCTAAAAGGTTGTAAGGAACAAGCCGGTGGCAAAACAGACTTCGGGGAAACGGCGGTGTAACTGCCGTCAGGAGATGCGGACGACGCAGCTGGGACCTGGGCGCTTCCAGATGACGCAGGAGACTGTCTGTGATGAGTGCCCGAATGTCAAGTAAGCGATGGAATTTTCACTTGGGAAAACTGTTACGTTGTTTATATAGCATTGTTTTAGTAAGTTTTAGAGGGGCTTGGTTTGGCCCGATTATTTTTATTTAGTATAGAATTTATACTTACATTTTTTATCTGTATTGTATTATGATTGTTATTGGGATCAAACATCGAAATGGAATTTTTTGCACTTTCTGTACGCAGCATGGACGGGTTGTGCTTTTTCTGTAGGATTATATTGTTTACGTATGTGATGTTCAGATTTGTGCACAATGAATTTTAGGTGTATCTTGTAATTTTATTGTTTGTTGCGGTTGAACCCAAATCAAGAGCCGAATGGCTCACAGGGTAAATCCTAATAAATTAAACTGAAAAATGTAACTGAAACTGAGTGGTAAAATAAAACCATAAAATTTTCTATGTAAATGGCAGAATTATGTGGTCATCATTAATTGTGGTAAATGGAATCCGAATGGCGTTTTTTTTATACATGTTGCACAATCAGGTAGCAGTCGGTAGTCGCGAAACTTTCAGGGCAAAACTTAAATATTTAATTTAGAGTGGGTGCTGGCTGGGAAACGGTACCGTGTTTTTGAAGTGATGATACCACGATTGCATAAAGTTCTAAGCTATACACCCCATAACTTTATTACGATATGTTAATAGGATTAGTAATTTGCACCCACCACAACCCGACACAATACAACTGGGATACATTAGCAGCTGCCACAGTATTAATGTATTTTCTGCATAACAACTCTCATATGAGTTGTGTATCTCAACGTGGGAAAAACTGCTGCTTGGACCAACTGTGCTGTCGACGTTCTGCAGGCTGGTCAATGAAGAGAGAACTCTGGAGGTGGAGATAGAGCCTGGTGTTCGGGATGGCATGGAATACCCATTTCTGGGAGAAGGTGAGAGAGGCTGCACTGCAATTTTTTTTATCACAAAGTCTGCCTGTTTAGATTTCATTGCATAAAAAAATGTGCATGATTGTCTCTTTTGAAATTATTCAAAAAAAGATATTTTTCATATATAGTTTAATATTTTGTGTTGAAATGTTTTTCACAAAGAGACATAATTGTTAAAGTTCTTTTAAAAAAATCCCTTTACCCTAGGCGAACCTCACATTGACGGAGAGCCCGGAGACCTCCGCTTCAGAATAAAAGTTCTCAAGTAGGTTATCAACGCGCACGCCTCGATCGCTGTTGTTGCAATTAAAGTGAAAACGAAGGAACTGCATTGGCAGTGGCATTAATTAAGCCAAATAACCTTTTTACCTTAAATTTGTACGAGTTTTTCTTAATACACCTATATACTGCCGTCACATCTGGGATGCAGCATCCAGTTCTTACCTCACTGCACTTGGTAGCATTAAATGTAAAAAACATTAGTTGATGTAGCACTCACTGCTCGCCGGCTATTAACATGGTTACTGTTACTCATTGAGTCAATGTTGAGGACTCGTTCTAACAGACTTTTCCATCTCATCAGCACCTTGTTCAATCGCTACACTGCAGGTCACAGCACTTCTCTCTCTGCTTCTTGCTGCTATACTTTGGAATTTGTGTCTTTTGTCTCTTTTCCAAAGCTCTTATAACCTTGCTCAAGTGAAGGAACGTGCAACTTCTTGTCGTTACAACTTTAACTGTCGTGTTTAATGATGGCTGCTTAGCATTGGACCTTTGTCGTCCTTCCCCTGCACCTCCGTTTAGCAATTGTGGGCTGTGTACAGTGTAAAAGAAGTTCAACACACACATAGATATATACATTTGGGCCTGTGCCCAGACACTTTATAAACAAATATATAGGAAGCTTGTGTTTTAGTTAATTGGCCCTTCCCTATCGCTGGCGTGTTTCTTGCCTTCTGTGTCAGGCACCCAGTCTTTGAGAGGCGAGGAGATGACCTCTACACAAACATCACCATCTCATTAGTGGATGCACTTGTTGGGTTTGAGATGGATATCATTCATCTGGATGGACATAAGGTAATTACTTCGTGGTCACATTTCAAAACTGTCATATGTACAATCGTTTGTTTAAAATAAACGAACGTTTATGTTGCATTGCACGTTATGAAGTTTGCCTGCAGTTCAGTTTGGTGGAGTTATTTTTTCTGGAAAGCAATTTTCTGTCTTACTGCATTGCTGATAGTGAATGTACTGTTTGGTTTTATTAAAAGTGTGCACAAGAGCAATACAATTACTATGCCTCGGTTAATGGGAAAAATGCACATGACGGCAATGTTATAAATAATTAGTAATGGAAAACATGACACCAATGTTGAATGCTAATTAGAAAGTGTGCTGTAAGGGAATCTCTTTTGTGTTGCAGGTAAAGATCGTCCGAGACAAAGTGACGTGGCCTGGTGCCCGGATAAGGAAGAAGGAAGAAGGGCTGCCTAACTTTGACAACAACCACAATCGTGGTTCACTAATCATAACTTTCGATGTCGACTTCCCAAAGGGGGAGCTCACCATCCAGCAGAAAGATGGTACGCCACTAAATGGTCTTCACTTTTCGTTTTGTGTGTAAACAAGAGGGTATTTGAGACAGGAGTGTTATCTATTACTGTACGGATCAGAGAACTGGACTTGTAAGTCAACAGATCGAGAAGAAGTTGTTGGCATTTGAGTACAGGTGTGTGAGATGGATGCTAGGAACGTCATGGCAATACAGGATGAAGCAATGCAAAAGTCCGGAAGAGAACATGGCAGATGAGTGTGTAGATACATTGAGACATTAATATAGCTGCGCTGGGTGAGACGTTGTGCAGGACCGGGTAGGGCCAATTGGCAAGAGATGCATTGGAGGGGGAAGACCTCAGGGTAGAGAGTGGTAGACTGATAGGGTACATTGTGGAGGGAAGGTCGTGTTACTACTGTGCAGCATCTGTGAGATCCGGCAGAGGGTAGAAAGCATTGGTGAGGTGTGGCTAGCATTGGTGACTTTAGCCATGATCACATTTTGATATTTGAGGTTTTTGTTGTGTTCTTAATGAGATTATTTGTGTCGTGCAGGTTTGAAAGAGCTTCTGAAACAAGAATCAGCTCAAAATGTATACAACGGACTTCAGGGATATTAATCCTTAAAAATGAGTTTGCCACTTTTTGAAATGTCTCACGCTGTATTTATAATTTATGTATAGGTTGAGAATTTTTCCTCAAATAAAAGGATTGCATTTCACCTTGTCAATGAAATCCATAAAGGATTGCTACAAAGGGGTGTTAAAACATGTCAACATTCTGACAAAAATATACAATCCTAAAATCTTGCTACTCTTATTAATGCCTTATGCACATGTGCTGCGTCACAAAGTACCATTGTGCGCATAATTCTCTGGCAGCTGATTAACATTTAGTAAAACAATAGAAACCAAAGTTTGGTCAACCCTCTTAAAATATTAACAGTAAATGCCATTGTGCTAGTTTTCACATGTCACCCGTTTAAGGCCTAAGTGGCAAAATGTAAAATTATATATTGCTGTAACTAACGCATCAACGTCAACAAATTGAGCAACTTGGTATAAAATACAGTACTTAAATTTATGGATTCCGTGTGCCTAATTTTTCTAGAATTTTTTTTCTCCCCAATGCACCTGTGCTGAATGAGTTTGAGTAGATTTTCTGCAAGTTGTGTGGAAGTGCTTAGGTTCCATTACTAAAGCTATAGATCTGCTGGCATTGGGATTATGACTTAGAAAAATATTTGAGTCACTTGTAGTTGATGCTAGTGCCATGGAAGGCACACATTAATATAAAGGAAGATAAGAAGCCCTTGAACTTTATACTAAAAGTAGTTGAATGGACTGAATTGGTTGTTTTTTTTCCTTCCTTTGGTCTTCCCATTATATTCAAATGTAGTAATGACTATCATGCCATTTCCACGTGGAATATGAAAAAAATAGAGAACTTATATTTCTCAAAGCTCTTTCATTGTCTCTTATCAGCAAATGCTTCTACATGTGACGTTTACACAGAGCTCCAAATGTAGCTAGCTACATTCTTGTGTCCCCTGCCAGAGTACCCAGCCATGTAGAAACATGTCTGTGGAAACTAAAGCTGCAGCTAGCTGGCCGAATCGTCGTGATCTCGGCCAACACGGGACTACAACGCAAGGTGGTGCAAGTCTCATAGCAAACACCATTTTGTTAAGTCTTCAAAGCTGGAGAAAATCTTAATTAAGTAAACACTCTACTTAACAAAGGATTATTTGTGCAGCCATTGGTTATCAGGCTGTGCCCATCAACCACTAAGATTGAGAAAGGTGTATTACCACGGGTGGCTCGCTGAATTCCAAGGCAAAATCTACGCTGCCCTGATATGGTACTATATATGGATATTAACATTGACATTTGAAAAAGACTACATTTTCACCCAAATAACCCAAGTTTAGAGATGTTTAAATTCTGCATAAAAATATCTCAACTGCAATAATGTATCTTGTTGTGTGATGGGTGGGTTCTTTAATAACATTTGTGAAATATCATTGGTAGGGGTAACTAGTGAAAAACAAATGTTATTTCCCTTTTTAAAACCGTGGGTACCCTTAACAGTCCTGCATCACTTTGTGATTTATATATTCGAAATTATGCTTTTGTTGGGTTATCTTAAAATTTACAGGGTTATTTGTGGGAATTGTTTTAATGTACTGTATGAATTTTGCCCCAGCTGTGGATAAACTCTTGTTGCCAGATGCTCAAGGCAGGCCCCGTCAATGATGGTTTGACAGTATTGTGCCCACGGGGGAAAGTCCCGTCCCTTGTCTCGTGGAGGTATTGTTTTCCCCTCTTGTAATAAAGTGTTTTTCACACCTTGGTGCTGTACTTGTTAAGTTTGGCTGCAAAGTTATTGTAATGCTTTTGTGGCATTTCTCTTGCTGTAGGATGTACAAACATTTTAATGCCCGTTTTTAATTAGGATAGTCCCTAGAGAAATTTATGAAGCATCTGATTACAGATGCACCAAATATTTATCTACTACCTGTCTGTTAAAATACATAAAAACAACTGCTTGTCAATGCGACACGATAAAAATAATGCCACGTGTTTATCCAAGTAAGCCTCGCTAAGTCTCACGGCTTTTCAGAAGGGTTCTGTATTGGGATGTTTTGAAAAGTCCAGGAATGGATGCCTTCATGTTGTTGAAAATCTGAGAACTCTGACGAAACCCATGAAGAAAAGGGGAAACGCTCAAAGACTACCGCCTCAGCCACTTGGCAGCCCTACGACTATAGCACGTGGCAAACCTTGGCCGTCACCCATCCTAGTATTACATTTCAAAGCACATCGTTTAGAGAGTGAAGGCCTGTCTCGTGTTTTACTGTGTAAACACTGGGAAACCTCCCGGCGGTGGCAACACCGCCCCCCTCCCACCGTCAAAGCCAGGGGGAGAGGTGAGGACGGCCCAGCCAAGGCGACCGCGGCAGACGGTGGTGGCTTTTCGACCCTTAGTGGGTCCGCAATACCAGGAGCAGGTCACCTTTAACGCACGTGCCGGAGTTTGTCCATCATGACTTAGAAACTCCTGGAAAGCATTTTTTAAAGAATCAGCCGCCCTCTTGTCAAGTCCGTGATCATTGAAGAACAAGCGTGATTCTGGCCTCAATGCAGCAGCTCTGACCAAGTTTTGGCCCTTGGGATGCACATTGAGGCCGGATTCCATAAGAAATCCAAAACTGGTGGAGCCTTTGTGGGCTTGTCATCGGCCTACAACAGTCTTCATTAAGGGCCTGATGTTGAAGCTCACAAGAACCAATCCTTTACTAAACCAATACGCCTGATATCGACGATGCTGAGCAATTGGTGACTGCCTACGTGGGTGGCAAAGCCAGCTCACCCATTGGATTGCCGCAAGGTTCAGTACTCGCGCAAATGCTCTTCAATGTCTCGACAAGCGAAATACCTGCCAACCAGGTAATGCAAATGTATATATATATTTGGATGATCTTGCCGAAGCATCACAGCAAGTCACTTGCAATCGAATCCAATCTGAACCAAGACCTAAACACCATGGGGGAATATTTCTGGAAATGGAGGCTCAACCCAAATTCCCCACAAAACATCAGTCACTACATTTAATCTTGACAATTCAATACATCAAAATCCATAATAAACAGCACATTTCATCATTGAAGCAGACGTCTAGAAAAATGTAGACCAGTGTGATAGGAGCACCAAGTACATTAAAAGTGACCTGCAGCAACACTGTGACACGACCACACTCCAACTTATCTCGAAGTGAAGCTGGACTATGCTAACCTTACATGAAAACCTGAATAGACCAAAACAAGAGCCAACCTGGTCCAGAAACTGACCAGCACAAGCTGAGAAACAGCACTAGTGCAACAGGCATAAACTATGGTCCTTGTGTACTCTGTAGCCGAATACTGTGCACCAGTGGACCAGAAGTAGTCCTACTCGACTTGTTGATGTCCAACTGAACACTAAAATGCGATGTATCACTAGGACCCTCAAGTCGACCCCAATACCAAGGCTGCCTGTGCTGTCACATCTTTCCACCCATCCACCGCAATGCTACAACCCTCCAGGAAGTCTTGCGAATTGAGGAAAACAGTTGCCTTGGGACCTCAATAACGCCCCTCATCGCTTGAAGTCACGCAAGCCCTTTTGGACCCATGCACTTAACCTTCAACAATGTCAGTTCCAGCCCGATGATGCTTGGATAACTAAATGGAATTCGAAAGAGCTCACAAACACCTTGTGAAAGACCCAACGCTGAAGATCTCTGGGTTTAATCTTTCACGAAGCTCGTGGTCCACACTGAACTGCATCCGCACAAACGATGGCAGATGCGGATGCGCAAATGTAAAATTAACAACTCTCCAGTGTGCGACTGAGGTCATCCATGACAGACGTATAACGACGCAATGCTCTATCCACATATTCGAAGGAGACATTACAGCAATACACTCTGCTGCTCCTGATGCGGCTATCTGGCTTGACCACCTGAATGTGAAATCGTAGTTGAACGCTCTGCATCTACATCAGCCATTCGGAAGAAGAAGCCTGGGTGCTACAGTTCAGTCTTGATACATCTCACTCCTTTCTAAACTCAGTCTCTAATAATACAGACCAACAATACGTGCATTGATCCATATTGGTTTCTGGTTTCAGCCAAGTTGTAGTTTAATGGAAACATTGTGCCATTGCAAGTCGACTCTAAATGGGCTTCCCACTGGGAACTGCATAACTACGAAGCAGCTTTAAAACACAGACGACGCAAGTTTTCATATTTCCGTGATTCCCAGGCTTATGGAAATACTACACGAACTGTCTCCTTAAGCCCTCTCTCGTTGTTAGCAAACCTCGACATTGGCTCCTGAACATTCCCATACCCAGAAATTTAATAGGGTGGCTTGACATCATAACAACATTACGATCTCATAAAAAATTGTAATTGTTTCTTTAAGTGAAAATACACCACTAAAAATTATGAGTGTCTCTCTCTTACGTTCTCCACAACAAGTTGGGTTGTGTATTAATCGTACATAATCTGAATAAACGTGCTCGTGCGAGACGGTGGAGCCTGGAGATTTGATGAAGGGAGGCAGTTGAATCAGAATTCTGAGTTTATTTCACGAGTAAAACCCGTTGAGCTAAGAAGCTATTTTAAAAGAGCGACTTGGCCTACAGGCGACACCACAGCATTCCACAATCACAGATTTTGCTACAGTGACTGCAAAAGGCGGTGGTTGTTGCACCCGAAGCTTAACAAAGTCTTAAGTTAAATTTATCAAAGGCTCGTTGTGGATGTGGATGTGCCTGCGTGAATGAGGAGGAGGTAGGAGGCGAACTTCCACTCTGGGTCGATGTTTGTCTCGGGCTGCGCTCGACTTTGTCTGCACCCCCCCACCCACCCCCTCCACTCCACCCCCCACCTCCACCCCACCCACCCCCTCCACCCCACCCCCCACCTCCACCCCCCACCTCCACCCCACCCACCCCCTCCACCCCCTCCACCACCTCCACCCCCTCCAACCTCCACCCCCTCCACCCCCTCCACCCCCCACCTCCACCCCCCACCTCCACCCCCTCCACCCCCCACCTCCACCCCCTCCAACCTCCACCTTCCACCCCCTCCACCCCCCACCCACTCCCTCCACCCAACCCCCTCCACCCCCCACCTCCACCCCCTCCACCCCCTCCACCACCCCCTCCACCCCCTCCACCCTCCACACCCTCCAACCTCCACCTTCCACCCCCTCCACCCCCCACCCACTCCCTCCACCCCCCACCCACTCCCTCCACCCCCTCCACCCCCCACCTCCACCCCCTTCAACCTCCACCCCCTCCGACCCCCACCTCCACCCCCTCTACCCCCTCCACCCCCCACCCCCCACCTCCCCTCCACCCCCTCCACCCTCCGACCCCCACCTCCACCCCCCAACGTGAGGATGAAACCTAAGGATCCGAGTCTGCCACAGAGACCCCGGGCCCCCATGGCGTGCGCCGAGTCCCCCATGCGGACGGGCGTCCTCTCCGTGAGTCCTCCTCGTCGTACACCTCCTCATCGTACACCTCCTCATCCTCCTCCTCGCAACCCCGGCAGCACCGACCACTTGCTAGCAGCGATGGTGTGGGGTTGGTGGGGCGCTTCGATGTTCGAGGGAGGGGGGACCGAGGGGGCTGGCGGGCGGGAGGCCGCCCACGATGACGAGGGGAGGCGGGCGGAGGGCGCTAGGAGAGAGGCGGGATGAGGGAGAGGCCTGGCTGGCGGAGACTAATGTCGAGAGACACGGAGACAGTGGTAGAGAGACACGGAGACAGAGTGGTAGAGAGACACGGAGACATAGTGGTAGAGAGACACGGGGACAGACGCAGAGTGGTAGAGAGACACGGGGACAGAGTGGTAGAGAGACACGGGGACAGATGCAGAGTGGTAGAGAGACACGGGGACAGAGTGGGAGAGAGACACGGAGACAGAGTGGTAGAGAGACACGGAGACAGATGCAGAGTGGTAGAGAAACACGGAGACAAAGTGGTAGAGAGACACGGGGACAGATGCAGAGTGGTAGAGAGACACGGGGACAGAGTGGTAGAGAGACACGGAGACAGATGTAGAGTGGTAGAGAGACACGGGGACAGAGTGGTAGAGAGACACGAGGACAGAGTGGTAGAGAGACACGGGGACAGAGTGGTAGAGAGACACGGGGACAGAGTGGTAGAGACATGTAGACAGATGTAGAGTGGTAGAGAGACACGGGGACAGAGTGGTAGAGAGACACGGAGACAGAGTGGTAGAGAGACACGGAGACAGAGTGGTAGAGAGACACGGAGACAGAGTGGTAGAGAGACACGGAGACAGTGGTAGAGAGACACGGAGACAGAGTGGTAGAGAGACACGGAGACAGTGGTAGAGAGACACGGGGACAGACGCAGAGTGGTAGAGAGACACGGGGACAGAGTGGTAGAGAGACACGGGGACAGATGCAGAGTGGTAGAGAGACACGGGGACAGAGTGGGAGAGAGACACGGAGACAGAGTGGGAGAGAGACACGGAGACAGAGTGGTAGAGAGACACGGAGACATACTGGTAGAGAGACACGGAGACCGAGTGGTAGAGAGACACGGAGACAGAGTGGTAGAGAGACACGGGGACAGATGCAGAGTGGTAGAGAGACACGGGGACAGAGTGGGAGAGAGACACGGAGACAGAGTGGTAGAGAGACACGGAGACAGATGCAGAGTGGTAGAGAAACACGGAGACAAAGTGGTAGAGAGACACGGGGACAGATGCAGAGTGGTAGAGAGACACGGGGACAGAGTGGTAGAGAGACACGGAGACAGATGTAGAGTGGTAGAGAGACACGGGGACAGAGTGGTAGAGAGACACGAGGACAGAGTGGTAGAGAGACACGGGGACAGAGTGGTAGAGAGACACGGGGACAGAGTGGTAGAGAGACACGGGGACAGAGTGGTAGAGAGACACGGGGACAGAGTGGTAGAGACATGTAGACAGATGTAGAGTGGTAGAGAGACACGGGGACAGAGTGGTAGAGAGACACGGAGACAGAGTGGTAGAGAGACACGGAGACAGAGTGGTAGAGAGACACGGAGACAGATGCAGAGTGGTAGAGAGACATGTAGACAGAGTGGTAGAGAGACATGTAGACAGATGTAGAGTGGTAGAGAGACACGGGGACAGAGTGGTAGAGAGACACGGAGACAGATGCAGTGGTAGAGAGACACAGGGACAGAGTGGTAGAGAGACACGGAGACAGACTGGTAGAGAGACACGGAGACAGAGTGGTAGAGAGACACGGAGACAGAGTGGTAGAGAGACACGGAGACAGAGTGGTAGAGAGACACGGGGACAGATGCAGAGTGGTAGAGAGACACGGAGACAGATGCAGAGTGGTAGAGAGACACGGGGACAGATGCAGAGTGGTAGAGAGACACGGAGACAGAGTGGTAGAGAGACACGGGGACAGAGTGGTAGAGAGACACGGGGACAGAGTGGTAGAGAGACACGGGGACAGATGCAGAGTGGTAGAGACACGGGGACAGAGTGGTAGAGAGACACGGGGACAGATGCAGAGTGGTAGAGAGACACGGAGACAGAGTGGGAGAGAGACACGGAGACAGAGTGGTGGAGAGACACGGGGACAGATGCAGAGTGGTAGAAAGACACGGAGACAGAGTGGGAGAGAGACACGGAGACAGAGTGGTGGAGAGACACGGGGACAGATGCAGAGTGGTAGAGAGACACGGAGACAGATGCAGAGTGGTAGAGAGACACGGAGACAGTGGTAGAGAGACACGGAGACAGATGCAGAGTGGTAGAGAGACACGGAGACAGAGTGGGAAAGAGACACGGAGACAGAGTGGTGGAGAGACACGGGGACAGATGCAGAGTGGTAGAGAGACACGGAGACAGATGCAGAGTGGTAGAGAGACACGGAGACAGTGGTAGAGAGACACGGGGACAGATGCAGAGTGGTAGAGAGACACGGAGACAGAGTGGTAGAGAGACACGGGGACAGATGCAGAGTGGTAGAGAGACACGGGGACAGAGTGGTAGAGAGACACGGAGACAGATGCAGTGGTAGAGAGACACAGGGACAGAGTGGTAGAGAGACACGGAGACAGACTGGTAGAGAGACACGGAGACAGAGTGGTAGAGAGACACGGAGACAGAGTGGTAGAAAGACACGGAGACAGAGTGGTAGAGAGACACGGGGACAGATGCAGAGTGGTAGAGAGACACGGAGACAGATGCAGAGTGGTAGAGAGACACGGGGACAGATGCAGAGTGGTAGAGAGACACGGAGACAGAGTGGTAGAGAGACACGGGGACAGAGTGGTAGAGAGACACGGGGACAGAGTGGTAGAGAGACACGGGGACAGATGCAGAGTGGTAGAGACACGGGGACAGAGTGGTAGAGAGACACGGGGACAGATGCAGAGTGGGAGAGAGACACGGAGACAGAGTGGTGGAGAGACACGGGGACAGATGCAGAGTGGTAGAGAGACACGGAGACAGAGTGGGAGAGAGACACGGAGACAGAGTGGTGGAGAGACACGGGGACAGATGCAGAGTGGTAGAGAGACACGGAGACAGATGCAGAGTGGTAGAGAGACACGGAGACAGTGGTAGAGAGACACGGAGACAGATGCAGAGTGGTAGAGAGACACGGAGACAGAGTGGGAGAGAGACACGGAGACAGAGTGGTGGAGAGACACGGGGACAGATGCAGAGTGGTAGAGAGACACGGAGACAGATGCAGAGTGGTAGAGAGACACGGAGACAGAGTGGTAGAGAGACACGGGGACAGAGTGGTGGAGAGACACGGGGACAGATGTGTGGGGACTGAGACGGAGAAAAGGGACCACAGGTGCACGGTGTAGTGGCAGACGAATTGAGACATGAAGACAAAGACCCGGGGACAGAGACACCGAGACACCCTACAGCAGGGGTCGGGAACCTTTTTGACTGGGAGAGCCATAAAAGCCAAATATTTCTAAATATATTTCATTGAGAGCCATATAGTATTTTTTACGTATAACAAATTAATTGTCTTACTTTTAATGCGACTTCTGGTCACGGGACCCGTGACCCGAGAAATTTTATCTTCAAAACTAATTTCTGTTTACTTTAAATTGACACACTATTATTAAGCAATATCACAAGTATTTTAAAATCAGTTCCAAACTGATTTTATTTTTTTATTATTTTTGTTTTTCAACTTAAAATTGTCTGGGAGCCATATGCCGTCACCGGAAGAGCCATATATGGCTCGCGAGCCATAGGTTCCCGACCGCTGCCCTACAGAGAGCACATGGGAGGGGGGGGGGGATAGAGACGTCGATTCAGTGGGTGAAGGAGCAATACTCTCGATTTGACAAGGAGTCTAGCGCTTTGGGTTGTGCATCGTATAGGTTTTACTGGTAGGAACCTCCTGGTTCCACCAGCCCATAGGGGATTATTGTGTCCGTCTGTCCGTCGTGAATCCAAAAATGGGAGGGGTGGGGCTGGGTGGGAGGGGTGGGGAGGGGCTGGTCACCCCGTGGTGCCCTTATAAAACTCAACGTTTAACCTACTCATGCCGGATTGTGCCCGCCCTCACAGTCGGCCATATTTGCGGAATACACCACGCCGCCGTTGACCCTGGCCATTGACCGAGCAACCCAACGTTCCTACCAGCTCCCTCCGCAGGAATGTGTTCGTCGAAATTGGAGGGACCCCATGGTTTAATTTGAGAGGGTGCTTAGCTGATACACATCTGGCAGATCGCCAGCAATGTTGGCTCAGCAGGCCTGACTGCTGATGAGACACGAAATTTGTGTTAGGGGGCCGTCCATAAATGACGTCACGAACCCAGGTGGGGGTGGGGTCAGACATTTGTGACGATGTGTGACGAGGGGGGGGGGGGGGTTTGAGAAATGTGACGTCACATCAAAATGCGCAACTTTAAATAAATATAAACAACACGTTCTACTTGATTAAATAGACGTTTTAATAAATGTTTTTTCCAACATCAGAGTGCAGCGCCACATTAAATACGCACTACAATGGCAATAGTTTAAAGTGATTTGAAGCATGTTTTATATTTTTTAGGGGGGGGGGGGCCAGAGCTTTGTGACGTCATATTTGAGGGGGGGGGTCTGACATTTTGTGAGGCCGTGTGACGGGGGGGGGGGTAAAAAATCGTCCAAAATCGCGTGACGTCATTTATGGACGTCCCCTTATAAGTCCACAGTTTGCTTGTGTTAGACAAATGGGATGGGTAGTGTACACTCGCAGAAGGGGCTCTGTGATTTGATGGGATGTGTCAACAAAAATGCTTTTAATTTTTATGTCGAGGAACAGAGATCGGAAGCAGGTGTATTGTCAGGTTCTTTTGCTTACATTTTACAGTAAAACCTTGGATTGCGAGTAACTTGGTCTGCGAGTGTTTTGCAAGACGAGCAATTTTTAAAATAAATATTAATTTGATAAACGAGCGAGGTCTTGCAATACGAGTAGTACGCTTTGTCTGCCGAGCGTCACGTGATCACAACTGATATACGAGTGCTTTGATATACGAGTGCTTTGGATAACAAACACGAATTATACTCGCAAATCAAGGTTTTAATGTAGTTTAAAATGCAGAACGTATCCATGAAATTCACAAGTGTCCAGTCCGTTTCGATTAGTACTTCCCGAACGGGTACCATCGGAGGGAGGGATTAATCCAAAAACAAAATTCTCTTGCCGAGGACATTACCCCCAACATTTTGTCGCTTTCTAAATTTCCAGCATTTTTTTCCCCACAGAAAATTCGACAAAAACCCTTGGGAAGCCCGACTTATGTAAATGAGGATGGCATTGGAATGTGCCTCGAAGCTTCAGTGCTCAGGACCAAATGCGACGATTGTTGTTGGGTGCTGGAGAGTAGCCGGCCGGAGAGTTTAGCTGGGAAACGAATGGCACCTGCCATTTCAGTGTTCTGTACCAACGCGTTAGGGATTCAATACGCCATTGTGCAATGGATTGGCCATTGCAATAACGGACAACGTGTCAAACGGGATGCATTTACATTTCGCGATTGAGATTTTGTGACGTGTAACGTTCGTTGTGAACGATGTCGCTGTAAAAATCTGCAAGGAGACAAAAGTCCATTGTTCACGTAGTTCGGTAGGTCCCCTCACTTACCATCATCTTCAGCTAAGTCGCGTGAACACAAAACGGCGTTGTGGCAAGTGCGAATTTTGTCGGTGAAAACGTTCGCAACAGCAACGCAAAATAGCAATGCTGAAAACTTCTAATTTTGTAGTCTAATTTGAACAGAAGTTTGCAGGAGAGTTCAAGTGTCACTCTTCGACACTCTCAGTTGCATCACCTTTACAATAATTTCTCCCAAGGTGACAATTTATTAAAATTGCAGGGTGTTCATTCGAATTCCATATCGCTTTCATTTATCTCGCTTAAATGCACAGGCAGTGTTAGTTATACATCAACGTCTATTAGAGCGACTTGTTTTAGTAATTGTGTCCATATCTGCATGCGTTTATCATTGTTGTGACATGTGTGTTTATATTCGACATTTGTCTCGATGCAGCGACGTGTGTGAGCCAGCCATGCCATCCAGGCCATGATTGATATGCAGGGTGGCTACTGGTGTGAGATGAGAATGTAACCTTGTTTTGTATAATTTCAGGAGGTGACGGCTTCGAGCAGACATTATGTCGACCGCCTGTTCGACCATGATCCTGGAAACGTTCTGCAGGGTGTCATGTGAGACCTTTTCTCAAAATACATCAGAGTATGACTTACTAACCTATGGCGTACCTTCAGGGCACTTGTCATTATCGTCAACCCTGATCAATCCACTTCCGGACGAAGGCCGGCCTCCCCAAGCCGACACCACATCCCACAATTCTGCAATGCAACGTTCCGCCTGGCACGTGGACCTAAACTAACTGTGTCACTCATCTCCTCGACAGACGCCTTCCCTACTCGTTGGTTCTTTCAGTAAAGTCACGTAGGTATATATAAATAAATTAAATTAAATCACGACGTTTCGGGCGCAACACAAGACGCTCTCCCGGCCAGATTCCATTCCTTGGCTGTTATGACCAACATCCCCATTCTTGACCATCATCCCTGATGATGTGCCGTACCCAACACCACGTCTCTACGCGATTCAGATGACGTCAATACCTACATGTTTGCTCCAATCCATGAGTTCTGTCTCCCAGTGTAATTCCAAGCACGCTTCTCTGCACGCTTCTTTTGCGCACTTTTCAGGTTTTTGTTCTACATTTTTCATCAGTGACCATGATTCTGAACCTTATTTCGCTGGTAGGTAGGACACGTTCATTCGAAATACACTTCTCGTTTGTGGAAAAAAATGTGAGCTTTTTAAAAAGTGCATTCATACAAAATCGGCCATGAAAATATTGTGATTAAATTAAGAAATGATGCTGCTGCACAGATACACGACCTCCAAGATCTGCCCTCACAGTATCCCACCATCTCCTATTGGGTCTTCCTCTCAAGACTAGATGGTGGGATGATGGTGGATTGAGAAAAAATTTACACTGAAGAAGAATAAGCCTAACTTTATATTTGATTGTGGAGTGTGTAATTGGATATAGTAATTGAAAGGACACAACTGAGAACCAGCAGACTATTGTACCGAGGACAGTTATTCAATTGAGATGATAATTAAAGTTATGAAATAAAGAGATTAGAGTTAGTTGGAGTGCTTGTGAAAAATTGGCTTTGATCATGACAAGTAATGCAGCAATACGTAATGAGTGCATTTACTGTCATTGCACATTATTTAGAAACGAAACATTCGACCAAAAACACTTAGAAGCAGGAGGGAGATGTGTTCGCTTCGAATCACACTACGAAACATCGAGGAAACACATCTGTAATGGGTTCCGGAGACTCTGGTAGAGGTAACTTCTTTATTACAATACAACACTCCAACAGTCCTGATACTCTGTTACAGCCTAGGTACACAGCCTAGATACACTACTCTGGCTACGCTCTGGGGTCCTCCGTCTACAATTACCCTAGGGGAGGCTATCTGACCCGACCCAGCCAAGGTGCGGGTCTGGACTCTGGCTTCCTCGGAACTCGCCCTTACAAGGACGTAGAGCCGGGAGTCCCAGAGTCCCACCACTGGCCCTCACAGCGTCCCGGCCCTTACAAGGACAAGCGGGACGAGGGGGTCCAGGGTCCTAAGCTGGCTGACTGGCGGGTCTTGGGTCTTGAGCTGCGACTGGCCCCGATCGGCCAGGGAACTGCCCTTTTATGCCTCGTCCCCAACGAGGGGTGGGGTTGTGTGCGCCCCCAGATATCCCACAGAGCACACACAGCCCCCCCGTTGGTGGCGCCAAGGGGCTTAAGCGTCTGGGTTGCCTGGGATCCTAGCGCCTGGCGCCGAGGCTTATCTGTCTATGATCCCAGAGCCCCCAGCAGCCCCTCCCCTCTTGGGCTGGCACAGTGGCCCCTCTTATGGCACTACACATCCATGGATAACAGAACGTAGGCAAGTTAAGAGACAAAAAGTGGGCCTGGGCAGGATGCGTCATGGCCAGAAGGGATGATGATTGCCGATGGTGAAGAGTAATAACAGAGTGGCAGCCAAGGAACAACACACGTCAGAGAGGGCGGCCGCCGAGGAGGAGCTCGGTCGACGATTATACGGCAGGATTGTGAGGGGTGGCGGTGGCAGCGACTTGTGGAGGCCTTCATCCAGCAGAGGGTTGACCATGGCTCATAATGAGGGTGATGATGATGATGGTCTTTTGCGTGAGAAAGCGATGGAATGTTGGCATTTAAAAATGCACTTGTTGCATTTTAAAATATATTTCCAAAATTCTGACTATGCCAAGAATAAAAGTAAGACTTATGTCAAAACTATTCATGCATTTTCGTTGTGTAATTGACAATTATATCCTGTAGTCATACGCATTTGAAATGTTTATGCAGACTTTGGCACAATCCAACTCTGTAAGGGATACGTGTTGTTTGTAGATTGTAAGCGTTAAGTGTGCAGTGCTGATTTGTCGTGATGCAGTGACATGAAGAACGCAGTTATTGGCAATAACAAGCAGAAGGCCAACTTGATCGTGCTGGGAGCGGTACCCAGGCAAGTCTCTCTTTCATTCAAAAACATTCTCACTTTTCTGCTTATGCACACACGGGTTTCCTCAACCGCCAATACAAAACTATAATCACGTTCCTTCAGAGTGGGCAGATAGGAACTTGGTTGGACAGTGCATTCGTGCATGACAGACAGATAAATAATCCCTGGTGGGCAGTGTGGAACCTGTTGTTCCTATCTGTATAAGTGTAGTGTATAGTGTCGTGTATAGTGTAGTGTGTAGGTTAAACGTTGAGTTTTATAAGGGCACCACGGGGTGACCAGCCCCTCCCCACCCAGCCCCACCGCTCCCACCCCCCACCCAGCCCCACCCTCCCCACCCAGCCCCTCCCCACCCTCCCCACCCAGCCCCTCCCCACCCTCCCCTCTCTGTCGTTCCTACCTGTATCAGTTATGTACATTTCAAAGTGTTGTGGTGGGCGGTATATTCGTTTATTCTGCAAACGCTTGGACAGCACCGTGCATTCTGACCACATTCTAAATGCACTCAATTCCATCAGATGTTGTAAGCTAAGCAGGATTGAGTTTGATCAGTGCTTGCTTTGGAGCTGACTGTAAATTCCATCGATTGGACTGTGAGGTTGGCCCAGAGATGGCAGCAGCACAGCAATGGATTCTTGACTTGGGGCCTTTGAATGTCATGCTCTTGTTTATGTCGGATTTATCAAAGTACGATAATCTCGTCCGACCATTCGTTGATGGAATTGGTCAAGCATCCTCCTTGAGATTGAGTGGGGCGTCCCTGTGTTAATAATTATTCAGCACTGCAGTGTCATATGATTACAGTACTACTGTTGTTTTTATCATATATGGACTTTATTTAAACGATTTTTACGTGTTGCAGTATGTTTTTTAAAAAGTTGAATCTCTTTTTTCGCTTGGATATGCAGATTGATTATTCGTGTTTTGGCGGAAACAACCTTCTTCTACACTTTGAGGGCAGGAAAATTGTACTTTTTTGCAGGTTAAATTTCGATTCAAAGCTTTCGTGACTGCAGGGATTCATCTTCTTGGTTCTTTCGGTAAAGTCACGTAGAAGGGAAATAATAAAATAATAAAAATAAAACATAATAAAATACAATTCTCACAACGTTTCGACCACAACACAAGCAGCCGTCCTCAGGTGAAGAACAGGGCTGTCAGAAAGACAGCGTCCCCTTCATTGGGACACTGTCTGTGGTTGAGTCAGTGACTGCGTGGGTGATTGTGCCGTTATTATTTCTCTTCTCCGTGACTTTACCGAAAGAACCAGGAAGATTTTTGCAGGTTGTTTTATCACGGAATTTTAGGTCAAACTTGTTGCCGCAAGAATGTTATTGGACCCTTGCGTCAGGATTTCATGGTGAGCAGCAGGGGGGGGGGACCCACTGCTCCGCTCGGGCACCCAGACAGTGGCACCAGGGGGAAACAAATAGATTGGCAGCATAGGCGTCACGTTGTTTAATCTAATGTCACATTGAAGGTTTACTGTCACTGATGTCACCTGTAGGCTCCTCTACCTACTGCAACAAGAAAACTCCAGCCTACAATTGAAGACGGAGTGTGCGATTGTGCTTGGGAGTTTAGCTATGGGCACGGAGACCAATATCAAGTCCCTCTTGGATTGCCAGACCGTGCCGGTCTTGTTACAAGGTCAGCTCACACCCTTCACAGCCAATTATAACTGTTAAACAGTGGCAGATATCGTGTGTTAGTTGCACATATTAACAGTACGCTACAGTGTTGTTTTTGATTACCATTCTGCAATGCGAGCACATAGCTTTGCACCACTGCATACGGGTTTTTGAAAGTTATTTTTTTATAACACATGTGTTTCATTAATTCCTTATTTACTTTACCCATTTTTACATTTTTCCAATTGTATTGATAACATTTGACCGATGTGATTTGGATATCGATTTAAAGCTTTCATGACTGCAGGGATTCATCTTCTTGGTCCTTTCGGTAAAGTCACGTAGAAGGGAAATAATAAAATAATGAAAATGAAACATAATACTGTAAAATAAAATTCTCACGACGTTTCGGCCACAACACAAGCAGCCGGTCCTCAGGTCAAGACAGAGCTGTCTGAAAGCCAGCGCTCCAATGAACACTGCTAAGCTTGGCAGCGTATTTAAACATCCTGCTAATTTTCTGACATTAACACAGCTTTTTCAATGCTAAATTCTTCTGTTGATATGTAAACTCCTTTGTCAAGGTGCTCTTCTCCTCCCACCCAGCTTAAAATACGCTGCCAAGCTTAGCAGTGTTCATTGGAGCGGTGTCTTTCAGACAGCTCTGTCTTCACCTGAGGACGGTGATTTGGATAGTATGTAAAATAGGTTTAAAAGAACTCACAAGGCATATTTTTCCAAGTTTCAAGTTGATGTTGTTTAACTGGGAGAGCCCAGCATTGGTTTCATTTGCAACAGTGGCTGACGTCATTGAAATGACAAAACCAAAACCAAAAAAACAAGTACAACAATGAAGTCGATAGAAATTAGCGCAAACTCAACCGCTGTGCTGCTTTACATCTTGTTTATGTCGTTTATTGTGAATTTCGGTCACAGTTCCTATGATCACTGTTATATTGCTTATGGACTTTATTTTGGTGATTTCGAAAACGTTTTTTGATTTGGCCATGTTTGTTTGTTGTAGTACGGAGTTAGAATGATGGCTTTAATCTAAGTTGTCTTGTGGTTGTTGTTGTTTGACTTTCATCCCACTGGGATTTTTGCACACAGCGTTGGTGTACGGTGCTTTTTTTTCTGGAAGACTTTGCAGTTTTTTCCTTCATTTTTCTGTTTGCGCATTGCCACTTTAAGATGTTTTCTTGTTCATGTTTTTGTTTTTTGTTTGTTGCGGTTGCACCCGATTCAAGAGCTGAATGGCTCACAGGGCTATACCAAATAAATTAAACTGAAACTTCTATCTCTGTTCATTCTGCCGTGTGTCAATGTGCAGGTCTTGTGCATCCAGATTTGAACTTCATCAAGGCGTGTTTACGCTGCCTTCGGACGATCTTCACCAGCCCCGTGACTCCCGTGGAGTTATTCTACACGGTACGAACTCGGGATGCTTGCATCTAATTTTCAACCCTTGTGATGTGACATTGAATCGAAATTATCATTTGCACATTTAACTACAAGTCGTTCTCAGGTGCTGTCTAGTGATAAAAATGAAACGCATTCCTGCGGAGGGAGCTGGTAGGAACGTCGGGTTGCTCGGTCAATGGCCAGGGTCAACGGCGGCGTGGTGTATCTCGCAAATATGGCCGACTGTGAGAGCGGGCCCAAGCCGGCGTGAGTAGGTTAAACGTTGAGTTTTATCAGCGCACCACGGGGTGACCAGCCCCTCCCCATCCCTCCCACCCCCACCCAGCCCCCATCCTCCCCACCCAGCCCCTCTCCACCCTTCCCACACAGCCCCTCCCCACCCAGCCCTATCCTCCCCACCCAGCCCCTCACCCCCCTCCCCTCCCCACCCGGCCCCTCCCTCCCCACCCAGCCCCTCCCTGCACGACGGACACAATAATCCCCTGTGGGCTGGTGAAACCAGGAGGTTCCTACCAGTAAAAAAGTGAAAATACTATATTATTTTAATACTATACTATTTGGCTCTTTCGGTAAAGTCACGTAGGTAGAAAAATATAATTACAAAAAAATAATACTATATTATTTTATTATGGATTATTTTCAGAATTTAAAAGTAGGGGGAATGTGCACCTAGTATCCGTTTTCGTGGGAACATTAAACGTGGCAAAATAAAACTTTATTTATATCAGCTGAAGTAACTACAAAAGGGATGGAAACACGATTTAGAAGTGTATGAAAGCCTCTGATCCAATTAAAGTAATGCGTGAGACCCAGACACGAGCCACTCGGTACACATTGGGTCTCCCTTCAGGAAGATGCCAGGATGCAACATGCATAGCCTGCATGCAATGCGCCAGGAAATGTAACTTTTTAACTTTTAATATAAATGAGTTTATGCGTAAATTTTGAAGAGTTCGTCTGTTACGCAATATCTACTGATGGCCAACTTAAGACTTAATTTGGAAATATTCTGAAAAGTAATTTTCCATCAGGGCCCCATGAAGTATACGGTGTAACAGTGCCATTTCCAACTATCATTCACTCCATCTGTGGCCCCTCTGTGTGCTCTGAAGAAAGGCCGTTGCCTGAAACGTTGCATCATATTTTTACTGAAAAATGTGTTGTGTTTCTTGTTATTTAGAAGCATAACGTGTCATTAATTTGTAATTAGAAATCTGCTAAATATGTAGCGATAATAAAAACAAAACAAAAAAAAAAATTTTCGTTATTATTTTATTATTTCCATTCTACGTGACTTTACCGAAAGAACCAAGAAGATGAATCCCTGCAGTCACGAAAGCTTTAAATCGAAATGTAGCGATACGTTGTTCTTACCGTAGAGATGCGGTCGCACGTGGTGTCAATCCAAATCGTTTCTCTTTGCTGTGTGTTTAGGATCACACCGTGGTTCCTCATCTCATGGGCCTCCTCAACAAGACCCGCTTCACTCAGGAGTTCATCTGCCAGATCTTCGCTCACTGCTGCAAGGTTTGTCTCTCATACACAGCCCAATGACAACCTTGCAAGGGAGATGGCAACAATCATCGAGTCAACATAAAGGGTCAACTGGGGATGATGAAAATACTTAGTAAAGCAGAATATTAGGTGACCGTTGGATTTCACGCCACCCATTTGTGTGTGCCGTACCGGCAACGTTAGGTGATCGCCAGCAGAAATTGCCCCAATGGTCTGTGTAGGCTATGAGGGTGATCTTTGTCTCATTGCATGTCTATAGCACGATTTAATATAATTGGGAGGAGAAAAAAAACATTTCTCTGACAGGACTTCAATCTGCCCTATAAAAACCACAGCAGTGAACTTTATATCAACTACAGACTGCGTCCATGTGAAATGGGTTGGCGGTACAAACCGGTCATGTAGTACGTGTACAGCCCGTTTGTCAATCCACTGCTGGGTGGTGGTCTCTCCGCACCACAGAAGGCAGCGGTTATTCAGCCATAATTCGCCACGCTGGTCAGTGTCGGCTGGTGAAAGCGAACAACAATATATTTTTTGTTCACTGTCCCCTGCTAACCACAACGCCTGTAACACCTGCTCTTCACTTGGTGGTCGCCCATCCGAGCGCCGTGCAGGCTCAGATTCGCTTAGCCTCTCGGCTCTCGTGAGATCCGGTGCATTCCGGTTGGTGTGGTCGTAGGCTTCCCATTAATATGAAGTGTGAATGTCTGTTATCTTTTTTTAGAGTGCTGAGCATCAGACGTTTTTGTTCAACAGCGGAGCAGTGCCCACTATCGCCCCCTTGCTTGCCTCCTCCATCTACCGGGTATGCTCTCTCGCTGTTGCTTCTCAGTGCATATCGTCGCTGTCCTGATCGTTACTGCACTGAATATTCATCGAGTCGTTTCCAGTTGTGATAAAGCGCTTTTGTGAGGGTGAGAAAACAAACAGGCCGGGCAGTGGTGGCATGACGTCCACCTGTAGTCCAGCACTGAATGTGAGCGTTGGTGGATCACACAGATGTTTTGACACCCCCTTCCCATGGCTGTCATAACCCTGGTTCGCCAGAAGGCAGTACAGCAAGTGGAAAAAAATATTTTTATTTATTTATAAAGGGATAGAGTGTTAGCCCCTCGATAAGTGGGGTCTCCAGATGTAGATTTGAAGCTTTCGTGACTGCAAGGATTCATACTGTTAGGTTTTTTCGGTAAAGTCACGTAGGTAAAAAAATTAAATTAAAAGTTAATAAAAGTGATAATGGAAATAAAAAAAATAAAAAAATCACGACGTTTCGGAGGCAACACAAGTCTCCGTCATCAGGTGGGACCGTCACAGCTAAAATGACTGCATCAGTAATTTGCAGTAATTACTGCATCAGTAATTTGCAGTAATTTTAGCTGTGATGGTCCCACCTGATGACAGAGACTTGTGTTGCCTCCGAAACGTCGTGATTTATTATTTTATTTTATTTCCATTATTACTTTTATTAACTTTTAATTTTATTTTTTTACCTACATGACTTTACCGAAAGAACCTAAGAGTATCTCTCCAGATGCTTTGGTTTCCTCCCACATGATGTTTACTTTCCCACAAATTGGTACCGTTTTATTGACCCTGAGGTGGATGGGTGGGATGAGTCAACGCCCCCAATTAGGATTATTAACTCGCAACATTCTGACTGATCCACCCGCTCTGCCACCAAACCACGCGGCCGGTTTGAGTGTGAGCAGCGATGAATGTTCGTCGCCAGTGCTGCAGCGAGATGCACATGTGCTGTGGAAACAGCTTTGCGCACTGAAGTGAACAAAGATTTATCGGGGTAAAAATGTTGATCACTTTTATTGAACAGTATTGTAACATCTCTAGCTGAATATAATTGGGTAAAATTGTTGCTGTAAATAATGATAAAAAGTACATTTTATATATTAATTCCCCCAGAAAACGTTTACTAAGAATGGTTTGAAGAAAGTAATTAAAACAAATGAATGGTGGTCTTTGTAGAAGGCAAACCGTGTGATCTAAAATATTACATTAAACACAAAATATTTAGGATAATGATTGGCTCTAGTCTTGCGTGTATATTTTTAAACCACTGCCTATGAGGCGTTTTAATTAATACACAAAATGTCTGTTCAGTAAATGTCTCTTGAGGTAGAGTGTTTTGATATGTTTATTTTTATTTTATCTGTTCAAATGTTTCATCTGCAAAATCCCTTGAGCTGGAACCTCTCATTTGCAAGGGTGTCCAGAGTGTCGATTGACACACATACACATATAACTACAGACACATATACACTTGTACACATCTACACGTACACACACAAATATACAGAAACAAAAACCATAAAAAATCCCCACACAGTCTTAACAGACTGTTATGGCAAGTGCTGTTAGTGAGCACCTATGGAGGCCGGCACAGCACACGAGGGGGTGGGTGGCCAGCACCAAGCCCAGCTGCATTTGTCTCCCTAGTGGCAATATTTACACACCGCACCAGGTATTCATTTGAGGCTGAGTCGACCTAGGGGAGGTTCAGGACCGTTTCAGATCATTGTCACTGGTGTTGGATCTGAGCGGGAATCGAACTCGGGTCGCTGGGTTCGTAGCGCAGTGCGCTAACCGCTACACTATTGCTCCCCACACGCATACATAGGAAACGTGTAATGACATGTATACAAACACACGTGTGCATCATGGCCACCGGTCCGCTCTGTGCAGGTGAAGATGCAGGCCATCAAGTGCTTCGCCGTGCTCACCTACGAGAACCCGCAGGTGGCGCTGGCCTTGGTTGACGGTAATTTTGGCCAAGCGGCCACGTATCCTTCGCGCTGCCACCACTGCCAAAGTTTGTTGACTGTCGATGCTCCATTCGTCGATAAAAAGCCAACGCAAACTTTATTCCAAGTGACGTGTGTGTGTTCAGCGTGAAGTCTTGAGGTTTGCTTTTGTGCTGCTGTTATAATTTGTTATTCTTCAAAATGGTAAAACTAAATATGGAAGTTTTTCTTGATTTATTTTCACTTTCGCCAAATTAATGTCCTTGTGTTGAGGGTCTGATTCGATACAAACAACAATCCAGTTTAGTTTTAATTATATTAACTTGTTTATTATTGCGTATAGTTTCTGTATCATTTGTACAATTATCTTCACTCAACATAAATGTGTGCTTACATCATACTTTATTCTTCCTCGCCTGCATACTTTGACGCACGTAATCGATGCATCATTACTTGCATCACAATTTAGGGTATTTATTTAAGTTGCCGATATAGCAGTCTCCTGCCAATCAGCTAAAAATGACTGTTGTGATTTTGCAGTGATTGTCGATGGAGAGACGCTGCCGCAGGTGTTTGTGAAGATGATGCGCAGGGATCAGCCAATCGAAATGCAACTCACCGCCGCCAAATGGTAGGCAACTGTGCGCTTCGTAGTCCAGTGTAGTAGCGTTTATCTGTGGCCATGAATGCAGGCCCTTTGATGGACAACACATGGGCCTGTAGGACTTCACCTGGCCAGCGGAGTTCAGAACACCATCAGGATCCTCAGGTGTCTCGATAGGAGTCACGTTTGCCTGCCACCCTGTAACAAAGATTATCCAGATACCATAACACATGCTGTGCCTCTCCCCTGCTTGCTCTGTTCCATGCACACGATCGTCACTCCCTTACTCTCTTGTCGCCACTACCATGGCTACTGTCCCCCCACCCCCTAATATTCACTCTCTGTGATTCTCCCACCCATGTTGAGGACTCGATCTACCAGACCAACTGTTCTATCTCATCCACACTGTGCAACCACCACACAGCAGGTCACAACAATACACTCGCACGAACTCACATATATTAACCTACTCGCTCACTCACTCCCTAACCACCTGTGCTCAGCAACTATAAAACAAGATGAAAGTTCCACTCATGCTGTGCCATGCAAGCACGTGGGATGCACCCAATGCGGCAATTTAAATTTAAAAACTGAACACGTTGTGTAACAACAAAGCTTCTGAATGAAAATTGTATGCTGTGAATGTATTTAAACATTACCATTCTATAATAAACGTTTTTAACTATGCTCTATATTACGTACATATAATGTGTTATTTTGCACGCTTTGTTATCTTGTTGTTTGACCTGGACTCGTGTAAAATGTGTTGCTGTCACAGTTATGCATTGCTCTGAGTAAACGCCAACGAACGTCTGTTCCCCCCTCCCCTCCGACAGTTTGACGTACATGTGCAGGGCCGGGGCACTGCGCACAGATGACGCCATCATCGCTCTCAAGGTACACGCTCGACCTTTTCACAGATACCATCTTCAACAGATATGATGATCATCAGTTACATATCCTATGGAGCTGACATTTTCCATTAATGACGGCTGTTAGTTTTCACTTTGCAAATGTAAGTGCTTCTGTTACCGCCTACTCCATTTTATTTGTTTTTATGATCAAGTGTTTTTTGTACTGTTATACCTTGCTAGGCTTACATTCATGACTCAGTTCTCCCCCTGAAGAAGATTGTTCGTCTCAGTGGATCCTTACCTGGTGACAAAGATTGTACTTGCCGCTTGCATAGTAAATCATATTCATTCTGAAGATGTTAAAATGTATGTTGGGTTGCCCAGGAGTGCATGGGTCAGGTCTCCCAGCCTCTACTTTAATCATACAGGGATTTGGGCCATCATTTTCAAAACAAGCACCAAAGTTGCGGTGTGTAACATAGGATGTGTTACAGTATGTGGAGTATGCAATACGGTCACATGCAGTAAATTGAACCGTTAAGACTGTAATCTGGCCACGTGGCACGCACCTGGCCTACCTTCGTGGTGGCGCATTCTTTCTGAGTCATGAGCAGCGGTGAATGTCCTTGCTTGACCTACACAGTTCATCAGCGGCTTCCTACCGGCCGTGACAAACATCTGGCCTGTTGGCACACCGATACACCTCGCACACGAACTATTGTGTCTGCTTTGCGTTGCAGACCCTGCCGTGCCTGGTGCGGATGTGCAACAAGGAGCGCCTGCTGGAGGAGCGAGTGGAAGGGGCCGAGACGCTGGCGTACCTCATAGAGATGGACATCGAGCTGCAGAGGCTCGCCAGCATCACCGACCAGCTCATCACCATGCTGGCCGACTACTTTAAATACCCGACACCCGTCAGCCCCATCACTGACATCAAACGGGTATGACCAATGACAGCTCTGCAAGTTGAGTCGTTTAAACTTGATGCATTGAGAGGGCTTATTTTTTAAAATATGTATTTCTGCGTTGCGACTGATGTAAGGTCGTTTCCTGTTTCACTCGTGTGTATTTGCACCTGCTTTGTAATCCAAGCGTGCTTTTTGGTGGTTATGCTGCTTGTTCAGCACTTTATCCTGTCAAGGCTTTTTGGCACACACTGCTTACCGACGGCGTTTTTAGGAGTTGAATTAGATGCCCACAGCAGTGTGTGGCAGGGGCTTTATTGCATCACTTTGGCATGCTAAAATCCGCGCTGTGTTTCCCTCCATTGCCTCTTCCTGTCAGCTGGATCACGATCTGAAGCATTCTCACGAGCTCCGGCAAGCGGCCTTCAAGCTCTATGCGGCGCTGGGAGCTAACGACGAGGAAATCCGGAAAAAGGTGAATGAGGCAAAAGCGGCCTGCTTGTGCCAGAAATAACACGAGCCTAACAACAACCCTCTTAAAGGAGCTGTACGAAGCAGCGGCAGCAGCAGCCGCAACAGCAGCAGCAGCAGCGTTACCCCCCTCGATAGCAGCTTGCCAACATCTGTTACTTGACAGCTTGGGCCGCCACTCGTTTATCTGCTACAGTTGACCCTGCTTAAGTAGAAAAAAACGATTTCTACCAAGTTATGGGGATTACAGTTATTCATTTTTCCGAAGATGCTCGTGATGATGTCGTTATTGGCAACTGCAGTGTTAGTCTCGGGAGTTCCTCCTTGGGAGCACAGTAGGTGTCGTGTTCTTGCTCGACAGGGAAGTGCTTCTTTACGGCAGCACTGAGGAACCTTGCAACAAACCCCTTTTGTTTATGGACGGAATGGATTTCTGTTGCTAATCATTACTGAATTTGGACTAACTACCTGGTCCTCAGAATTTTACTTTTAAACCCGCCAAATATATATATTGCTTAAAGCATTTTTAGTCCTCTCATTTTAATAAATCGGCGCTGAGCAGATAAAAGTGTTAACTGTTCCAAGACTAGTGGTATGCTCCTTGGTGAATATGCTGCACTGGGCCGGGTGGATTAGGCGTTCAACTCTGCGCACAGATGTAGTTGCCGAATGCCAGCAAATGTCTTAACTCGGTGATGCCTCGTTTTGGGAGAAAACAAAAAATCACAAACATGATACACTGCACTTATTTTCTTCAATAAAATGTCACGTGGAGCTGCTTCTGCATTTCAAAAGGAAGGTAATTTGCATTTTAAAAATAGTTATTGTCAGGTATTTGATGTGTAACGTTAGAAACCCTGTCGCGTTGTCCAACACACTCAAGTGAATGCTTCTTGCACGGTTTGAACCGCGTGTCCTGTGTGGTAATGGTGTCAGCTGCTACGACACAAACACTGCATTCTCGTTGAGGAATCTCTTGTGCTGTGCCATGTCGATCGTCCCGAATGAATGGCATCTGTCTCTATTTTCACTTTGTATTTTGAACTGCGAGGAAGCCACACGATTCGATCGTTGCTGGGTGACGTGGCATGCCATAGGGTGGTGGTCACCATGCGGTCTATGCACCAACGCAGTGCATGAAATTTTAGCCTTTTTGTCCGAAAAATACAGGTCTCCCTTCTCTAAGCAAAGCGTTAATTGAGAGGTTTTTTCCGAAGCAGTTTGAGTACACCCTCATGTTTTTCTCGATGTATCCGAGCGCTGGGCTTCTGTTTTCCCGTGGACGTAAACAACATGAATTGAGTGTGCGTGGTGTCGACCTTGAAGCGAGTGTGTCCCTGTGACTGCCATGGGAACATTTCCAGCACTTAATTGCTGTTCTGTTTCTCACTGTGAAGGTGTCATCAATAAAGTGTGAAAAACAACCAGGTAGCTTGTTCTGTTGTTTGTTAATTAGAGAATGTAATTATGTATTATTGCCTGAGTCGTGGCAGGTCTGAGTGGGTTGAAGGTTTTGCAGACTTGCACCGCTTTGAGAACACTCACCCAAAACGTTTCGCATAGGGTGGCAGCACATGCCTTCCAAGAGTCATCGTCCTGGTACTATCTTGGTATTTAACCACACACATCAGCGATTGTGTTCCATTGTAAAGTAAATGCATCTTGTCATAAAAGCACATGAGGTTTAAAGCTAAGAAATCGTTGAGTGAAGGTTAAGCGAGGTGTACAGAATGCGTGTGGTGAGAGGACGCTGGCTGAATGGACACGGCTCTGCGTCTCTACCATGCTCCTGTGCTCCGTGGCACTAGACAACACTGGCACAACAAAATACCCCCAAAACGTGAGCACAGATGCGCAATATAAACTCCCAGTGCTCTATTAAGGGTATGGCAACAACAAGACTATGTATCAGCGCTGTTAACATTCAAAAGTTAAATGTGCTGCACACGAGTTGTTAGTCAATGTAAAAACTGGAATTCATATTTCAAATCACATAATGCTGTAATAATGTATTGGTCACAATCAGTAAACACGTCGGCTGCTATAGAAGTCCAAGTGAGATTAGTTGGCAATCCATCCTGTGTGTGTGTTTACAGTGCTGTACACTAACATTGTTCTCAGCCGCACAAGACAGGCCTCTCGGTCCATGTCGGCACATATGCTGGGATGCTTCACGTTGAGGTTGCATTAGGATAGTTCGCGTTAACGTTGTGTGTGGATATGGGTCCTTACGAGGCACTGTTGCCGTGGGTCTCGTCGATCTCATGCTACGGCGGCTCATTGTTGGATATGTACAGAGCAGAGCACCCCATGATGATGCTGCAATACACAGATCACTCTGCGCTTAATGCATTAATGCGACTACACTGTTCTGATGGATGAGTGTCCTTGTATGATCAGGAAAAAGTAGTTGCAGTATGTGTTGTACAAGGCTTCAAAAATAACGATATAAGAAATGTACTTTTTAAGTGTCCTAATCATCAGAAGGCTGGATATTAGTATGCCGAGGTTTTGATTGGCATTAATGTCTCTGGCGGTGGAAATGTTTAAGATTCTGGATATTTTGTGCGTGTTTCTTCCAGCAGCGGTAATTAACACGCAGTGTTTTTATTTCCTCTTCGTTAGACCTTCCAGGTTGCTCTTGGCATCAGCATTTCCCTCCGTCGTTTGACTTGGGGCTGTCGCGACGACGTGACACCCCGGTGTGCGGTGGCGTGGCCGGAGTTTCTTCGCCCTCCCTCCCGTGGCCTTTGATGTTCCGCGTGCGTTGTTGCGTGCACGTGACGGAGCGCTGTCTCTTGAGGCCTGCGACGTGAACGATGACACGGAATGAAATAGCAGGCTCCGATGTGTTTCTGTTTCGCTCGTGGCAGGCAGTGAACGCGTATTCCTCAGGCTGTTGTCAGTTTAGGGCGGTCTACCACTCGCACGCATGGCACGACCTCCTGGCTTGATGTTGCACTTTCGAAAACAAAGCTAAAATGATTAGTTGTTTTGCATTTATAACGTAGCATTTTGCCGATTGGTATATGAATCACGTGTTTATCCTTGTCAGCGGTAGAATATGGAGCCAGTTACATGCTTGTTACGATTTCTCACCTCTCAGTGACTGGATGTCCAAATTGTTTTGTTGCAGGTAATTGAGACAGAGAGTATGATGGACCAGATTGTAACTGGTTTAGCAGATCCAGTCGTCAAGGTGCAGTTGGCTTCTGTCAGGTACGAGATGCTGTGTGCAGCTTTGCTTCTTAGTCTAGGCTTACCCATGGACGCCACACGACATTTCTCTCTAACACGACTAATTTACAGTACATCGAACGAGGCGTAATGTCTGCCTATTTTTCTCGTTCATTAAATTCTCCACAACGACGCTAATTATTATTTTGAGTTGTGCATCACGTAGCTTTGTCTCGAACTAGGACCCCGTGTCTTAACTGAGACGGTCCTTGCCTTTAAATATCTGGCAGTTCGGCAGCATTGGTTCGAGTGAACTTGACTTTGCCGATGAAACGCCAAACGTCAAAATCACACCTGTCAACCCATACGGTTTACCCGTATTTTTGTGCAGGGAAATTGAGTTTTCAGGTCCATACGGCGTACAGCCGTTTCAATATGGGCAAAAAGATGTTCTATTTGTTTGTGTTTCTACCTTGCGATGGGACTTTGTAGGATGAACTTTGAGATTTATATGGGCACGGGGTGACCAATAAGGTCTGAATTGGTCTGTAATAAGGTAGGGCACTGATAAGGGGTTGACAGGTTTTGCGAAACTGATCCAGAGTTTGTTTACGTTTAACCAATGCTGCTGGAATTGTGCAACCCCATGAGGCCATGTGGCTGATGGTATGTGCACATTTGGTTTTATGAGGAGGGACAGATCCGTGAAGGAGGCGTGTTGCCTGCTTATTCATTGTGTTACTTATGTTCTCCACAACGACGCTAGTGATTCTATTGTGCTGTGTACTAATTACATCGGTGCCTTGGGCGAGCTACTCCATGATGTTCTTGTGCAATGATATTGCGAGCACCTTTAGTTGTAAACATTGTAATCCTCGTTGATTGCCTTCATTCAACTGCTTTAAAATAAAGCTCGTATCCATAATAGAGGTTTTTGGGTCGGATCGCGTAAATATACAGTAAATGTGTATTTACACGATCTAACCCAGAAACGTCCATTATGGATTATTTTGGTCGCGAAAGCCTACATGTTAAAACTGATTAACACTCATGTTGTATTGTTAAGTGGAGATATGTGTGGCATTTGCTTGTTCCACCGTGGCACGCCTGGTAATTGCAATGAGTATAATTTTCACGTGAAATGTACTTTTCACGTTGAGTGCTTGCTTTGTTTGCCATACGTTTAGTAGCTGTGCGACATACACTCAGATATGCACATATGCCCAAGTCACTTTGGTTAAACGGTTTTGAAACCAAGAGTAGGATCCGACAGTGGAGTCGTTTACTGGTTGATGTGGTTTAAAAAGGGTTAGAGATATTTCTCCAAGACATTCATAAAGCACCGGGTATCAAGGCACCCGTGACACCGGGAGGAACGGTCATAAGGGGTCAAATGATGAAGATGGACTTGACAAACACCATCAATCCCTGCAGCAGTGGGAAATAAACACACGTGCAGTGCAATTGTTAGCGATGAAGAGCACTGCTCATTACATTCATGGTAAATAAAGAGCGATCCAGGAGGGTTTAGAGAGTCGATTTGCCTGAAGGGGAGAAACCAACGAGCCTGCTCACGATGACAAATCGTGCTCGTCCAGTGAAGAAACATTCACTGGGGGACGGTCCCTGCTCTGCCCGGCTACTGACCGCGCGTGCGGGGCAAGGACGGTCGTGGCATCCACCTTGCCTCTGGCTGCCCCTCATGCCCACGCTGCCATGTCGGACGTGTAGGTGTCTTCACAGCCTCTCCCGTTCTGTCCAACAACTGCGAACGAGCTTTCAGGACCACGCTGTCTGGAAGCCACTGATGAAGGTGAGCATTCCGGGGTCGGCACACTGCCGTGCGTGTGCGGGGTGGGGGGGGTCACTCCCGTGCGGTCACTCCCCGTCAACGTGGTCACCCTCGTGCGTTCACTCGCCCCGTGGATTCTCTCTGCTCGTGTGCGGTCACTCGCCCCATTGTGGTCAGTCACCGTTCTCTGCCGATTCTTCACCAATGATTCCGAGTGGATACGAGCGTTATTTTAAAGCAATTTTCAGACTCGTATTATTTGTGATGATGTAAATAAGCCGAATTGTTATTTTTCACAATGCGCAATGGTGCAGGGAAACCCCGGCAAGTCGGATTTCACATCTAGCTGTTCCGGGGCCGGCCAAATAAATAAACATCTCTCATAGATTTAAAATCTATGAATAAAGAAAAATACTCTATACTTAAGAATATATATTGCAATATACAATGCTTAATAAAGTACATAAGATCATGTTAAGTTATGCAAAATATATAATTGAAGTGTTTTAAAAGTCATGAATGCGTACGTACTGGCTTAGCATGTGAGTTGCTGTTGTGTTTGACGCCGATTTTAATAAAAATTGCGGATGGCCGGACTTCTTCAGTGAGCAGGACCAGGTCTGCCCCCTAGAATCAGAATCTTTATTTAGACTGGAGGAGGAGGAATCCGATGAGCTATGAAGCTCTTTTTCGCAGCTGTCCAGCAGGGGCGGGTCAACAAGTTATAACAACATACAATACAAAACAACGATAGGAGTGAAAAGTAGAAAAAACGTCGCTAAAACTATATAAATATATATGAAAGTATTTAAGTACAATTTGCATAAGTACATATATTCCTGCCGATTGTTCAACACTAAGTGCAAGCTCGGGCAAGGCAACAACAAAAACAGTCCCAGAACACACCAAGACGATAAAATTGCACGTAAAAAATGTAACTTGATAAACGGTTAACTATGGATTCGTGGGTAGTCCGGCTATCCGGGGTTGTGCTGTGGTGCACATGCCGTGGTGTTTTGCTACATGAGACTTGGGCTGTCTCGGCAGTGTGAGGCTCAGAGGGTCGAACAGGAGGCGAACTCGGAACGGGTTCATCTGAAATGTTCTTCGTTCGTGAACAGGGCCCAATGTTAAAATGGGCTTCTCTGTTTCCAGCTGTTGCAGAACGCTCCAGATGACGTGCTGATGGTGGCCTCCTCAACACTCTGTAACCTCCTGCTCGAGTTTTCGCCCAGCAAAGAGGTGTGGGGGCTCGACAGACACAAAGTGGCTCGTGCCACCGCTCCGTTCCTCCTAAGCCGTCCTGGTCCTTGGCGTCCTGGTCAATGTCGGAAGAATGAGGCAGTGGTGCTATTTTTCTCAAGGAGTGGGAGAAACGAATGTGAAGGAACCATGATGTACTCTTGTCGTTTTGTGACGAAACTCAACCCATATCTAACGGAGAAGGTCCTTGCTTATCAATATTTGTTGTCCACCAAGCCTCGCTGCTGCTGAAGCACTGAGTATGTATCACTGTTCTAGATTTGAAGTTTTCGTGACTGCAAGGATCCATACTCCTTGGTTCTTTCGGTAAAGTCACATAGGTGAAAATAAAAAAAATAATAAATAAAATAAAAATTAAAAAACTAAATTAAATCACGACGTTTCGGAAGAAACACAAGCCTCCATCATCAGGTAGGACAGCCACAGCTCCGGCTTTGTTCTCACCGGCCGTTGGTGATTGGTTGGTGGCACTCAACCCCGCCCCCCCCCCCCTCCACACCCTCCGCCCCCCTGGCTCCTCCCCCCCCCCTCTTGCCTTATATAATATCTTGTTACGAACAGCTCTTGTCCAAAGAGTATATATCACTGGTCCAGAATTTGCTTGTATTGAACTAATGTTGCCGAACAAATGCACTTCCTGAAGGACCGCATGACCAATGGGAATGGGTGAAAATATTTTAATAATAATGTGGAGGTAACACATTTGGTAGGGAGGCAAATGATCTTAATTAATTTTGCCAATTATCAATTGAGTTCTGTGTTTTTCAGCCGATCCTGGAGTCCGGAGCAGTGGAGCTGCTGTGCAGCCTCACGCGCAGTGAGAACTCCGCACTCCGTGTCAATGGAATCTGGGCCCTCATGGTAAAGTCCGTTTGAATTTCGTCATCACTCAATGAAGCCTTAAATTTCTATTTAAAGCTTTCGTGACTGCAGGGATTCATCTTCTTGGTTCTTTCGGTAAAGTCACGTAGAATGGAAACAATAAAAATAATAAAATTAAACAATAAAATAATTCTCACGACGTTTCGGCCACAACGCAAGCAGCCGTCGTCAGGTGAAGACCCCGACAGACCTGGTCTTCACCTGATGACGGCTGCTTGCGTTGTGGCCGAAACGTCGTGAGAATTATTTTATTATGTTTTATTTTATTATTTTTATTGTTTCCATTCTACGTGACTTTACCGAAAGAACCAAGAAGATCAATGAAGCCTTGTTGAAATGGAATAATCCTGGTGTTAAAAATAATCGATGCCTCGATTTTCCGGGCTGGCTGCTGTGCTGGGTTCCTCTGCCCTGAAAGTCTCCCACAGTTTGGGTTTAGGTCTTCTCTTCCCCTTGGTCGCCGGACTCACGGAGACCACCCCAGTGCCCGTCTCGCCAGTTGGCCCTTAGTACCAAAATCAAAGGGTTTCCTTGATGTGCCCGTAGTCGCATTTTTGATGCCAGTAAGTTGCTCCACCTGGGCAGACCTCTCTAGGTGAGTTGATGTTTACAAATAGGGTGACGATGAGGGTTATTGTGTGTACATAAACATACTTGTGAAATTTGTTTCTGTTTTTATTGCCATGACTGTGACATTGATTAGTTCTGCATTGGTTTGTGATTTTATTCAAGAATCAATTGTTTTTTGGTTATAGCGAGGTGTTTTGTAGAACATGTATTTGATACAACGGTGACGAGATATTACATGCAACATATACACTTCAAGAATAATCAATATTCACACGCCAGATTTGATACGTGTACCACAACTAAGAATCATTTACCAGAGAATTGATGCAGGTCATCTCGATATACTGCGCTGTATTTAACGTCCCTGTGGCAGACAGCTGTGTGTAATCGGTTCTTTCCTACATCTCTGAATAATTTTTGTGACAATATTGGATTAGTCTGATTTTAGACAGTATACAACACTCTATTCTAACTTATTTTACGTATTTTTTTATGTGTATACTATTTATCTAAAACGCCTTCTAGTTTGTTATTGATGGGCTGAGCGTGGACTTTCTCCTGCTTAGATCCCTACTGGGTTTGAGTTTCAGCCTCTTGCGCCATGTGTCCAGGAACAATATGTATGTACGTACGTAGCCAAGCTAGGAGTGGGGTATTCAGGTGTGAGCCTTTCCAAGACTCTAGTTGTTATTGATTGAAGATGTGGATTTTGATTGATCGCATTATCTTAGTAGCATGTGCCTGTATTGTAAAGCGGAATAGAATCTATTTTTTTGACAATTAATTTTGCGCATTATTTTTAAAAGAGCGTAAAAGTTACACTAGAAAATTTGCACCGTTCATTTTAGTTCAGAATTGTTTGCTGCATGTCAGGGGTGGCGATGTTCTTGAAACAAATTGACAGTCGATGCCTCTGTTGTGCAGAATATGGCTTTTCAGGCAGAGCAGAAGATTAAAGTGGACATACTCCAGGGTCTGGGCACCACGCAGCTCTTTCGACTGCTGTCAGACTCCGATACAAATGTGCTCATGAAGACTCTGGGACTGCTGCGCAACCTTCTGTCCACCAAGCCGGTGGGTGCCACGTTTCCCCCCTAACTACATGCAGCTCCACTCTATCTGACGGACACATGGTGCGTACCAGTCCACTCCATTGACAATAGTCGCTATCTCCGTTCGGCAGCTCATGGCGTCTGATCACTCGGACAGCGAGATTTGAACCTCGCAGCTCTGTGGTTAGCGTTCCATCGGTTTGGAACTCGCCTACCTACTCACTCACCTACTCACCCACCCATTCACCTACTCAGCGTTCCGACGGCCTGGATCGCAATGCCACTGCACGTTCGAGACTCTTCAGAGACATTTAACTAGTTCAGTAGAAAATGCAAGACAGAATGGTTTAATAGACCTTAGAATATATGAATATTGCACATTTGTGATAACCTACGTGATAAGAGTTGCGCGTTTATAAATGTACTTAAATTCACACGGAAACCATTGCAGGTTGCAAGTTCAAATCCCATGTGGGGGGTTGACTCAACCCATCATCCCCCCCAGGATCAATAAAGTTAGTACCACTTTGTGGGGATGTCGGCAGTGGTTGTCCTGTGTATAGACTCGCCCCAGCCACAGAAAGGAATTATGCGTTTCCTCATTTGAGCAAGAACCCACTTAGATTATTTTTTTGCAAGATACACTTCATCTCAGACTGTTTACAAAACATTGTTTCCCTTTTAGTATAAGACATCGGAGAGGTGACCCAGTGGCTAAAGGGTCAGGAGTTTAGAACGGATACTTTGTTTGTGACTTGAGGCCGATGATACAATTACAATTACATTTAAGAAGATTAAACAGACGTGACCTGTGAATGTTTATTTCAGTAAGGGAAGGTCGACTGAACAACTTCCCATTTTAGTGCAAAATGACTGTGTCACCTGCTGGCTCTTTCCACAGCACATTGATCAGATCATGAACAGCTACGGCACGCACATCATGCAAGCGGTGACACTCATTCTGGATGGGGAACACAACAGCGACATCACGGAACAGGTGTGGACAGGTGTACCTCTGCTTTCATTCGTGTTTTTACTTCTGCTCATGTTTGCGCGGCTATACGGACAAATCCTTGTTTTCATAAAGAGTGGTATTATCTGGCCCGCGAGAATAAGTGTGCTAAAGTCTTGCAAAGGCATTGTCGAACTCGCGCTGAATGCGTGCGTGGTATTGTTAATGCATTAATTTTAGATTTGAAACTTTCGTGACTGCAAGGATTCATACTCTTTGGTTTTTTCGGTAAAGTCACGTAGGTAAAACAATCAATAAAATAAAATAAATGAAAACAACAAAATTAAATCACGACGTTTCTGAGGCAACACAAGCTTCCTTCATCAGGTGTTAATGCATTGTTTATCTGTAACACAATATGGCATGGCCCGCGAGAATAAGTGTGCTAAAGTCTTGCAATGGCATTGTCGAACTCGTACTGATTGCGTGCGTGGTATTGTTAAACCATTGTTTATCTGTAAGACAATATGGCATCGTCGTGTGTCGTGATCTCCCAATTGTGAACGTGCAGAGTATCTGATATCAGTGGTTGCCAGCCTGTGCTCCACAGACCACTTATGGAAGTGAGCCACGGCTCTCGAAAGGTTGGGATTTACTGCAAATCAGGGACCAAGCACCATGCGGAAAATGTTTCCCAGCAAGGTGTTAAAGTATGCCTGTTGGAATAAAAAAATACCGCTCAATATATCAATCTTTGCTGTTGTAATTAATTTTCTATAATGGCACAAAGAGGTGAACCGTTACCCAACGCAGTTCCAGAGGTTAAAGTCTCATCTTCTGTTCAACTTACGCAATGATATTTAGTAATTGCATTGCTACGGAGATGATTTCACGTCATCTCCACTGTTAATGTTTACTCTGCAGACTTTGTGCATCCTCGCCAACATCGCAGATGGCACCGTGGCGAAGGAATGTATTATGTCGCACTCGGACATACTCCAGAAAATAAAGCACTACATGGTGAGCATTGCCAGAGAGAAGCACGTGGATAACATTCTGCCCTGAACCCAGTATTCGGGATACTCAACAGTTGGTGTATGTGTATATAAATATGCGTTCCAAGTTGCAAATATACGGTGCAAGATCATCAGAATTATTGGGTTATAACAATGGGTGGGATTAAAGGAAATGTGCAATTTAAAGTACTGATTCAATAATTCAGACTTGCACTTATTCAAGTATACTCTTAAACCCAAAGTCACTCCAAAATGTCAGAAGCAGTTTGTCATCAGTCTGTGCATTAAGTGTAAATGTACGTAGCGACGCGATTCATACGGTTGGCCTACGTATGGTGAGAAAGAAGTTCAACATACATACAAATGTACATACCTAGGTGCATGCATATTCATTTACTGCTTTGTGTCACGGTCACTCTTTTGTATTGCGATTCTATGTAGATATATTAATCCACGAAAAATATTCTAATGCAAATTAATTAACTTGACAATTACTATACATCGATGATAAATGTTAATTGTATTGAACTGTAGTCTCTTGTAATGCTGCTGTGTATATACAATAATGACCTGTAGCTTATATATATTTTTTTACGGATTGCAGTCTCATGCAAACGTGAAGCTGCAGATTGCTGCAACATTTTGTGTCTCCAACTTGGCGTGGTCGGAGGAGGAAGGTAATGTGCACTGTGTTTCCGTCTTACCCCACTACACAGTGACTTCTCGTCCTCACTACTATTCAACTTCTCGTCTTCACCACTATCGCTCCTAGTTTTCAAAAATGGCATCAATCAACACGTATTGCTGTAATTCGTCAAACATCCCAATGTAGGTCCTACGGAGCTTGGGAAATTATTGGCCCCGGTTCTTGCCGCCTTTCCGCTTGTCTGTTGTTTTCTTGCGCCGACGTGTGAACACTGCGTGTTTCAACATACAGTGCGCATGACTGACGCTGCATACTAATAAAACACTTATTTTACACCTCATGGAATTGCCAAAGTTTTGGTTCAACCGTAAGATACCCTCTGCTGCTAGAATTCAATATCTAGAATTAATATTATCTGAAATGTGCCTGCTGTGTACGGGATTGTCGCCAACGTGAGCGATCGCGGGATGACTGCTGTGTGTGAACCCTGTGCGCTTGCGGGGGGCAGGGTTTTTCGAGAGGCAGGAGCGGCTCCGCTCTCTCGGCTTCCTGGAGGTCCTGCAGAGGTTGGCGCAGGCGCCGGACGTGGCACTTGCAGATAAGTGAGTCCCATGTGGCACGGTGGCGGCAGCTCTCAGGGTGTTGCGTTCCACATTTATTAACTTTGGGAAAAGCATTCATTTCATGAATCGAATAATTTAAAACTGCTTTTTGTGTTTAGTTTGTTGTCCTTCCCCCGCATCTCCAATTAGCGCAGTTGGCTATGTATGGTGTGTGAGAAGTTCAACCTCTCTGTGTTTGGCCTACCAATCCTGCTGCGTAAACTTTACCGCGTGCGATGCCACCCCCGTGGTGCAATTCTTACCACACTGGACCTGCGGTCCAAATATGGCCGGGTTCACTCTCCTGGTGTGACATTTGAAACGACGGTTGAAGTTTCTTCAAATCGCTTTGCCTCTGTCCACCCAGCGGTGTCAATGGGTTCATCGCAGTCCAGTTGATCAGCAGGTCACACACGATGAGCAAAGTGTGGGTACTCTTACCTTTTCCAAGGTGTTTGACCAGTGGGGAAGAGTAGGCCAAACTCTCCTCTATTGGACACCATTCTGCCAGCAGTGGCATAATAAAGGAATCACAGGGCCCCACCGTTATCCTTCGTTCTATGGAGTTGTCACTTGTCTGTGAGAAAATGGGAAACGTGGCGGTGCTCATCTCCATTGACATCCCTGATTCAGTGGTGGGGAAGTGCCACATTTTCATGGCCAAGGCCACCATTAACTTGATGACCATGTTTAACGTTCCACGGTGGGGTACTGTACTAATTTTATCACCTCCCGAGGGATGATTGGCTAAGGGCAGCATTTTGACTGTGTTAAGTGCAGCTGATTCTCGGAAGTTGGTAGATTTCTTAACTAGTCCATGTTTTCATATCCCTGGTTGTTGAAAATTACCACAGAACTCTGACTGAACAGCGTAATCGAACCACGGGTGTTATCAGTATAGGGCCCCTTGGCTAATTCAAGTAAACGTTTGTACATATATAATGTCACTTTTCAGGAACTATACTTTTGATCCATTTAACATATGATTATGCCATACTTATCAAGTTTTACTTGAAACCTTAAATGTGACATGTCTTAATTAAAATACTGTGTTTGTCTTCATTGGCAGGGTGAAGATGACTCTACAGCATTTCTCTTAATGTTGGAGGCTAAAGGTTTTCATATATATGTACTTTCATATACTTTGTACATACGACTTAATGACCGTATTGTCAATTAAATACTGTAAAGTTTATGGTTCATTTATTCTACATCTTTGACGTTTCACTTGTCAGAAGTTGTTGATTTAATGTCAAGGTAATGTGCACAGAATCCGTATAAAGGTATTTTCAGCTTGTTTGAAATACCTATTTGGCATTCATGGGATATATGGTATTTATCCATTTGCCTTCATATTATTTGCCACTGATACTCTCAAGTGTAAACGAATTGTAATATTGATGTAATAAAAATTATCTACTTTAATGTTTGTTATAAACATATTTTGGAATTGCATGTATTTACCTTGAAAGATAAAAAAAAATGAACGTGAATGATGAATTCAGTAAATTCCCGATGTCAGGTGGACGTCGGAGGCCATGAGTTCTCAGCTACCCTTAAGTTTTTGTGGAAGAAGCATCTGTCTCTGTCTTTATGTGTGTCTTTGTGTGAGTGTATAGGGGAGCAGTAGTGCAGCGGTTAATGTGCTGCGCTACAAATCCAGCAACCCGAGTTTGATTCCCGCTCAAGGCCACCGTTGACGATTATCTGAACCGGTCCTGGGCCTCCCCTAGGTTGACTCCGCTTCAAATGAGTACCTGATCCAATGTGTAAACATCCCCTCTGGGGAGACAAAGGCAGCCTGGTGTGGTGCTGGCCACTTACCCCCCTCGTTTGCCGTGCCAGCCTTCATAGGTGCTCGCTAACAGCACTTGCCCCAAAAGTCTAAGGCTATACGGGGGATCTTTGTCATGTCTGTCAGTGTTTCCACTCTGTGTTTATCCACGTATCCATGTGTGTCTCCGTACCTCTGTGCGTGTCCGTTTGCCAAACTGCACGTGCACGACCGAGGGAATTGAGATGACCGGGGATGTTGGCTGATGGTCACTGAACACCTGGGACTTTGCCGTGGCAGTGTTACACCAGTTGCGAAGCAAATTTTACTTTCTGCAGAGTCGTGACAGAAGGAGTCCAGCACACGTGGGTAGTGTCTTTAGGTGGGTGTTTCAGAATAGGAATATTTATTTATACTGGAGGAATCTGATGAGCTGTGCTCTTTTTTCAACGGTTTTTGTTCAACGGTTTTATTTTTTTACTTCACGTGTGTTTGTCGTGGTCAAATCTTGTAATCAAAAGTTAGTCTACTTCCTGTTGTCTAATCAATTCTAAATTTTGCACACGTACTCAGATCGGGTGACAATGTATGCCTGTTTCAAAATCGGCATCAAATCATCAATTAATTGCCTCCTTTCAAGCAATTACAATTTTTGTATGGACGGCTTATTAATTACATATTTTTGTGTACATAAAAAACGCCGCGGTCCCTAAACTGTGGAATCGGCTCGCACAAAAAGCAGGCGCCACGTGTCTCAGGCGCCATTGACGTACTTCTCGACCGTGAGTTAAACTAAGTTGTTAATAAAACCGTTGTTTAATAAAAAAATTAAGGAGTTTATTTTCACAGGTGTCTAGTAGGGGTGGGTCAGCAACTTGCAACCACAAGCAAAAACGATAGGAGTGCAAAATATAGAAGAGGTAAGCAAGTCACGAAAAAATATTATATAACTCCAAATTGCATAATTACATAGATTCCTGCGGATCTTTCAACACTGAATGCAAGCTTGGGCAAGGCATCAAAACAAGAAAAACAGTCCCAGACCACACCATGACAACACACAATCCCTCAATAAAATTGCACATTCAAATTTAACTCGCGATGCAGAGTTAAAATTCACATTTGCAAATGTGGTATTCAGCACCAATCTGCTTCAAGATATTTTTTGAAGGAAGATATATGATTTTAAGGGAGGAAATACAGTTACAAAACGGTGCTGCTGCAACAGCAAAGGCTTTGTCACCTATTCCAATTATTGTCACATTCCAATTTAATATGGACCACCTGTAGGAACGGTAGCCAAGAGACCCCAGGTAATAGCTGTGTATCCCTTGTATCTGCCCAGTCTCCCACTCTTCCACCATCCGGCGTCGGCATAGCTGATGAAAAAAAAACATGCATAGAGTGAAAATTGCCATTGCTTTCTATTTATAAAAAAAAACTTGTACTTTAAATATCACTGGAGACGGGACGAGTCATTTGCAGGGTGCCCAGTGAGAAAATGTGTCATGGCACTCCGATTAGCACCGTTGGCTATGTACGATGCGAAAAAAGTTCAACATACATACCTACACACACACATATCCTGTACACATATACATACCTCCTATATACTATACAGACTTTGGGCAAATGCTGTTCGCGATCACCTATGAGTGCCGATGCGATGCACGAGGGGGTGGTGTGGCAAATACACCCTACCGCCTTTGTCTCCCCAATGGTTATTTTTTTTACCCAGGACCGGTTAAAATATTCTTCCCATTATTGACTGAGAGGGAATATAACTCGGGTCAAATAGAATGACTTCTAACCATGCTAAAGTACCATATAGTACCATGGTTAGGAGTACCTTCGATTAGCACTGTTGGCTATGTACCGTGTGAAATAAGTGAAACATATACAGTACATAATAGGGTTTTCCATTTTTTCTGGCAACAAGACTGAAACCTTTTTACAAGGAATCATGTCTGCATTAACCACAACACTTGTGGTCAGAATGCAAAAAAAAACACACTAATATATGCATTGTCCTTAAAACTGATTGGTCCACACCAGAGACAGCTTTCTTTTGAGCCTCGTCTCAAACGGTGCTAAACCAGAGGACACCAAAAGGCGTACAGCTCAAAGACAATGCGCTATCAGAATAATGAGGGCTCGGGGTAAGCATCTACATCATTTTGACCTTTGCCAGTACCAAAATATAAGAATAGGTTTTTCCCCTTTTTTCTGGCAACAAAACTTAAACCTTTTTACAAGGAATCATGTCTGCTGGATTGTGTGAGGAGCTCACAAATCCTTGCAAGACCTGGATTCAGTCCCATCGGTGAGCTACTCCGGCAGGCAAGGCTGTGTTGGCTGGGTCATGGAGCCCGCATGCCCAGCCACGGCATGCCCAAGCAACTTTTGTTCAGCCGGATAGAGGGGGCTAAACGGACTTTGGACAGTATAGAGAAGAGATGGAGTGATGTGGCAAGATAGGTTGTGTAGCTGAGTGGACTTGCCGATGACCGGTACCATCGCTGTCAAGATCGGCCTCTGTGGAGGAGGCTCGTGAAGGACGCTACTGGGCAGTTGGAGGCAGTCGCCCTCCAGCAACAACGGAGGGCGGAGGAGCGACGCTCACAACAACGAGCGGAGCGCTGGGTGGCTAAAACACAGCAAGTTGGCACAGTAAGGGGCAAAGTTGGTGCATCGGCCACTCATCTCAGTCGACCCGTGGCACCTGGGTCTGCCCTGTGACCTGCCAGCGGGCGTTCGACACTTCACGTGGCCTCAACGTGCACATCAGGGACGTGCGGTCAGGGGAGGCAGAGCCTCACCTGTCATACTCCAATGAAAATAGCTGTTACGTAAAAAAAAATCAAATAATTATTAGGATTTTTCCACTGATTTCTGTTATAAATGTCATTTCTGTACGATTCCGATAATTTTTATAGTCAAAATCGCCAAATTTGCGGAGCTCCGCTGCAAATTCAGGAAGAGACGAGAGGCGAGGAGGCAGCGACGAGCTCAGCCTCCCCTCTGATTGCGCAACCCCTCAGTAACTGGATGGAGCGCGGGCAATAATCGCGTGCCTGTTACTATCTCAGTATGTCACCAATGTGATATTTGTAGACCCCTTCATTTCATGTCCTCGCCTTCCATACTCCAGGTAACTTATTTCACGTATGTGTATAAATATATCTCGGCTCGCTGGTCTCGTCATGAAACTGCAATGAAAAAGCACCGGGGGAGGCAGCCATCACATCTGCCTCACTGAGGGGGGGACGTGTCTAACACGCCCCTCCCTTAGTGAGGACACGCCCCCTCTGAGGACACGCCCCCTCAGTGAAGACACGAGCCAGTGCCTCCCCAGCCATTGACATCACCGCACGTCACTGGTGCACATAGCCTGGCACAAGCGCCGTGGTAACGTCACTGCCACTTAGTGGCGAATGGCGGTTGTTGTTGTGTGTTGTGATCTGCAGTGTGGTGAGTGAGTGGATGAGTGTGTTGTGATCTGCAGTGTGGTGAGTGGGTGAGTGTATGAGTGAGTGCGTTGTGGCCGAAACGTCGTGAGAATTGTTTTATTATATTTTATTTTTATTATTTTATTACTTCCCTTCTACGTGACTTTACCGAAAGAACCAAGAAGATGAATCCCTGCAGTCACGAAAGCTTTAAATCGAAATGAGTGTGTTGTGATTAGGGGTCGGCATGGTTTGAACCGACTCAAACTGGTTTCAAATTGAGCAAACCAAACCAGCGACGACTGAACCAAACCAAACCCAAACCAAACTAAGCTAAACCAAACCTCTTGAGTTGGCTTGAACCGAAAAGATGCGCGGCAAACAATATTCGCATTCAATACAAATATCAAGTGTATTAATCGCTAATTTCTACGCAGGCTTTCTTCATATTGAGATTCACTAGCAAGTACTGGACGACGATGTCGTCCACAGCCATCTCCTCAAGCTTGGCACGCCCAATGTCCTTGAACGCAGTGTGGTAGTTCAATGGCAGTGAAACCCCAACACTAGGCAACATCCGCGCCCACGAGCGCACACACATCTCGGCCTTGAACGTGCACTTGTGCAGGTTTGGTCGGTCGCATGAGGCTCTGCCGCGTGTCGCCGCGCGTGGCGTCCGGGCTCTCACGTTCGCTCGCCATCGGCTCCTCGTCGCTACCGGCGTGTTTGGTCTCTTCCACGTCGTGGATGAGATACCTTGTGATGCTGAAGCCGCCGGGGATGGCGCCGTCTTGAGCCGCTCGAGCCATGGAGATGCAATTGCAAAGTGAATTCGCAGGCAAAGGCAACTACAGCATGTCCTTTCGTGTCGCCTTTACAACCAACCAAACTAGTTTGAGCCGGTTCCACCCTGTCCGAGCCAAACCGAGTCGGTTTTCGTAGCCCCAAACCAAACCGAACCAGTTCAAACAGAGCCAAACCAAACCGATTTGGTTCGGTTCAAACCGCGGTTTGGTGGTTTGAATCAAACCGCGGTTTGGTGGTTTGAACCAAACCGTGCCGACCCCTAGTTGTGATCTGCAGTGTGCTGAGTGGGTAAGTGAGTGGGTGAGTAGGTGAGTGTGTTATGATCTGCAGTGTGGTGAGTGAGTTGGTGAGTAGGATAAGTGTGTTGTTATCTGCAGCGTGGTGAGTGAGTGTGTTGTAATCTGCAGCGTGATGAGTGGGTGAGTGGGTGAATGTGTTGTGATCTGCAGTATGGTGAGTAGGTGAGTGTGTGGTGATTTGCAGTGTGGTGGGTGAGTGAGTGGGTGAGTAGGTAAGTGTGTTG